TGGCATAATCAATAAAATTTTTTTAAATTCTGAATTAAAAAAAAAACCCACACCCTTTGATGTTGGTGCGGGGACAGAACTTCCCAACGGAATCACCATAACGGGGCCAGGGCCTGAGTAGCTACTCTTTGATCTCAGATGCGTGGTGGTGTTTCTCACTTTGCCCTTTTACTTTCAGGTTTACAGTGTAAGCCCCTCCCTCTCCTTAAAACGACAAAGAAAACACAAAAGGGCTGCTGGTGCTCTCAGAGTCCTGGCCAGGCTGGAGGGCCTTCCTGGCCCAGCACTGGTCGTCCAGCCCTCCCTCCCCCGCAGCTCGGAGTCCATGTTGAGCCCCTGCTGCTGGCCAGCAGACCCCCTTCAAGGTGTTGTACCCCTCCCCACACTCTAGCACTTCTCTCCATCCCTCCTCACTCTGACATGTGCCTCCATCTCCTCCCAAGTTCACTTGTGAATTCCCTGCCTGTGGGCCTGGCCTCCTCCCATGAGCAGTCAGAGACCTTGGACCCTGCTTGCCGCCCCAGTGTGTTTGCCTTTGCAGGCTGTTGACAGGTTGCTTTCCAACAGGGCCAAGTCTTCACCTTGCCCTGCACCCCCTGCCTCAGGGCCTGCTTAGAGTGCCCGAGCCTCACTGCCCAGAGTCACCAGGCACCTCCACCTGGCCAAGCCGGTTCCATGGGCTCCATCTGAGACCCCTCAGGGGCTGTAGGGGTCCTCTGAGGACAAGCCCCCAGACCCCAGGCCACGCCCTGTGGGCGAGACAGCCCCCCACCTTTGTGCTTGCTCATGTCAATGAGCCGGAAGGCAGCCCGGGCAGCGTTGAGGGCACCCTCCACCACATCCTCGGGTGGCCCCACGAAGGTGTAGACGGTGCGGTTGGTTGAGGGGCCGGCGTCCACGTCCAGTAGCACGCAGCCTGGGGTCTGAGCCACAGCACGGGAGATGGCGTCAATCACCTGGGGGCGAGAGCCCGGCCCACGCCTCAGTTTGCCCACTTGGAAGAAGGAATGGAAGCTTCAGAGGTGGCTGTCTCTCTCCTGTGCCCCACCCACCCAAAGGTGTTCCCAGCAAGCTGGCACTGAGCACTGGGGAATTCCCGAAAGAGCAGGAGCCAGGGGAGACCACGGCCGGCTGTAGTTGCCAAGGAGGGGGCAGTGAGTGGCCCCTCCAGGAGAAACTGAGGCAGACAGCAGAACAGGCAGAGGAGCTGCCGGGGCTCCAAGAAGGTGACCGATAGGCCCGGGTCACAGAGGCCAGGGCTCAGGCCCTCCAAGAGGCCTCCGGTGGGAGTAGCTGCATGGGGGGGATGGGGAGGCATGAAAGGCCCAGAACCTTCTGAGGTGACAGAAATGCCCAGTGGTTAGGAGCAGGGGCTGTGTACAGACTGCTCTGTGGCCCTCAGTCGCCTGCCTAAACTCTTTGTGCCTCAGTTCCCTCGTAGGTGCTGTGAGGATCACAGTGTTCAACCCGATAAGCTGTGGGGAGGGGAGACGGAGGAACCGTGGTGAGGACCCTCAAACAGCCCTGGGGGTGGGGGTGGGGGGCCCCATTCTCACAAGAGGCCAAGTGATTTGTCCAAATCTGGGGTCAGGCCCCCTGCCTGACCACCCAGGTTGGTCACTTCAGTTTCCCACACTCACGGGACATGCACGTCACTGTGGTGATAGGAGGTGGTCCCTTTTGAGAGAAGATAGTCCCGATGCCACACCACCTGAGACCCTTGCACCGCCCCCACCCTGCCCCCCTGGCACCTCACCTCCTGGTTGTTCCCCTCTGAGAAGTTGGGGACACATTCCACCAGGCGAGACATGGTCTGGGCCTTGAGCCTTGATCAGGACGCTGCTCTCACGAGGCAGGAAGGGAGGACGGACAGGGCTCTCCGTGTCCTGCAGGGCCTTCACGCTCCCCACCGGGCTGCTTATTAACCACCAGCCACGGTGAGGGGACAGGGACAGGCTGGCTCCTGGGCAAACACTGAGCGGTCGGGGCGGGGCAGACCCAGGATCCACGGCAACACTGATGACTTTGGAGGAGGAGGAGGGACCGCTCTGTCCGGGGTGGGAACCCCTAAAATAAGCACCTGGGACCAGGACCCTCAGCAGGGAAAAGTCCTCACCAGACCAACACCTCAGGTCAGCTGAGACTCCACTCTTAACCAGGCTGTGGCCAGAGCTGGCCCTCTGTGTGACCTCCCTCAGGACCCTCCAGGTGGCCCTCTGGGCCTCCATTTCTTCATGCAAACTCTCAAGCCTCAGGGCGTCCGAGGGACAAGAAGGGCACCGTGAGGCTGCAGGCGTGGCCTGGCTCCGGGCAGAGACCAGTGCAGCTTGGTCAGGCAGGGGAGTGGGAGGGGAGGGAGTGTGTGCGGGTGTGTGGGGCCCTGGTGGGGCAGGCAGGCCGAGTCAGGGCTGGCTCTCCCCAGCTGTGGCCACTGCTCCCCAAGGCCAGGGGCTCCCTAAAGGGTCAATGCACCCCCATCAGCAGCTCAAGGCCATGTGCTCCAAAGGCTCTGCTCAGGTCAATGCTATCTTAAAATTCTTGATGATCTCTTTTTTTTTTAAGATTTTATTTATTTATTTTTAGAGAGAGGGGAAGGGAGGGAAAAAGAGAGAGAGAGAAACATCAGTGTGCAGTGGCCTCTGCAAGGCCTCCACTGGGGCCTGGCCTGACACCCAGGCCTGTGCCCCAACTGAGAATGGAACTGGTGACGCTTTGGTTCACAGGCCCGTGTTCAATCTACTGAGCTACACCAGCCAGGCAAAATCTTTGATGATCTTTAATCAGGGTGGGCATTTCATTCTGCAAAGGCCCCCCACCAATCTCGTGGCTGCCCCACGATCCCCTCCCAAGAGCAGGCTGCACCCCATCTGCCCTTCTGCCGGGTGCAGGTACCCCACGCAGCCTTTAGGGTGGTCGGTGTCTGAGGCTGCTTCACCCCTCGGCAGTCTCCATGGGGCTAGGACGAGGCGGTGCCCAGATCTTCAGATCCCCAACTGTTCCACTCAAGGGGACTCGGAGGAGGAGGGGCCCCACCACCCCGGAGCAGACAGGGGAACCCAGAGACCCTCAGAGGCTGGGGACTGGCCAGGCCCTCTCCAGCCATGGCTCCCCCCTTGCTGACTGTGGGTGACTGTGGGTGATGACTATACCATCTCTGGGTCCCCAGAGGGACTGTGGAAGCCTCAGCAGCGTCTGGCAAACGCCAAAGGCCCAGCAAAGGTGGCTCTCCAAACTCACCCTGATGCCAGGAGACAACCTGCGGCCCCGGGGTGCCCGCCAGCACCTCTTCCGGCAGAGGCCCCTGGTGCTGCATTTGTGTGACCACAGAAACCCCCAAGAGGCAGGAGCCCCTCCGCCAGATGTCGGTGCTCTGCGGCTGGGAGGGAAGGATGCTGGTCTGTTATGGAATGAACTGTGACCCTCAAATGCACACATTGAAGCCCTAACCCCTGAGGTGACTATTTTGGGGGAGAGGGTCATTCCAGAGGTAATTAGGTTAAAATGAGGTTACAAGGGTGGGCCCTAATCAAATGAGACTGGTGTCCCTGTAAGGAGAGGAAATGCCCTGGCCAGGTGGCTCAGTTGGTTAGAGTGCCATCTCCTACACCTCCAAATGGCTGCGGGCTCGGTCCCCAGTCAGGGCACATACCTAGGTTGTGGGTTCAATCGGGGCACATACGGGAGGGACCGATCAGCGTTTCTCTCATTCCTCTCTCTCCCTCCCTCTCTCAAATCCATAAACACATCCTCAGTAGAGGAAAGACAAGAAAAGGAGATTAGAACACGGACACACAGAGGGACAGCCATGTGATGACACAGGAGACAACCGTGTCTACATGCCAAGGCCAGAGGCCTCGGGAGGAACCTGCCCCGTGACACCCTGACCTTGGCTGTACAGCCTCCAGGACTGTAAGATGAGGGGTGCCTGGTGTTTAAGCCACCTTGTCTGTGGTGTTTGTCGTGACCCAACTGACCAAGACGGGGCCCAGGGTCCTGGGGTCCAGGACCACCAGGCTGTGAGCACCGAGGGACAGGCTACCCCACACTCGGGTTGGCCCTCAAACCCCGACACCTTCATCCCGGCCCCCACGACAAAGAAGTGACTGGAGATACTGCACTGGAAGCCAAACCCCAGAAGGGAGCTGACGCCAGGCCCTGGTCCTGACCTCCAGGACCTCCAGGTCCAGGAGGTCCCCTCCCCATGGTGGCCCACAGGAGAGATGAGCTGTGGTACATTCCCTGTGGAAATGGTCCCACGCCAGGGCGTGGCCACGGCAGGAACACACAACGCAGGGACTGGACCTGGTGTGACGCTGGGTTGTGAGACAGTGAACATTCTAATAGGTGCTACAAATAGTCCCTGAACAGGGGACCCCGGAAAGCTCCACCGTTTATAGGGAAAAGTGATCTCACCTGGCGCCCACACCGTTTCTATCACCATCTCCAGTGAGAGGGTCAGCACTCCCGATTCCAGACTCAGGCAGGGGACAGGCGCGGTGAGCCTCTCGGCACACCGGGGGCTGGCCTGGCTTCCAGTGGGAGGGCCCTGCGTCCCCGAACCATCTCCCAGATAAACTGCCTGCCCTGGGCCAGCTTCATGGGCAACTGGCCACACAGTTGCACGACCCACTCACTCCTGGCTTCACTCTCTGCTGTAGCCATCTCAAAATTCCTAATTCTGAACTAGAAGCTTGCGTTTTCATTTTGCACAGGGCCCCGCAGATTCGGCAGCCATCCTGCCGGCCCCTGAACCCTCGCCTCGGGCCCTGCATTTGGATAAGGGGAAAGTTCCTGTGGTCTGTGGTGTGGGCCCCATTCTCCGAATACCAGGGGCACTTCCTGTGTCCCCAGGGGTGACCGAGACGCTCTCCATGCCCTCAAAGAGCCAAAGGTAAAGGTAAACAAGTAAACAGATGTATTTAATAAAGTGTGACAAGTGCCACGCAGGTGTGGGCAGCTGGCGGGGCTGTGGGCGTCGGGTGGGCCCGGCCGGTCCGTGAGGGCGCCTGCTCTGGCCAGCGCTCCTGCCTGTGGCCCTCGGGACTCCCTTGGCGGACATGGCCCTTCCCCCGTCTGGAGGGGACGCGCAGGAGGCACGGCTGCCCCCGGGTTTGGAACAAACACGTTTATTGCAGGAAAGGCGTGGCAGGTGCCGGGGCGCGGGCTCACCAGGCGAAGAGTGGCTTGCTGTCCTCCTTGGAGAGCTCGCACAGGCAGTTGAGCAGCAGCAGCGAGTCGCCCAGGAACTTGGGGGGCACGATGTCGATGACCAGCTTGCGCAGGGCGGCCGGGCTGCTGTGCAGCGGGTTCGCGCGCAGGTCGGGCCGCTGCTTCAGGATGCCGTAGGTGTTGATGAGGAACTCGCTGAACACGGGGTGCACGTCGCGGTTGTAGCCCAGCTTCTCCAGGCGTGCCATCAGGGTCAGGTAGCGGTGTGTCAGCTCCCGCATCTTCTTCTCGTCCACAGAGCCATCCAGGGACTTGATGGACGTCTGGGGACATGGCACATGGTGGGGTGGGGCCGAGCCACTGAAGCCACAGACCCCACCACGGGAAGCCGGGGTAGGGGCAGAGACCAGATTTCTATGAAGGAAGCTTCGTAAAGGGGGAACCAGGCCCAGAGCCAAGCTCCCCACCACAGGGAGTGAGCTGCCCAGTCACCCCTCCAGCAGCCAGTGTCAGGGACAAGAGCAGGGCCCCGTCCAAGATGAGGAGGAAGCCAACATGCTCTGTAGCCCCAGGAGCTGCTCCTGAGACTGTCCCAGGCCACAGAGCAGAGGTACTTATGGCAGGATCTCAGGCCCCCGTGGCACATGGGCCTCGGACACCGCTCAGGCTTGCCCTGCTACAGCTGCATGGGTACCACAGGTGAAAGGGCAGTGGGTCACCCAGTCTCCTGTCCCAGGGTGGAAAGGGGACCCCAGGGCAGGGAGGGCACCCCCATGGGGCAGGGAGGCACACCTGCTTGATCTTCTCAGGGATGTTGGACACGGTGAAGCCGTACAGCCGAGTCACCCCCGGGAAGACGTAGGCCAGGATGCGCCGGTCCAGCTGGAAGGCAATCTCCCCAACGATGCGCCCGTCCTTCTCGGCACTGGTGAAGCTCTGAATCTCTGTGAGGGGATCGGGGGAGGATGGTGATACAGGCTGGGGTCCCCCACATGAAGGGTCCAGGGCTGCCCACCTTCCTCCTGCCTGGGGTCCAGTACCCATTGTAGGCAAAGAACTGATGTGAAAGTGGCTTCCTCGGGTTCCTGGTGAAGTCTGTGGGGCCTCTGGTGGGGTCCCCCTAGGGCCCTGGTCTTGGTCATGTGGGGAGCACCCTCCTCCAGCCCCCACTGTGAGGGTAAATACTAATTTAAAGGAAAACTGAATTTTCTGTTGCCAACAAGGGGAAGGACCCCTTCCTTCCTCTTTTCCCTTTTCTTAACATGTTCCCTGGAAAACATGTTCCCTGGATGCTCAGTCCTGGCTTCTTCCTCCCCTTGATATGGACATAGATGTGGAAAAGCCTGTTTTACAGCCCAGGACTGTTTCTCGTGTCCCTCCCCTCCCCCGTCCCCAGGGATTCTGCCAGCTTGCCCTGGGTCAAGGGAGACCCCAGTCCTATGACCAGGTGAATACAAATGCCCAGGTCTCCCACCGCCTGAGGGTGGGGTACCGGTTGACATGAGAGCACGTCTGTAACACGTAAAGGGTCCAGTCTGCCTGGCTGGTGAAAGGGGAGGTTCTGTCCATCTTAGCAACCTCAGGGCCTCACAGGCTGGTTTAATGTTTATTCAATAACAAGACTCCTTTCCCACGTTTGTGCAGAGGATGGCTGGGTTGGCAGGACATTCTGTTTTTAATAATTTCCCGGATACTACCAGTCACATCCGCCACCCTACCCCTCCAAGTCTCCCGTCTCCACAGCAGCCCCAATGTCACTAGTGGCCATCACACAACGCGGCGCGTGTCAACACCCTTCAGATGGATGTGCTCTTTGAACACGCCCTGCCGGTGACGACTGATGGAACTGAGATGCCTCCAAAACCGAAAGACGCAAAGTGAGGGAAGGTGGCCTGAGACTTGGTCAGACACCCGGAGCCCAAAGGCCACACGATGGGGAGTGGGCACCTGGCAGCCCCCTCCCAACCTGTGGGCACAGACTCTCCGGGTGCTGCTCATCCATCCCTGCAGGAGATGCTTACAACACACCCACTTCTAAAACCCCAGAGTTTTTTCTTCCCAGGGTGTCAACTGGGCGCACCCCTGCTGGCTCAGCCCAGCGGCCAGCAGTGGGTACACAGGCCGGGTGCGGTGCTGTGGACAGCAGGCCCCGGGTCCTGGTACAGACGCCTACGCCCACCAGAGGCTCTGCCCCTGACACCACGCAAAGAGGTCAGCCGGACCCCTGCCCTCACTGGCTCTGTGGCCTTCAGGGGGTTCCTAGGTCACCACGAGACCAGCCCAAGGGGACTTACTGCACAGGAATCTATGAGGCCTCAGTGGCTGGGTCACAGCTCTGCCTTCAACCTCGGCAGTTGTTCACCCCCCTGTGGCTCCATCCTGTGTCCGTGGAACCACTTGTCCCGGGACCCCACCCAGGGACTCTCGCACAGCAACAGGGCAGCTGGCAGGCGCAGGCGAATCAAGCCCAGGTGTTGGCAGCCTCTTCCTTTCTGGGCAGGCTGCTGACAGATGGGCCACTGGGTGGCCCTAGGGCCCCTGTCCTGCTCACGGGGCTGAATGAGGAAGCACACTGGGGATACTCCAGGCCTCAGGGGAGGTGAGCTCTGCAGGTGGGAGTGCAGAAAGGGAGGGGCCACAGGGGGTGGCTGTTCCAGGAAGAAGGCCCTTCCTGAGCCATAGGACCCGGAGCTACATGAGGGCCGTGGGGTTTGGTCAGAGGGTTGCAAAGTCACAGGGTGAGGAAGCAGGAGGTGTGGGGGCAGAGGCCAGGTTCCCAGGGCCCAGGAGAAACACTGGGGGAAGGTGTCAAGAAAGTGGCCTTGTGGCCACTCGGGCAGCTGGAGCAGCTCCCGGCAAAGCCTTGGGGCCTCAGAGTTAAGTCATGGAGGGAGGGTCCTGGTGAGGTTCCACCTGGACCCCCTGAGGTTTCCTCACCCGGCACGGCCCTGCACTGGAGCCGTCCTCGACCCCATTTACCCTCACAGTGACCCTTCCCGGGGCTGCGCATGCTGCTCACAGCCGAAGGAACTGAGGCCTGGGGCCCGCTGCCTCCCCGGTCAGCTACTGGTGCTTACTGGGGTATAATTCACATAGTGTAAAATTCACTCTTTTAAGGTATGCAATTCAGTGGTTTTCCCTGTATTCGCAGAGTTGTACAACCATCACCACAATCTATTTCCAAAGCATTTTTATCACTAAAACCCTATACCCCTTGACAGCCACTCACAGTTCTACACACACACACATCTGCTCTCTGTCCCTGTAAACTGTCTATTCTGGCCGTTTCATATGAGCGGGATCACACAGCCTGTGGCCGTTCGTGTCTGGCTTCCATTCAGCATGATGTTCTCCAGGTCCACCCATGCCGGAGTGTGAATCAGAGCTTCACTCCTAACTGCAGCTGATTAATGGTCCATTGTATGGACAGGGACTTGGGCTGTTTCCGCTTTTCGGTTACTGTGAGTCATGTTCCTGTGGACATTCACATAAAAACGTTTGCGTGGACCACTGCTCCCTGCTGATTTGGCGCGTGCCCGGACGGACTGCTGGGGCCCACAGGAGCCGCACGCGTAACTTTCGGAGGAACTGCCGGACTGTTTGCGCAGTGGGCGCAGCTTCTCCGCATCCTCCGCCACAGCTTTCGCTGTCCCTTTTTTTTACTCTAGCCATCTATCTACATGGACACAAAGTGGCATTTCACCGGTCACTAATGATATAGAGCATCTTTTCGTGTGCTTATTGGCCATTTGTGTATCTTCTTTGGGGAAATGTGTATGAAAGTTCGCTGCCCACTTTTTTTCCGGTCATGTTCTTATTTCACTGTAGGGGAGCCTGAGCAGCTTGGGCTTGGCTCTGCCCTGAGCGGCTGGCTCCAGGTCTTTACACTTTCAGCACCTGCAGGAAGGTCCCTGGGTGCTGGATAAAGTCACTCACCACAGGAATGGACGTTTAAAAAAAAGGCCAGGTGGGCAGCAAGTGCCCACCGTCAGGCAGGGGAAGTCATTGTAGCCATGGAGGCTGGCCCTCTCCATTTTCTGCTTGGCGTTGGGGGGGGGTACCAAGGTCACTCATACTGCCGAGGAGGGAGAGGAAGGGCACAGCCCCCAGCTTCTCCCTGCCATTGGGCAAGGTCAGCTCCACCAAGCTCACGTGTTCCAACACCTTGGGCCACACCTGGCCCAGCAGCCCGCAGGCTACACACAGGGCTCTGCCTGCAGATCGTCCATGACTGTCACCTTCCGCCCTGGCTCCAGGGTGTCTCTCTGGGTTTCCAGGTCAGCCTTCCCATGTTCCAGCGCATAGGAGGTGGACACTGAGGGGCCAGGTAGGTTTCCTCCCTTTTGGATGAGCACACGGCCCAAACCAAGTTCCTGGGCTGCGGAGGGGCCGAACAGAAGGCCTCGGGAGTTTAGGCCCACGATGTCATCAATCTTGCTGCCATGGGTCTTCTTCTGGTGACTCGCCAGTGGGCTGATGGAAGCACAAAGGAGACAGGCCCTTCAGGAGGGGCGAGGTATCCCTGGACAGCACACCTGGGATGGGAAAGTCCGGAAGCTGCAGATGGGCTGTGCCACCAGCTGCCACCAGCTATGCCACCAGCTGCAGCTGGGGGGCCACCACTGCTGCACCTCCTGTGCCCAGGAGCTGGCTGGCTCTCTCTGCCCATTTTTAATTAGATTGGTTGTCTTTTTACTGTTGAGTTGCTAAAGTTCTTAGACAATCTGAGTATTATTCCCTTGTCAGATACATGATTTACAAATATTTTCTCCCATCCTGTGGATAGAAATTTTACTTTCTTGAAATGTATTCCTTTGAAACACCAAAGTTTTTTTTTAATAAAGGTCAGGTTTGCTTTTTCTTTTGTTGTTCATGCTTTTGATGTCATGTCTTAGAATGTATTGCCAAATTCAGGGTCATAAGATTCATCTCTGTTTTAAGTAAATGAATGGATCAAAAGATTATGGTACATATACACAATGGAATTCTATGCAGCAGAAAGAAAGAAGGAGCTCCTACCCTTTGCAACAGCATGGATGGAACTGGAAAGCATTATGCTGAGTGAAATAAGCCAGGCGGTGAAAGACAAATACCATATGGTCTCACCTTGAACAGGAAGGTAAACAACAAAACAAACAAGCAAGCAAAATAAAAACAATGACACTGAAATAGAGAACAGGGGGACAGCGACCAGAGGGGAGAGGGGAGGGAATTTCAGGGGAAAAAGGGGAAGGGTTTACTGGAACAAGTATAAAGGACACATGGACAACAACTGAGGGGGGTGGAAATGGGAGGGAGGTGGGGGGCAAGGGGGGCGGGCTGGGATGGGAGTAAAAGACAGAATACCGTAGTTGAAAAATAATTAAATTTTAAAAATCTAAAAAAAAGAGTTTTATGGGTTTAGCTCTTTTAAGTCACTGAACACTTTAATTTTCATTTGTGGATGTGGACAGCCACTTGTCCCTGCGCCATTTGTAGAAAGGACCACCTCTCTCCATTAAATTGTTCTGGTACCGTCGTCAAACATCAAGCCTCTAAATGCACAGGTTTATCTCTTGACCCGCAACTCTATCCATTGGTCTGTATAAGTATCCTTATGACTACCACACTGTCTTGCTTACTGTAACTGTAGAGCAAATTTTGAAACTGGTGTGTGTGAGTCCCCCTTTGTGCTCTCCTTTTTTGAAACTGTTTTGCCTATTCTGGGCCCCTTGCATTTCCATAGGAATTTTAGGTTAAGCTCATTAACTTCTGCAAAAAAGCCAGCTGGGATTTTGGGAGGGATTACATTGAAATCTGTGGATCGGTTTGGGAAGGTTTTCCACTTAATGATATCGTCTTCCAACCCATGAACACAAGGTGTCTTCCTGTTTCTTTAGTTCTTCTTTAATTTCTTTCCATGATGTTTTGTGGTTTTCAGTGTGCCCCTTCCCTAGTCACACTGCAAGGCCACAGAAGTTACCCGGGAATTAAAGCCGAGAACCAGACCCCCACGCAGAAGTAGGTTAGGGAGGATGAGGGGTAGAAGCGCAGAATACAACACCCCCCTTCTCTATCAAAACACTCCCCTCGTCAGGAATCGATCGCTCTCCCCACCTCCCTCTCTCTCTAAAGCATAAATTAGCTGAAAGAAACAAGCTGCCCCTGAGATTTCCCAGAAACCATGTGTAGTCTGACCTAGGCCTTCCAGGATCTAGCCCAAAACCTATTCTTCAAAGAAAACAAGACGATAAAATTGATTAACCTCCTTTATTACAGAAAAAAAGAAGACAAAAATTACCACCATCAGAAATTAGAGATGGCATCACCACAGATCCTACAGGCATGAAAAAGGATAATAACAGAATACTAGGAATAACTTTATGCCAATAAATTCGACAACTTAAATGAAATGAACCAATTCATTAAAAGACACAAAAGCTTACTTTTGTACTTGAACTACCAAAACTTACGTTGAAAAAAAAAACCAGGTAACTCGAACAGCCTTGTATGAACTAAGGAAATTGAATGTGTGGAGGGAAAGTATTCCTACAAAGAAAATTCAAGGCTTAGAAAATTTTACCAAACATCTAAAAGATAAATGATACCAGTTCTATACAAACTTTTCTAGCTAATTAAAATAGATTTAACACTTTCTACCTCATTCATTAAGGCCAACATTAAACTCGTATCAAAACTAGAAAATGACATTATAAGAAAACTATAGCCTTGTCTGTTGTGGCTCAGTGGATTGAGTGCCAGCCTGTGAACCAAAGGGTCACTGGTTCAATTCCAAGTCAGGGTATATGCCTGGGTCAAGGGCCAGGTCCCCAGTTGGGGGCGCATGAGAGGCAACCACACATTGATGTTTTTCTCCCTCTCTTTCTCCCTCCCTTCCCCTCTCTATCAAAATAAATAAATAAAATCTTTAAAAAAAACTATAGACCAATATCCCTCACAGAGAGCAAAAATTCTTAGGAAGAATTTAGCAAATTGAATCCAGCAATACAGAAAAGTATAATACATCATGACCAAGTGGGGTTTATCTCAGGAATGCAAAGGTGGTTTTAAAATTCTTCATTGTAATTTACTGTATCAACAAACTACAAATGAAAACCAAATGCTCATCTCAACAGACGCAGAAAAAAAGCCCAACAAAGTCCAACATTCTCTTTTGATAACTAGGCAAACTGAAGAACAAAGGGCAGGTCTTCAGCCTGGTGAAGGCACATACAAGAACCTTAGCTCACATCATACTCAACGGTGACGGACGGCATGCTCTCCCCCTACATCAAGAAAAGAAAAACTGCCCACTGTTACAATTTCTATTCAACATTATTCCAGGGGTTCTAGCCAATGCATTAAGACAGGGAGGAAAATCATACAGATTAAGAATGGAAAAATAACCTTGTCTTTATTCACAATCAACATTATCATCCGTCCTGAGGAATCTGCTGTAAAGCTGCCAGACCACCGAGTTCAGTGAGGTTTCAGGGTGCAGGGTTGCATTTGTCAGGGAAACAGAACCAGAACCAATATGTGTGTGTGCATGTGTGTGTTTCTTATAGACAACAGAGGCTCACGTGATCATGGAGACTGACAAGTGCCAAGGTCTGAAGGGTGAGTCAGTAAGCTGGTGGCCCAGGAGGACTGATGATACAGCTCCAGCCTGAGTTCAGAGGTCTGAGAACCAAGCGAACCAACGGTGTGGTTCCAGTCCAGAGCAGCAGGCAAGAGACCCAAGATGTTTCCATTGGAGTCCAAGGGCAGGAAGGAGTCTCTCTTCCTTGAGAGGGGTCAGCGTTCTTGTCTTATTTGGGCTTTCAACTGATTGGATAAGGGCCACCCACATTAAAAAGAGCAATCTGCTTTACTCAGTATGTGTTAGAATCAACATAGACACAGAAAAATAGAACAAACTGAAGAAGCGAGAAGTAGACTTAATACATATACGGACAATTGATTTTTGACAAGAAAATGTCAAGTCAATTCAGTGGGGTAAAGATAAGCTCTTTAAATATTGAAAGAAGTGGATATCTAATGCAAACCTCATACCAGATCCAAAAATTAGCTTCAAACTGACCAGGAATTTGAATGTAAAACCTAAAACTATAAACTTGCTAGAAGAACATATCAGAGAGAATATCTATGATCTTGAGTTTGGTAAAGACTTCTTAAACAGGACACAGAAAGCATGAAGTATACGTACGAAAGAAAAAGTCAATAAACCAGACTTCATCAAATTAAATTGTTTTGCTCTTCAAAAGAGTTATAAAAATGAAAAAGTCACCAACTGGGAAACCATATTTGCAACACATGCCCAGAAAAGAACATGTATCCAGACTATATGAAGAACTCTCACCGCACAATGGTAAGAAAAATAACTTAGCCCTGGCTGCTGTAGCTCAGTGGACTGAGTGCGGGCCTGCGAACCAAAGTATTGTGGTTTGATTCCCAAACAGGGCACATACCTGGATTGCAGGCCAGTTCCCAGCAGGGGACACACAAGAGGCAAACCATACATTGATATTTCTCTCCCTCTATCCTTCCCTTCCCCTCTAAAGATAAATAAAATCTTTAAAAATAAATAATAAAAAAAGAAAACTAACTCAATTTTCTTTAAATGGGCAGAACCTTTGAACAGATACAGCAGCCCTTGACCCTGGTCTCCCAACCACACCCTCTCCCTGTGCTGGACGGATGGAGAAGCTGCACCCAACTGCCCACCCAGAGCTTCCCTACCCAACTGCCGGCTACTGCACCACGTGCCCACCTGGTACCCCACCCCCCATACCATTAAGGTAGTAGCTCCTCCTGGTCCTGTCCCCTGAGGGCAGGCTGCTCTCCGAGAAGCACACCTTCTTGGGCCGCACCATCTCCCTGGGCTCCAGCAGGGTCTTGTCCACCAGGGGGTCCTGCAGCGGGTTCAGGAGTGGGCAGAGCTTCCTGTCCGCGCTTCGAGTTGTGTGCAGCTCCGGGGTGCTGAGGAAAGTCTTGAAGGGCACCTGGGAGGTCGTGGCACAGCCTGGGGAAGCATCATCCTCATTGGAGAGCGGGACGTGCGAGCAGAGCAGGTCCTCTAGGGAGGGTGTCTGCAGCTGGGAGGGCACATCTGGAACGCTGGTGAACCTTCCAATATCTGGCACTGAAGCAGGGAGCAAAGGGAGGAGAGGTCAGGCTGATGTTCCTAAAACATCCCCAGAAGTGTAGAGGACACTTTAAGGACACTCGCCTGCCCCACCCCAAGCTGTGAGACCTGCTCACACTCCCCATCTTCAGAGCCCTCCCCTCTGGGGAAGGTGAAGGACAGTAGGTGCAATGACCGTGGGCCCCACCCCTGTCCAAGGAAGCCACCTGACTCAAGTTTATGGGCATGGGGAGCAAGTGTACCTTCGAGCTCCTACCCACCTGTGTGTGCATTCACACCCAATACAGAGTGACCTTTACTGCTTTTTAAATTTTACGTAAATGGTATCAACCTATGCCTGTTTTATCCTGCAACATACCTTTTGCTGAAGCATTATCCTTGTTGAGATTTATCTGTGCTGAGTCCCTTGGTAGCTACCTGGTTCAGCCAACCCCTTTCTGCACATGTGGATATGTACACACATGGGCACGGTGAGTTTTTTACCAAGTGCCCTACTGCATGTGGGGCTGTTTCCAGCTTTTCTTGTAAAAGCAAAGCTGTGATGAGTATCCCTTGACCCACCTCCTCGCTCCCAGAGTGCTTCTGTTGTCTCCAGGGGGGCTCAGGTGCGTGCATTTAACTTTGTTTTCTACAACAGCAGCAGCTTCTGCCCCGCCCCCCCATCACTCCTTGGTATGTGCAGGCCAAGCTGATGATGACACATAGCTCTTCCCTAATCTGTGGTGACACTGAACGTCTCATGGATCCGTGGGCCTGTCAGGGTTCCATTCTGTATATTATCTGTGTCTCTTCTTTGCTCATTTTTTTGGTTGGGTGGTCATTTTAAATTATTGGTAGTGTTCCTTTTGTATTCTGCATCCTAATTTCTTGTTCATAAAATGCCTTCTTCTAGTAGGTGCCTTGGTGACATTTCAACCCCTTTTATGGTGACTCTTATCATATAGAACCTACCGATCCTTTTGTGACTTATAAAATGCATTTCAACTCCTATGTCATCTACTCCTGTGTCACTTTTTTTCTCCTCAAAATAAAGCAAATGTATATATATTTTAAAAATAGTTTAAGAACTATATTACAAAATTAAATCCTAAATGTGGCTACTCAGAGACCAACTAATCCATCCCCAGCAATGTTTTCCCCAAAAAACATGTTCTACAGAAGGAAAGTGATCAGTATGAGTCCCGCCCCCAGTCTGCCCACAGCCAACACCACTAATCCCGGCTGCTGCCCAAGGGCCTCCGCCGCTCCCGCCCCAGTCGGCTGCATGGCCCTGAAACTCCCAATGGACATCTTCCAAGAATTGACCAGCATGAGACATCGAACCCCCTCAGTCCTGAGTTCTTCTGCAGAGGACAGAGGAGCCCTGTGCTCAGAAAGGGGGTTCCCTCCCAGGGGTTGGAATCTGGGGAAGAGTGACATCTATGACTGGCTTTAAAGGGACTTTTGTTGTGGTCAGATGAGTTTGGGCTTTGCTTCAGCTTCTGTTTAGTAAATTGTAATTCCCTCCTGTTGTTTCCAAGACTTCAATAAATTTCTGTTCAACGTTTTTTTTTTTTAATTTAACCATCAGTCATGTCCAAAATGTAGGTATAATTTTAAGCCACATTACAATAAAACTATAAAGGAATAACAAGAGTCAACAAAAAACTCTGTCCCCTCAAAATTAAAAAGATTCTCCTGAGTAACAATCACATCAAAAATAAAAAATAAAAATAAGAAAACACTATTATTGAGAAATAATGAAAATCAGAACACTATAGTAAGACACCAATACATTTAAAACTATACTTGGCATGAAATCAGCAACATAAGTGCTTTAACTACTTTTTAAAAATCACCAAAAAAATTAAATACTCAAATCAAGATGTGAGAGTAACTCTTAAGGAAAGCAAAAGTTAAAAAATAATAAAAATGACAGTAGAAATAAATTGGAAACAGCTCTATGGAAAGTCCAATAAGATAGCCAAACCGTGGACAGCTACTTTAGAGAAATAGAAGCCATGCAGGAATAAAACTGGAAATGAGAAAGTGGCATAAGAATGACTAGGGAGGAAATGTTTAAATTATAAAAGATTACATGCAATTACATACTAACTGAAAATTTTGACAAAAGAAGAGATATTCTGGGAAATTGTTTTTAAATGACTCAATAAGAAGTAGAAAACCTAAATGGACCAATAAGGAATGAAGACAAATCTAGAAGTTATAAAATAATTATGCTCTAAAGCAGCAACTTTCAACAGGTGCGCTGCAAGAATTTTCAAAGCAGGCAACACCTGGACTCTTAAGTCGGGGGCACTGACCTCTTTCCCCTCAGACTGTCAAATGAAAAATGACAACAGTCAATACAACAGTAGCCATCCAGTGTGAAGGAATCAAAATTATCTTTTTTTTTTTTTTCGTCATGCTTGAAAACCCAAGTAAAGGGAACAGCCCGACAGGAGCCCAGCACGCCCTGCGCCCGGAGCAGGCGCGGCTGCTTTGCAGTGCTGGGCGTTGGGAAGGTGCCGGAAGGCGGCACCTGCTCCTCCGCGGGCAAAGTGCAGAGGCCGCACGCAGCCTTCAGAGGATATTTGTCAGCGTTCGTGTCAACATTTCAACCGCTTGCACCCTTTGACCCAAGGATTTCCCGGGCAGTCACCCCTGCAGCAGGTCACAGAGGCACGCATCAGGCTGTCCGTGGTCACAACGTGCTGGAAGGACACTGCCTGTCATGGCGCTGGGCTGAGGGACAATGAACTTCACACCGACAGTCTGCTCTCTGGCGTTTAGATCTACAGAAGAGAGCAATGGGCGACGGCAGGGAGACGGACGGTGGAGGGAAAGTCAAAGTGAAGGCGAAAAGATGCCCAGACATACACATCAAAAACCTCAGATAGAAAGCCAAGCAAACGTTGGCAGAGGCTGCCTTTGGGGGTGGGGCCAGGAGCACGGCACAGCCTTCTGTGTGTGTCGTCTTGGGTATTTATATTGTTGAATAAGAAAAACGAGTTTTTAAAGCACATCCTTTTGAAGGCAGAGGCTGAGAGACTGTGGGATGTGTGAGCTGCGGCTGTGAGGTTCCCTCTGTGCAGGAACTGCTGCTTGTGCAGGAACTCTCGCTCATCCGCCAGTCCCCAGGGACCAGGCTGCTCCTGCAGAAGCTGAGGGTCCAGTGGGGCCGGACTCAGCAGCCAGAGTCCCTGCTGTGGGGATGACCCAGATCAGAGCTGAGGTCCCTCCTTGGGGGTAACAGGGCCCACGGGGACTTGGCCCATGCCCTCTGCCCTGGGCTCCAAGACCTCTCTGTGGAAGCTCGGTGGCCTCAGCTGACCGGTGAATGGAGCTGCTCTTCAGGCTGACAGCCAACAAGACCTGGACTCGCCCAGGGGCAGGGGTGCTGGCTGTGACCCAGGAGACTCAGCTCTGGCTTAGATGCTGACAAGGGTCCTTATAGGAAGAGCCCAGCCTAAGTGATGGTTTCCACCCTCCCAAAGCCCACCTTCCATCCAGGCAAGGCACAGGGTCAGGGAGCACACCACAGCACCTTCCCACTGCCAACCACACTGCCTGCCTGGGCCCAGAGGGTCGGCTCAGCCTGACTCAAGTCTCAGGATGAAGGACAATGAAGCCGCACGAGGCGCATGGACTCGGCAGCTGTCACAGGCAGTGAGGCTTTCGGACAAGTCCTTTGGTGGCTGCACATTAGTCTTTCCTAGTAGCCTGAGAAGGCAGCATTGATCCTTACCAGGTTGTCACACCCAGGACACAACACTGGGAGGCCAGTCCCTCCTCAGCAAGCGCCAGTGACAAGCAGGTGCCTTAGCCACTAGTGGCGAGTTCAGAACAGGGGGCTGCAGCTGGCTGGGGCCTGGGGGCTTGGGGTTTCTTCGGCTTCCTTCCTGGTATATCCCTCTACTCCTGCCTTCCCCCTTCAACCCCTGAGGACCCCATGCTTAACCCAGCTCCCTCTTTAACATCCCCTTTGAAGCTCCAAGGTGTTCAGATGACATGAAGGGGTCCATGCAGCCAAGGGCTTCAGGCCCATGAGCTCTGTGCAGCCACCACAGTCAGGAGGCAGTCGCCTTCACCTGTACTGACCTTGCTCAGGGGCGGGGGCAGGGGCAGGTGCTCAGGTGGACTCTGGGAAGTGACCACATCCAATGCAGAGCCCAGCAGCCAGTCCCTGGAGCATCCCACTGGGGGACTGGCACCCCGCCAAAGGGGTTCACCCTGTAACGGCAGGTCCGAAGGCCAGCAGAGAGGCTGTCTGATCCAGCAGGGCAATCCAGCAGGCCGGGTGCATGCTCAGCCCCGGCCTGGCCAGGCGGTTGAACGGGCTCATTCCCAAGAGCTCGCTCGGTCACAGGGCTCCGTCCATGGTCTATGTCCAAACCACTCATGCCCATCAGCCACGCCCCAAGTCACACTTTCCATGTATGATAGGGAATTTTTTCACAAAAATAGATAAATCAGAACCAACTACTTTTGCAGCAAGTAATCGAAGACTATTTTTTTTCTATGAAAAGTCAGAGTATTGGAGGAGATGCTACGTGGTAAGCTGATTCCAGCTCTGAGCTCACTCCTTCCCAGGGACTTGCACCCACCCCACCTCTCCTCCTTCCCTGCATGGTCGCTTCCTGCCCCGGGTGCTGGGCTCCACCACAGGACTCCTTTGGCTAATGGCATGTGAGCAGGGGAGATACAGCAGAGGATCGAAGCTGGCATGGTTGTCGAACCTCCCCCTGCTATGAGATGCCCAAGCCCAGGTGAGCTCTCCGGCCCCAGCAGAGGGATATGTGCAGCAGAGGGGGGTGCCAGCCTGCCGGGCTAACCCCAGAGGACATGGAGGACCAGAGAGCACACACACCCTGTTTTAAACCACTGTGGCAGTGCTCATGTGCCCGTCACTGACTGATACACTTCCCAGCTCCAGTGGCTAAGCCACCACACCCCATTGTCCAGGCGTGGACTGACGGGCTCAGAGAGGAGGAGGGCCTCACCTGAGGACACTCAGCAGAGTGAGCACCTGGGACCTGAGGGAAGGAAGGGTGGCTGGGACCACCTGCAGGAGCAGCCCCCCTGCTCCCGGGCCAGCCTGGGCCCTCACCTGCAGTCCCAGGGGAGCAGTCCTCGGGGTAGGCAGGCGCCTTGGGGAAGAGAATGTCCCGGCTGCCACGGCCACAGCTCTCCTGGCAGCTCTCACTGAGCAGGCGCTTCAGCATCTGGTTCTCCTTGAGGAGCCGTACCTGCTTCTTCAGGTCGGCGTTCTCACTCATGAGCCTGCTCATCAGCTCGTTTCCTTCAGCCATGGCCACGACTTCCTGCTCACGTGTGGGCCTTGGGCCCCATGGAGATGGAAATCCAGAGCCACGGATGCCCCAGAAACGGTCCAGACCAGAGTTCCACGATGGCCCCACCTTCCACAGCCTTGTGATGTCACCTTAAAGAGGCAGCGCCTTGCCCACCCCTACCCACAGACTTTGCACTGTGCCCAGACCGGGGCGCACATGGCAGACAACTCACACGAGGGGGAAACGAGGGAGGTGGGGCCAAGGAAAGTCTAGGTGGGGGACCTGAGATGTTCATGGGGAGGCCAGCCCGGCCAAGGGAACATACAGGACCAGGCCTGAGACCAGACAGTTCTGGCACCTTCTAGGAACAGCCAGAATATTAGGCTGAGGGTTGTCAATCCATCCACACCATGGGACTCCGCAGGCCCAGTGGGGACACCGCCTTCACTCTGAGTGACTGGTGCGGCCGCTCTCAATCCCTGCGACCCCGACCTTCCACCGCCCCCAGCCCAGCCACTTCCAAACTCCAGGCGCAGCCAGGCTCTAGGAGGCTGGCCAATCAGCCCAAACCCAGGCCGGTGTCTTGTGCCCCTGGGACACACTCGCAAGGGAAGAAGAGGCAGTGAGGGCAGGGGAAGCCAAGCTGAGAGTCCATGAAGGTCCCAGCCTCAGAAGCCCCAACAGCTCCAAAGGACTGGCAGGTGGAGGCCGCCTGCTGACCACACTGCCCAGGTGGAAAGAGCCCAGGCGGCACATCTGGGTCCCTAACAGACAGTGCAGAGGGTCTGAACACTGACATTTAATAGACCTAACTGAAGACCCCCCCGCCGGAGCATGGTTGCCATCTGGACCAATCCCAGGCAGCCCTGTGGCTCACTGCCAGAGCCAGAACCAGACTGCAGCCCACACACGGTCTGCCGGGCCTCCGTGAAGCGCCCCCATGGGACCACCCCAGGAAGCCCCTCCCGTAACTGCTCATCAGGTAACTGAGCTCCATGCTATTTCCTGGCTCCAAAGGTCTTGGTCCTGCTTTTCCAAAACCACGAGGCAACAGACAGGTCACCCCCTGACCCTCTGGAAAAGGAACACAGCCCCAAAAGGGAACCAGCGTGTCCTCCATCCCTTTAGCCCCAGTGCTGGGCCCCTGGCTCAGCATCAAAGTACCCTGGGAGCAGGCGGTGCGCAGGTGTCTCCAGGCAGAGCGAGGCCTTTGTTCCCCATGCTGCCCAGTGTCTGTCATGCCGCTTCAGAGACCGTAAGCCAGAGTCAGGCTTTGTCGGAAGGAGGACTTCTAAGTCCCAAAGGTCCCCTACACTTCCCGCCCCCCCCCACTAGTGTCTGGACCCACAGGCCCTCACATCAGAGGGCAGCACCTCCAGGAAAGGTGTGGGGGCTTCCAGAGCCCAAAGCAGAGGCCCTCCATGGGCTCCTCCCATTGCATTCAAATCCCATTTCTTTCCCAGAGCAAGAAAACCTTCTCCACGTCACCAGGGGTGACCAACCTTGTGGCGTCTCTGGGCCACACTGGAAGAAGAGTTGTCTTGGGCCACCCATTAAAAACACAAATACTAATGAAAACTGATGAGCAAAGCAAAGGTTTTAAGTAAATTTATGGTTTTGTGTTGGGCCACATTCATAGCCATCCTGGGCTGCGCATGGCCTGCAGGCTGTGCGGGGGTCGGACCCCCCTGCCAGCCCCTTCAGCCTCGGGCCTATCAACATTTTTGCCAGTGTTCTGGTCGTGATGCTTTTAACACAGTTCTGGATTCAACATGCTGTTACTTTAAGTGTTTTCTATGTGGTGAGGGGAAACTGCACTGTCTCCTTTTCCTGTAACGTCCTGGTCTGGTTTGGCTGTCGAGGTCACAGTGACCTTATGAGTGGCAGAGGGTTCCCTCCTCCATTTTCCAGTATTTGTGTTAGTTTCTTTCTTTCTTAAATGTCAGATAAAATTCATGAGTGAAGCCGTCTGGGCCTAGAGTTTTCTTTTGGGAAACTTTTTAATTTATAATTCAATCTGTTAAACAGACACAGTTATTTCAATTTTCCATTTCTTTGCATGTCCATCTAGGCAATGGTCTGTGAAGGAATCTGCCTCATCTACACCATGGAGCACTGTCATTCGGCAGTTTGTGACATCGCCTTACCCCCACCCCCGCAGTCTGAGGACAGAGAAACACAGCCAAGGCGGAAACCGTGAGGGACAAGCGGAGAGGCAGCCTTGGCAGGTCTTTGCGGCAGCAGCGTATGCGTCAAACAGGGCAGGTGGGAACAGTATGGCCCGGAAGGAAGGGGCAGGCTCAGTGGGGCAGGCTGGACGGTCAGCTCGGCCGGTGACCAGCCTGAAGAAGCAGGCCCCGGGAATGACCCGACCAGGTCAGCACTCAGCAGGGCAAGCTGGACAGCTTGCTTGCTACCTGCAGAATCCATAGTGATGTACCTTTTTCATTCCTGATACAGGTTGTCTCCTTACTTCCTTAGACTAGAGGCTTGTTAATTTTTCAAAGCATCAGCTTTTGGTTTCACTGGTCTTCTCTATTATGTTTTTCTTTAATAGAAATTAACTTTTTTATCTATTATTTCCCCTCTTTGAACACTTTGGTTTTAAGATCCCTTAGGGGGAATACTTAAATCATTGGTTTTAGCCCTGGCTGGTTGGCTCAGTGGACTGAGTGCCAGCCTGCAAACCAAAAGGTTACCAGTTCAATTCCTGGTCGGGGAGCACGCCTAAGTAGCTGGCTACCAGGTCCCCAGCTGGGGGGGCGTAGGAGAGGCAACTGATCGATGTTTTCCTCACACACAGATGTTTCTCTTTCTCCCTCTCTTTCTCCCTCCCTTCTCCCCTCTCTGAAAATAAATAGAATCTCAAAAATAAATAAAATCGTTGACTTTAAACTTGGTTTACAGCACCAACATGTAAGCCTATCGGCATTTCTGTAAAAGTGCTGCTTTAGCGACAACCCCCCACTTTGATGCCGTGTTTTTACTTTCATTCAGCTGGAAGTATTTTCTGATTTCCCAAGTGCTTTCATTATTGACCACAGGTTATCTAGAAGTGTATTGTTTAACAATTTCCAAATCTCTGGGATTTTCTAAGTCTTCCCGTAATTTAACTACATCATGATCAGAGAACGCACCCTGTGCGGTTCCTCGAGACTCGTGGCCCAGCACATGGCCAGGCCCAGCAAACAGCCCTCGCGCCCTCCAGCGCCTGAAAAGCACGTGAGGTGACACGCTCCACAAATGCCGATTCCCGCAAGTTGGTTCAAGGTGGGCTTTGCGTCTAGAATTCCTGAAACGAGTGACACAATCTCCCACTTTGAGTATCCGTCCAATTCTCTCCACCTTTGCTTCATGCCCTCTAAAACTGTTACTAGGTGCATATGCATTCAGGACTGTTACTTTGTCTTGATGAACTGACGTTCCTATCAGTATTAATGGTTTATTTCTGGTCCCATTCATTTTCCTGAAGTCGACTTTGGTATTAAAATACAGCACTTCTGCTTGCTTAGGCCTAGTGTCTTTGTTATTTATTTTCCTGAACTGTACTTCTACCCTGTATTTTATACTTAAAATCTCTTATGTACGACATGTATGGGTAATGCTTTTTTATTGTCTGGGTGACCATCTCTGCCTTTCAAGTGGAGAACTTAGCCCTTTACAGTAAATAAAATTATTGAAACGGTTGGTACATTAGTATTCTAGGGTTGCCATAACAAAACAACCCAGACTGTGGGCTCACACAACCTAAGATTATTTTCTCACAGTTCTGGAAGCTCCAAGAACTGCTTTTCCAAGATCAAGATCAAGATCAAGATCAAGGTGTGGGCAGGGCTGGTTTCTACAGAGGCCCCTCCCCTTGGCTGGAAGATAGCCCTCCCCCCGCCCCTCCCCCCACACACCCCCCCATGCACTCCGGTGGCCTTCTCTCCTTGCCTGTGCACTCCTGGTGTGTCTCTCTCATGAAGACACCAGTCCTGTTGGATGAGGGCCTCACCCTTATGGCCTCACTTAATCTTCCTTATCTCCTTAAATCCCTGTCTCTTAATTCAGTTCCACACCAATTTGGGGGAGGACACAGTTTTGCCCTAGAGTTGGGTTTAACTCCATTATCTTAATTGTTTTGTTTGTCCCATCTGTTCTTTCTTCTTTTTCCTGTCTTCACTTTGATCATTCTACCTCCTGGTGGTGGCGGTTTGCTCTAGGGTTTACAATCAGTTTCTTCTCCTTATCAGTCTATCGTAAAGAACATGCTGCCGCCGAACGTACCACCTCTACGTGAGTTAAGACCCCCACAGCAGCACTGGCCCATGCTCTCCATGACCCTTCCCATATTGGGGTCCTGTCACTTCTCCAGACCCGAAAAATGCCATTATCACTTTTGCTTCTGAAAGTTAATTATATGTAAAGGAAATTTTTTAAATAACCCCCCTGTAGGGGGTTAGCTTCTACATTTCCCAGACTTGCCATTTCTGGTGCTCTTTATTCCTTGGTGAGGACCAGTTTCCATCCGTCACTATCCTCCAGCCCAAACAACTTACATCTCTTCTAGGGCGAGGAGGCTGGAGAAGTCCTTCGGCTCTGGCTTGTGTTTTCTCCGAATATGGAACTTTAAGGTGACCAGTTGTTTTCTTTTTCCCACTCTTCTCCCCCACATTGTTCCTAATGAGAAGCTGGCCATCATCTTTGTCTTTGTTCACCTATTATGTGATGTCTGCTTTTGTTTTTAAGACTTTTATTCATCATTGGTTTGATCAGTTTGGTTATGAAGTGCTTTTTTGGTTTTGTTTTTTTAAGGGGCCCTGTGTGATTATTCTGGTATGTGTCTGCTGAGCTTCATGGATCTCTGGGCTTACATATTTCATATTTGGAAGAATCTCAGCCATGATTACCTGGGAAGTTTTTCTGCCTCCTGCCCACCCCCACCCCCTGCCACCCTTCCCTGGAGACTCCAAGCATATATAGTTACACACCACTCAATAAAGGGTGAGGCAAAAGCATGTTCACAGGTGTTCATATGGAAAATAATATAATTAATAAATAATACAAGAACTGTTCTGCATGCTCACAACTGTAAACCTTCTTTTGCCCCAGCCTGTATCATCCAACAGGTCCCTGAGGTTTGAAGTCTCCTGGCCACTACGGGGGTTGTAGTACTCACCTGTGCCTTAACGGCCACGGGCTGGCCCTGCTCCTCTACCTGCCCAAGAACCAGAGGGGACATCAGGGAACAAGGGGCCTCAGGATCACTGCATCTCACCACCATACAAGGCCTGGCTGTGGGGTGGGCAACTGAGGCTGCCTGAAGCCATGCAAACCAGCTGTCCTTCATTTGAGTCAGGATGGGTCTCGGACACATCACTGTCCCCATCATCACATGGAAACTACTGGCTGAATTATCTTTGCTAAAGAAAACAAGTAACTCCGAAGTTATCTCTATCACTCTCATCCTCTTGAGGAAAGGGGGTCTTGGAATGGCACCAGAGATGGCAAGTGAAAATGCCAGACACTGAGGTCATACATCACTGGGGAGCTCAAGGTCAAGAAGTGCTGCCCAGCGTACCCAGTAAATCCCCCGCTGTCCAAGCTGCCCCTGCAGGCACCGTGCTGATGGGCTCTGCTGTGACCAGGTGCACTGCGCTGCCGCGCTGTGAGGACCGGCACAACCAGGGACTCGCACCCCTCCTAACCCACGGGGGTCCTGTCTTACAATGAGCTTCCTCTTCACTGCCTCCTGCAGAGCCAGCTCAGAGTCTGGAAGCCAACGACAGCACGTTAATCAGCCCCCTGGCAGGGAGCTCGTGTGCTAACGTTCCCCCAAACCATCAGACTCTCCTGCCCTTATTTCCCTTTGCCTCGAGTTTCTAACCTTAATTCCTTTTTGAAGAAAAGTGAATTATTAAATAAAAATTTATATTGCGGGTGGAGATGAAAAGTAAAGGAAGCCGACCAGGCAACCTATGATTCTTATGCAATTGCTGGGAGACAAGGAAGGAGTATGGATTCCTAAGACATTTTTATTGCCTAAATACAAATTATGTAGCAGTAGCAATTATGTTCAGTAAGGAAAAGCATTTCTCCTAGAGGTAAGTTTCCACTATGAGTTCCTCGACATTTCCTCAAAGGGTGTGAAATTTACATCATGGTGAACATAGAAAACCTCACAAAACTCCAGAGAAAATTTCCCAGCATAATATTCAAAATTTAATCAATGAAAAATAGAGGTTTGAATTCAAGACTCCAGCAATTTACCTAGGATAGAGGACTCGATTTTTAATCAGGTTGAGGCAAATCATTTCCCTGAAATACCTAGGAAGGCACCTGCTTATCTTCAAGCAGCTACTTGTGTTTCCTGAAACCGAGGAGCCAATGAGCTCTGAGAGTCTGGGACCACCAGAGCAGGAGGAGGAGGGCCACGTAGGCAAAGCCTCCGAGAGTGGCAAGGGCCCTGATGGGTTCCAGGAAGGTGATGACGAGGCTAAGGAGGACAGGTGGCCAGGGAAGTGCAGCGTGGGGCTGCCGTCAGTCCAGGAGATGGCACAGAGAAATGACAGGTGGAGGTGGCATTGGGGTGGGGCCTTGCAGGTAACACCAGGCTCGGGTTTTATTCTCATCAAAGCTCTTGGTGACTCCTCCTAGTCATACCCCCGGGGAGGCTGTGAGCACATGAGCTGCTCATCCTCATAGGCCAGTGGCAAACCCAGGCCCCAGAGTGTCTATCCTGAGCCCCAAGTCCATGTACATAGAACCAAACGGTTTAGAGTAGCCAGAAGGGAAATGAGTGGTTTACCACCCAAGAAGCATTACTGGGAAATCTGGCTCCTACTTCAACTCAGAGCAAACTAGGGCACGAAGGTCACAGCTGTCACCAGAGTGTCTTGAGCGTCACACATGCCTGACCAGCTTCAGTGGGTGGTGACCGACAGGCTGGGGTGCTCAGCTGTCCCTGGCACACAGCGGTGCCCCGCTGTGGTAGCCACCAAACCAGTAACCCTTCACCGTTTGTTATGCTTGGCCCCCCTGGGTGTTTCTGTCATTATGAGATGACTGTATACTCTGGAGGGGGGATGCTGGCACCCGGAAACTGAATGCACAGCAGTGCAGTGTGGATGAATGAGATCTGGGGCAGGGTTGCCGTGCTGGTCCCTGTCCTCACTGAGGCCAGGGTGGCGTGGTGAACAGGCAGGCCCAGCCCCTCTACCCCAGGCTGTTCAGGGAAGCTGTCACCTCCCTCGGTCTCACAGACAGAAGATGGAGAAAGAGCCATCCTGGGGGTGAGTCCAGCACCAGGCAGGAGGCAGATAAGGCACAATGCTGAGGACTATTATTGGTCAGGAAAGCGCTCCCAGCCCTGGGCTCACACGAGGACACACGCCCAGGGCCGCAGACACGCCGTGCCTTCTCTAGTGTCACAGTTCATCTCGTTCCTTCCCTCACCCTGGCCCTACACTGACAAGCATCTAAACCACCAGCCTGCCCCTGTGCAGGCCTGGTCCCAGCATTCCCACCAGAGAGGGGAGGGTGGGGCAGGCTTCAATGGCTCCCGGTCAGGCAAGATGTTCCAACCTCACTCTGCAGCCCCGCCGGCCAGGCGCCCACAGGCCCCCTCTCAAGGGTAGCCAGCAAGGGTACTTTCAGGGTGCAGGCGGGAGAAGCGACCTAAGGTCCAGATGGGGAAGATATTCCTGTAGTTCGTGTAGTTGATGGCACAGGACTTATTGAAGACCCCGGAGATGTTTTCCTGAAAGGACACAGGAACTTCAACTCAGGCTCCACCAGGGAGCCAAGAGGCTCCCTGAAGTGACACCCCAGGTGGAGGGCTGGCCAGCTCATGGGGAGTCAGCACAGCAGAGCCTCCACGGCAGTGCTCCCAGCTCTCGGAGCCTTCCACCTGCAGCACCCTCTGGCCTGGTCACCAGTCCCGCACAGGCTTGTTGACCCCAAACTCATTCAGGGGAGGGGAGTTAGCTTCACATGACCTCATGACCCCATGCCAGCAGGGATCGGGCATGAGGGGCCATCAGGCAGAACCCAAGGGCCATCCAGGGCCTCCCAGCACCTTCTGGATCCAGCAGCCCCGCCCCCCAAGCCTCTACTTCATTTGCAAAAAGCAAGATTCTCAAGGACCATCACAGATCTGCCTTCAACAAAGGCCACTCACGGGCGGTGTCTCTCAAATGCCCAAAGCTAAACCGTGCCACTGAGCACCCCATGAGGGACACAGGGCCAGGAGGGGACATAAAGTTGAGGTCAGTGCCGAGCCCTCCACAGCATACCTGGGGCCAATCTCCACTGGGGAGCTGTTTTCTGAGCAGACACCTGACTCCTCTCTCCAGGGCCTCTACGTCAGGATGCCTGTGAGGAGAGGAGGCAGTGAACACACCATCACCACTCTGTGGATGAAACCACCACTAGCTGCAGCCAAAACCCAGCCCGCACCCTCCATAGCCGAGCACAGGACACAGACGTGGAAAACCTAACCCAACACCCAGGAGGTGCCGGCCCCGCTAGGGCCGGTCAGCACACCTCAGGCCATCGCTGCCCAGCTCCACCGGGGAAGTGGAGGACGCAGCACCTGTGGAGCTGAACAGGGCCAGGCAGACAGCCCGGTGAACGAGGGCGACCAGGGGTCCCTGCCACAAGGTGCTGCTCTCCTACACCCCCCAGGAGAGGAGGACACCCCGCCTGGTGCCCACCCTGCCCACTGGTGCTCAGGGCCCTCTGAGGGCCACAGAGGCCACGTGTGCTAACCTCGACCATCCTTGCAGGTTCGGGACCAAGCTCAGCTGTGTGAAGCAGACAAGGGGCTGACCCCTCTCCCCAACGTCCCCACACACTAGGCCCCTGCTGCTCACACTAGCCTGGCCTAACTTGTAGAAGGTTTTAGGAAGATTCTGTAAATGGCCCCAAACCCAACAAGGCAGCACAGCGCAGTATAACTGCGCGCATCTATGTGTACATGTGTGTGCATGTTGTGTGTACATCTGCATGTGTGTACATGCATACCTGTGTGTACACCTGCCTGCACACACACACAGCTAAGCACTGCTGTGGACACAGGCAGAACCATGGAGCGCAGCTGTAGATGGTTCACACCTCGTACTGTTTTCCTGGGGCCTCTCAGCCCCAGGTCCTCTGTCATGGCGCTGTGGTAGTGAGCCTCTTCGCAGGTGCATTCAGATCACTCAGATGGACCTATAGCTCTGCCCCCAAAACCCTGCAACCTCACCTCCTCCTATCCCTGCATAGAGCTCAGCCACCTGCCCCCCACCCAAGTCACCAGGTTCAGTGTCCTGCCTTCACCTGCCCCCACCTGACGGCCATCAGCCCCATCAGGGCCCAGCATGTATTGTGGATCTGGGACTGGGCGCTCTGCACATAACGCCGCTGCTCACAGGACTCGAAGTCCTCCCCCCAGCCTCCGTCCGCCATCTGCCGGGACAGCAGGAAGTTGCAGGCCCTGGAGACCTCTGCACAAGCTGCCCTGCAGAGACACCAGACACGAGACCCCATCACACAGTGGAGACCCAAGGCCTCTGGGTTGTCACCCTGGCCAGGTCTCCTTAAGGCCAGGGAAGGGGGGCTGGCGCCCCCTACCATAGATAAAGTGAAAGGCTTTATGGCTGCAGGTGGCCTCACCGCCATGACCAACCCATGAACACCCACCCAGCCAGGCAGAACTGGGCGAGACCACCACACACAGCTCAGACCGAGCCCTTCCCTCAACCCAATCCAGTGCATATGCTGGACTCTAACCCATTCTCCTATTTCAAAAACGTAAAAACACACCCAAAATCAAACATCAAAGGAAGATACCCTCCCCCCAACAAAGCATCATGCTGAGAAGACCCCATCCCACCAGGGGCCAAATATCCACACTTACCCATCTTGGTAAATCTGTCCCATGCAGGCAAAAGCTTCCAGCCCAAACCAGGTGCCGTAGGTAAAGCAAACCCCCCAGGAGCTGCAGGAAGACATGGGGAAATAAAGTCTCAGCTGCCAAGTTCACAGGTCAAGTTCACAGCAGGTGTGAGAGGATGGGAACACCCTCCAGCACAGGGAGGCTGTGGTTATTTTCAAGAAAAACATCCACATGGCCTTTGCAAGTCAGCACAACAGCAGAGCCTTAAGACCAGTGAGATAGACCTGCCCATGGCTTTCAGAGGACGAGTCTGTCTGCTGGAACCACAACATAAGAACTGATCCAAACTTGGGGGGGACGTGAATAATCAGACCCAACAAACAAGGCACGGCCCACGGAGCATGCCCAACACACTTGACAAACACCGCCAGGGTGAAGGGCCAGCATTCACAAAGGACAAGGTCCATCGGAAATCTGAGGCTGGCAGCTCCCTGCCTGAGTCCCCTGGAGCAGCACAGGCACACTGTGAGTGCAGGCCTGTCAGTCCCGCACGCGTCACTCACCCTTCCCAGGAGCCGTCATCCCTCTGCGTCTGCCGACAGAACTCCAGGCCCTGTTCGAGGGTCTCCCTGCAACACGAGGATGGTCCAATGAACATCCCAGCAAAACAGCGACTTACGCCATTTCCACCCATTCTACCATCTCGAAAAGAATGAGTTGTGCTCTCCCTTCTAAAAATACGTGAAGATGAACAAACAGTTCAAAGAGGAGATATGAGGCCAGAGCAGAAGCAACTATAGGACGCAGGAAGGAGTTAAATGAAAAGGAAAGCAAACACTCGAGAGGAACCAAGGTTAGAAGCAGCTGCAACAGGATCGGTGTCCCTGAAATCAATGTCGGGGCATGCACAGGCTTGAGTAAATCACATGGGATGAAACTTTAAAAATAAAAAACCAGAGAGAAAACAAAAGATTCAGAGGGCAGAGAAGCTCCATCACAAGTCTAACAGGTACTCCTAAAGGAAAAAGTGGCTCCCTTAACAGGCCAGCGAGGAGGCCCAAGTACAGACTGAGGTGCCCATGACCCTCTCCTCCGGGGCTCACCCCACATCATCCATTCCGGCGTGGGCAGCACCTGAGACTTATTTCTAACCAACAGATTCCTGCAGAGTGGATGGGACTTTGTGCCGGTGACAGCATCACGTGGCACTCTGGCCTTCCTCTGGCCAGCAGAGTCCCTCTCTCGACTCTCTCCCCTGCCAGCTTTCGCAAAGCCACGCAGAGGCCCACAGGTCCAGAAATGAAGGGTGGCCTCCAGCCAACAACCAGAAAAAAATGGGTCCTGAGGCTGACACTGCACAAGAAATGGACACCTGCCAACGAACACACGAGCTCAGAGCAGATCTCCTCCGCTGATGCTCAGACAAGATGGTGGCCGGGCGGTGACGCGCCCCAGCCAAGCCTAGCCCCTGGCCCAGGAGCTCGGAGGTGATCGCCACACATCATTTTAAGCCAAGTCTGCAGTGATACTGTTCCTCAGCAACAGGAAACAAACACACAGGTGCAGGCACAGATAAATATGAGTGACAGGAAGAAATGACTACAGGTAGAGTGGAAATCAAAGTTAAAGTAAAACACGAAAAGTTTAGGCAATGCATTTGAAATTTAGGTAAAGTGTACAAATCACTAGGAAAATTAACTTATCAAAAGGGCCTCAAGAAGAAATAGAGATCCTGAATAGTCCTATAACTACTAAAGACAGGACTCAAAAATGTGAACGTTTCCCAGAAGAACTCCAGGCCTAGAAGTTTGATGATAAGTGAATTCTATTAAGTTATCATGAACAAGCATCCTAATCTCACACAAACTCTTTCAGGGACAAAGAAAGAAAAAAAAAAACACTCCCTAGTTCATCGTGGGGACCCAGCACAAGCCTTTCAAAACCAGAGAGGGAAGGCAAGGCACATGCCCTTGTGGCTATGACACACTTCCCGGACATCCTGTGTGCCCAAAACATGTATTCACGGCAGGGTGGTTCATAATAACTATGGACAGCCTGCGCAGACCCACGACAAACAGGTGGACACAATGTGGCACCCCCACTCAGCAGACACACTGACCGCCAAGCACAGTGCGAACCGCTACTCTGCCAGCCCAGCCTCTCAAGCACAAGGCCAAGAGAAGGGCGCCAAGCCCACGAGTCCCCACCTTGGGTCCTTGGGTGTAGGAGCGGAGCTTCTGGTAACATGTGTGCGCCCTGCGGACACTCTGCCAACTTCAGGACAGTTCCTCAGGCACCATACCGAGGGTCTGCACGCTGCTCTGCACAGGTGTCAGACTTCAGAGGGAAAGGCTGGAAAGCTACCATCTATTTGGATGCAGGTGAAGCAGGGGGTGTGGGTCTTTCACATTAAGAAGATGTGTGAAATAACTTGCCCCTGTGTTGTAACCATGCTCACTCCCTGGAGCCCCAGTACACAATTCTGATGCACTTCAGGGCAAACAACCAGGTTTAGGACACTGGAAAGCCCTCCCATGTTTCAATGAGCTTCACTCCAGGGCCCTCGTTAGAGGACAATGGCTCTGTGTCACGCCTGCAGTGTCTGAGCTCTTTGCCAAGCTGGTGGCACCCGTGGCTACGTGGACGGGCCACCCTTACCTGATTTCCCTCGGCCTGTGCTCTGGGAACTGCTTGTGGAAATACTTCAGTGCCTGTATCACCGCCGAGGTGCACTCCACATACAAGTAGTCAATCATGATGTCCCCTGGGAAAGTGAAGGATCGTGAGCTTCACCTTGGCAATTCAGGCCAAACGGTGAAGAACCCAGCACCTAATGTGTGGGGCCTGCATGGCACATCAAGAGCCTGAAAGTTCCCTGGAGGAAACGAGTAAGGTGTCACTAGTGACCATAGCCACAAGGTGGCAGGTGGTACCTACACAGGTGACCTGGTGACTGAGTGATCTGGAAGCCCATCTGCTGTGGGACAGCCAGGTCAGCAGCAGAGTGCAAGAGGGTGAAGGAGGGGGCACACAGCACAGAGCTGCATCCCACCCTGAAACCCTCCACTGGACCCGGTTCACAGTTAAGAAGAGGGGTACAAGGCATGCAGAGGCAGCCCAGGGTAAAGAACCAGCGCTTACAGACCAGAACCATGACACACAGCACGAGGACATAAGGGAGACGGGCCACACCGACACCTCCCCTGCAAGGAGCGCTCAGGAGATGGGGCAGTTTCCATGAAGAACAGAGCAGGAGACGGTCCGGACTAGGGCCAGAGCTGGGCGTGACCCCCAAGCCAGAACCGCAGCTTTCCCTTCACATCAGGGGCACCACAGCTACCTTTGGAGGCCAAGGAGCATGAAACACTCCAGTGCTTGGGAGGCTCCTTAAAACCCCACCTTTCTGGCAACAGGGACTGATTTTGTGGACAATTTTTCCATGGATCAGGGGTGGGGGATGGTTTCAGGATGATTCAGGCCCCTACATTCAAGCTCACCTCCCGCTGTGTGGCCTGGTTCCTAACAGGCCTAGACCAGAACCGGTCCGAGGCCCAGAGGCTGGGGACCCCTGCCTTAAAGGACCCATCACCATCTGCCAGCACCTTTGTGGGCACTGCCCCTAGCCAGGGGATAGACCTCAGGGCTCTGCTCAGCAAATCTTCCTCGGGGCTGGCAAGGGCGGGTTGTGCCCACACACTGGCAGGCTGGCTACTCACCGAATACCTCCGAGGGATTCAGCAGCTCCAGCAGGTAACCCCCACGCTTGGTCTCATAGGTAGCAAACCCCCCCTCAGGGTTTCTCAACTCCAGCAACTAAAACCAAAAACAGCATATCTTGAGAGCTGAGCATGTGGATGCCCAGGTCTGGGTGGGGCTAAGCACCCAATGGACAGGGCTAGGCACCAATGGGCAGGGGTGGGCAGCAGGGAGCTACTTTTCACATCAGACCAAGACCCTCAGGTGCCCTGGCAGTGGGCTACAACCTTTATCAGTTAGCTACCCTGTTAAGTAACCATCTGGGAACACACCCCAACATGTGCATGCATTCTTAAGTCACATACGTGACCTCTGCTGGAAGACATGCACCAAAATGGACATGCTAAAAGGCTTTCCCTCTTTCATCAGGCACACTGTGAGAATCCCAGCCCTCTGGGAGGTCAACAGCCAGGTCTGCTGGCCTCCAGAACCAGACAGAAAATGGGGCTGCAGCAGCCTCATAGGCCCAGCCTTAGCCTGCCCTCAGTGGCTGGGCCAAGGACACTGCCTCGCATACCATTGGGGAAGTGCAAGACTCAGTACCACCAGGGCCTCCTGCCAGCCCAGATGTGCCCCTCCAGCTCACACTTGGCCCTGAGTGTGGCTGAGACAGGCCCCGTGGGAACTGCACGAGTGCACAGCTCATCTGCAACACTAAACAAACCCAAGGGACCCATGTGTGCACGGCACCCTCAGGGTCTGGGGACGAGAGCCCCATGCCCAGCAGCCTCACCACAGCAACAGCGTCAAAGAGCCGCTCTCGTGGGATGTGCATGGTGACGAAAGGACATTTTTCCTGTACAAGAAGGACAGACTTCAAGGCCTCGGCTGTGCAGTCAGCAACAATCCAGCCACAATCCAAAGTACTGAAGGGAAAGCCGCCCTGTGGAAGGCATGGAGGCTGTGACAGGAGCGGGGGCAGAAGGCCAAGCCCACACCCATCTTCGTGAGCATCCAAGGCCACTGCACCCTCCACAGCCCCAAGCCGAACACATGCACGAGCATGTACAGGCCTCAGGTTTCTAGCACAGCAACCCCACTGGATGCAGCCTCACCCCATCAGCTGTCGGGCCCCTCCACAGGACAGGCACGAGATAGCCACAGGCACCCTCCTGGCCCCTGCAAGGACGCAGCCACAGCCGTGTCTGCCCTCTCACACATGCTGAAGAAACTGTCTTTCCACCCTCTGCCCTCTCCCTGTGCTTATTTCATGTCTGACTGCGTCTGTCTGGGAGCATCACAGAGCACGGGTGTGCACACAGCCTGGGAAGAAGCCCACGGGGCTCAGCTGCCCCAGTCAAGCCCAGAGACTCAGTTCAGGTATCTCGGGAGCGTCACTGGAACCCACAATCATCCATGAAAGGACAAAGCCCCAGGATGCCGAGGGAGGAGCCCTCTTTGAAGACCAGGCCCAGCCAACAGGTAGCCTCTCCCAGGGCTTGGGCTGGCAGGTGCAACCGTGGTACCTTGTTCATCTGGCGGTAGTACTTCTGGTAGTCAGGTGGATTGTCTGGGACCTGGGCAGCATCCGAAGAACATGCGTGGAAAGCACAGGAGGGAACACATCACTGCCACACTGGACACCAGGGCAGGGCTGGTACAGCAGGATATGGGGGGCCCAGGGCTGTGGCCTCTCAGTCATTGGTGCCTGAGGGAGCCCTCAAGGCATCACCCCCATGGCCCACCACCCACAGCCCCACTCACTCCTGGGAAACCCCGCTGGGCACCCCTTGAGCTGGGGAGGGCAGGATGGGAGGGGCACCTCTGCCCATGCGAAGCGCCTCACAGCTCCTAGGGCTCACCTGTGAGACCCGCAGGAACTCATGTGCCTTCTGCAAGCAGGATGAAAACTCAGGCCTGTGGTGTGCACCTGCCTGGAAGAGAGAAGAAGCTAAGCCACTGGCTGCAGGAATTGTGTGGGTAGGCTGGTCTCCGGATGGTCCTAGTGACGTCTTGCCACCCGTGGGAACCGGGAGCAAACCCACCTGGGTGCTTAGGCGTCCACTGGCAAATCAAAATGACATAGTGAAGAAACAGAGTGGGCAGGAGGGGTACCACAGCTGCCCACCACACCCACAGGGTCCTGACCTGTCCAAGGCAGTCCCCATGTGGCCCAGACCCCTCTTCAGGGCTCCCCAGGATTCTGCGACCTCATTCCACCAGAATAAAACCCCCATTTTTCTCTATTAATGCTCAGTGGCTCTTCTCAAAGTGTCTAAGAGGAGCAGTTTGCATTTGAGAAGAGCCCGGAACAGCCCCCATTGCCCTACCTGCTGGGACAGAGCCTCTCCAGCCTCCCTGCTCCAGGAGCCTCTGAGCCAGCCCACGACCCAAGAGGCCGAGCAAGACCCGGCCTCAGCTGGACCATCGCCAGAGGCCTTGGAGCCCAGAAGAGCGAAGAGCCAGGATCAGCCTGTGTACGTGCTGGGCAGAGGGACAGGTGACAGGAAGGTCAGCTGGAGGCTGAGGGACAGACAGACACAGCCACGTACCTCCAGCAGAGCCTGGATGGCAAACGAGGTGTCCCAGACCTGCGAGCCATTGGTGCCCTGCACACAAACGGGGAGACATTACAGGAGCCAGTGCAGCGTCCTCCCACCAGCTCCGGCAAAGAGGCAGGAGCCCAGCGCCTCCTGACCCCCTGGGCTCTGTGTACCCCTCAAAGCTCACGCAGGCTTGGTGCTCAGGGCAGCCCTACCTTCCTTCACCAGGCCACCAGCCAGGCCAGGTCTGTCAGGGCACTTCAGGATTTAGACGGCCACCACCTATGGCTTCCACTGCCTGTGGCCTCTACCCGCCCAGCGACAGCCTCTGGTCCCATTCACAGCAGTGCCCAGAAACGCCCCCCACGTCTGAGGTGGAGGGGCCTGGCCGAAGCCTCAGCTGGGCTGGGAAGGCCTCCCTCAAACCCACCCAGGGAGCCCGGTTCCCTGGTCAGCACTCCGTTCCCACCAGAATACCAACGACCACACCCCAGGGAGACAGAGCGGGCCTGGGACAGACACGCAGTTAATGGGGTGGAAGTGGGAACGCCTCAGCCCAGGCCCACAGGTGACCAAAGGGGCAGCCGGCAATCTTGGCCCAGAGGGACAAGTGGGAAAAACGCACACGGAGAGGAGAGACGCCGGGCTGAAAGAAACCTGAACGGCATCAAGCCTCAGCGTCCAACTGTCAGTGTGCAGAAAACATGGGGCCCAGGGGAAGCAGTAAGTCACATCTGGAAAGTGGACCCTTTAGAGGCAAAGTTGCCAGGAAAGAAGGCACTGAGGAGACAGCTAGCTGAAAGTGACCTCAAGGATCAGCCGCTGAGCTCTAGTCCTGATGCCAAAAAACCCATTGCAGACCACACTAAGGCGTCCCTGACTCGGCGGCGGCAGCAGTACAGGAGTTTCCTGAAGACCAGGACGCCCTCGTCTGCTGAGGTGCTGCAGGGGCCCACATGGGGGCTTGCCGCCCTCCTCTATTGGGCATGTTTTAAAAAACCTTTTACAAGAGACCGGCAGCGTGGGAGTCAGGAGCTAGGCAAGGGGCTCGGGGCATGCCTGGTGAGGGAACCGAGGTGAGTCTGCACTGCGGGTGCTGACCCCATGCCCCTACCAAAGGCCCAGTGACCTAGGTGCCCCAAGGACCCTGCTGGACCCTCCACATTCCCATGATGAGTCAAGCAGGTGCAGCGCACAGAACCAGGGCCCCTACAGCCAGAGAAGATGAGACCAGGCAGCCTGTGACGTGGCGCCCCACCCCAGGGCCGCTAACAGGAAACACCCTGGGGTGGGGGCAGTGATGGTGCCAGATCACCTACCACATCCAAACCAGTGGGACGCATACAGAGAAGGGCCCGAGGGAGTGCATCTCAGCGCTAGGGGATGAGGCTACAAACCCTCAGAGGCGGGGACGGCTGGGCAGGCTGGGGATCGGAGGGCAGGGCTCCCCTCCTACCTGAGGCCTGAATTTTGGTAGGCCAGTGTGTGAGCTCTGAGGTCATGAAAATGCTCCTAAACTGACTGACAGTATAATTGCATCACTTGGTAATATTCCTAAAAATCACTGAAACATATACCTGGAAGTCCCATTCAGAACTCCACCTCCCGGCTTGCAGTTCTGAACTACTCTGGCTCCCACATGGTGGCTGTAGACCCTCTGTGCTCCCGCAACCTTTGGGGGCTCTTATCCTCAATGTTCCCACAATTCTACTGGGCTCTGAACCTCATCGTTCCCACAGCCCTGGGAGGCTCTGACCATCAGCACTACCACAACCCTAGGGCTCTAGGCTCCCCTGCAGTGGCCCAGCCCAGGAGGCACCCCATGTCCCCTCAGAGACGGGACAGAGGGCCTGTGGCTGCTCACCATACTGCCAGGCCTTGCAAGGGGTGACTTTTGAATCTAACAAACCCACAGGCAGGAATGGGGGCAAAGGAAGCCAGCAGCCAGCCCTGCAGCCCTTACCTGCATCTTCAGGCCATCGAGGCCCAGCCTGTGAAGGGGAGAGGGCAAAGAGCTGGGAGTCAGGCGGTGCCCAGAGCCCCCACAGCACAGGGAACAAGAGGACAGCGCCCCTCCCCCGAGCCGTGCGCAGGGGCAGCAGGAGGCCCCCTCCCAGGTACAATCCACAAATGACCAGCTCCCCTTGTCACCAGTCTTCCTGACATTCCCCCATAGCTTCCCTGTCCACCCACAGGCCCTCTGGTTCTGCCTTCTGAAAACACCCAGAGTTTGTGCTGTGGAGTAGACCCTCCCCAGCTTCTATCAACCCCGAAACTACTGGCTTCAGTGTCATGCCAGACACCACAGCACCCCCACCGGGACATGAGATAGAGATACTGACACACATCTGCCACTGTGGCAGCAGGGCCCACAAACATGCACACTGGGCCCTCAGCCACATCAGAGACTAAATGTGACACCAACCAACTGGGCCTTCCCGCCGCACTCACCAGAGGTAATCGGGGATCCTGGAGACGTGCTCCTGGAAAATGCTGGAGGCCGGCCCGTCCACATACCAGCGCACGAGCATGTTGATGGTTTTCGAGATCTACAGGAGAGGGGTCCGTCAGGGCTCTGCTCCAGACCTCCCAGGTACAAGGATGTAGCCCGACCCTGCTAAACCATGTTTCTGCTCTAACCCACATTTCCTGAGTGTGTGCTGCTCCCAGGCCCTGAGACAGACACAGCCACTGTGGGGTCCCAGGAAACCAGGTCTCCGGGGAAAGTGGGGAGGGGCTGAGGGTGTGCGCAGAGCAGGGAGGGTGACCTGTGAGCCCAAGCAGCCAGCCAGCAAGCAGAACCACCATGCAGGTGCCAGAGCAGGTTTGCAGGGTAAGGGGCACGGTGGGGGGGGGGGGGGGATGCAGAAACCAGGCCTGTGCAGGAGGTTACATGCTCGGAGCGGCAAGTCCTAGAGGTCAGACCTTCCACTGAGGGATCTCCTGAGTCCAAATCCAACCACAGCCGACATTCTCTCCAGCCAGGTGTGCTTTATTCAATGCTGAGTCAAACCCCAAGAGCCGCATTGCTGCTAGAGGGGCACAACTGACTGGTCTGTGGGGTGTCATCATTTTTGATCCTTTGGGTTTCCATGAGGCCCAGAAAATACTTGGGGGCAGGGTCTGGAGTGGGGCTGGGTACACCCCCAAGAACTTACAGTCATGGCCCACCCAGGGGCTCAGAACCATTCCACCTCCTGCACACGTCACCCACAGCCATGAGCTGGCCTCCCCTACCCTGCACTGGCTGCTGTGCTCCTGGCCGCACTGCCTGTAGGTGTGTCCACACCTGCCCCCATGAGGCAAAGCCAGGTCAGAAGCTCAGCGAGTTCCACATCATGGGGCTTGGAAAGATCCAGCAATGAAACCCAAGCACCCCTGGCACCCTGAACCCCATAAGAGAAGGGCAGGTGGTTGTTACTGGAAGTGAGGCTGGCCAGAAAAATCCTAAAAGGTGGCCTCACTAGGTGGTGGGGGTGAGAGCGGGACCAGGCACACGGATGGGGCAGAATGGAGTCCTGTGGGATCAGAGGGCCACCCTCAAAGAGACCCCTACTTCCAGTTCCCCAGAGACTGGCCTCTAAGCCTTCCATTCTGGATCCTCACCCATGCCAGGGCTGCAGCTGGATGCCCACCCAAGGCCAATACCCAGCAGGCAGGGGGCACTGACCGGGCCAATGCTGATGCACTTGGTGAAGCGGTCATCGGCTGCAATGTGGTCATACAGCTTCTGGATGGCCCGCTGCCGCAGGCTGGTGCTGTGGTGGCGTTCGTACAGGTTGAGGACCGCTGTGGGGGTGAGGACATCAGAGAGCACGGAGCATGAAGGAGTCCTGGCCTCAGCCCAGCCAGGCACAGGGCAGTGCCAGGACCCCCAACCTGCCACGCTCCACCTTCCTTTCCTCCTGTCTCCCCACACCCCTCACCCCCAACCCCTTGCCTGCCCCTGCACACCCTGGCAGGCTGCCCTGCTGGGCTGGGACAGTTCTCATGAGTGCAAATCTAGCTACCTCTCAGCGTGGGTATGGCACAGACCCAACACCGCCCAGGGCCCAGCACAGGGAACATGACCACTTCTGCACACAGCAGCCTGTGCTGGCCTCCGGGGGTCCCACAGGGAGGTGAGCCTGGATTGGGCCTGGTGGGGAACTGCCTTCCCTGCCCCAGAGAAGGAATGACTACACCCTCCAAGGCCCTCGGCTCCAAGTTTTCTCGTCTAGGAGCCCAAACCCCAGGCTCATTCCAAGGGCAGGAACAGGGCAAGTCTGCTGGACAAGAGGCAGATGTAGCAGGCCCACCACCACATAACCCAAACGATAGGAGAGGACAAACTCATCAACACCTCAGGCATCGATGACCCCAGGGAGGCTCAACCAGCCCCGAGGAAGCACCCACCATACACCACGTGGAGCAGCCAGCTGTGTGGAGTGTAGAGGTCGTCAGGGGCCACGTTATTCCTCTGTGCCGGCCAGTGGATGCTGGCATAGTCCTCCACATAGAGCTCCTGGGGGCAATAGTGCCTCAGCCCCCAGCTGCCCACAGATGTCTCCTCCCTCTGTCCTACCAGGGCACACCCTGATGAACACCCCACACCCCAACCCCACCTCCGGGCCTGCACCCCAGTGACGGGTGTGCCTGCACCCCATGCCACTGCAAGAGTCCCCCTGGGCAGTCACTGAGGGGATAGGAGCAGAGGCCTCACCGCAACCTCCGGGGGCTCAGCTCCCCAGGCCCACGGGAGCCACATTGCAGGACGACCCAGGCCAGGTCCTCACCTGGCGCAGGCTCTGGACCAGCGGGTCCTCCTCAGCGCTCAGCCTGGTGGCATAGCAATAGCTCATGGGCAGGTAAACCTGCCGGCAGTGGCACCAGAGTGTGGAGGGATGTGCAGGCATCCAATCAGGAAACAGCCTGGGGAGATAGGGCATCAGCAGGAGCCCCAGCCCCACCCTCGCCACCGCCACAGCCCCAGGCCTCCCAAGCACAGACTCAGGGTGAACGAATGTCCTGGCCCCAGTCCGCAAGGCCAGCACTGCACACCCATGCTCACCCCCCAGTGCTCCAGGGCACAGGCCACGCCTGGACCTACCAGATGCCCCCTAAAGCTGGGACGCTCATCCTGACGCTCAGGACGGCCTGTGGTTTCTCAGTTGTAGACAAACCATGTAACAGGGAACGTCAGGAGTGAGAAATGGGCAAGGGGTCTGTGGGGCAGCTCCAGACTAACTATTCTGGAAACAGAAAACTATTCCAAAATAAAAAGCTCATTTAAAATGGTTAGGCCTGAGCCTTTGGTTGTGACCTCCATCACAGGACCCTGCTGGACCTGGTTGTGACCTCCTCCAGGACCCTGCTGTCATCTCCCCAGTGGCCTCTTTACCTCACACTCTTTCTCCACCAAAGTCACCTAACATGAGAGCCCCTCGAGCTCTCTGATGCTCCCTGGGGGCCCCAACCCTGCTGAGAGTGAGGGGGCTGGCAAGGTTCTTCGGGCCTCACCACCCACAAAGCACAGTAGGGTACTTCTATGCATGTGACTGTTTTCTGGGGAAATGTCCCAGCCTGCATTACATATTTACAAAATGTTAGAAGGCCCTGGTGGTATTAAACAATAAGGAACTAGTATCGATTTTGCTGAGTACGTAACTAGTAAGGTGGTTCTGTTCAAAAGAAAATTCTTATCTTTGAAGACACACACTGAAGTGTTCATGGGTAAGTGTGATGTCTAGGATTAACTTTAACATCTGCCACCAAGAGAGATAAGATGACAGATAAAACAGCACAGCTTACCCCAGCGCTGGGGCTGGCAAGGGGTGCTGGGCTCCTACCTCCTCTCCCCTTCTGCAGATGCGCACAACGTCCGTACAACAAGATGCAATCATGCTCACCTAGGCAACAGAGCCAGAGCTTCCCTCCTCCACACCAGGGCTCTGTAACAGCCCTGTACGGTGACCTGTCTGCCACGTGGCCCATCCCAGGGCACCTCCCTCCCTTCTTCTACTGTCTGCAGCAAGGGACCCAGGGCCCTGTCATTGCTCTCAGTAAGGCAGCAGGGACCCAGCAGCCGCGTCCCCACAGAGGAAAGCATACCACATCTCTGGGAACAGGGTGTTGAGACCTTCCCAGCTGTAAACGTTCAGGACAGCCAGCCAGAACTTCCCCCAGGAGGGAATAGCCACAGCTCCGCCTGGGGAGAGAACAGGCCCACGTCATCTCCCTCCAACTGGACCTCAGGAGTCGCACAGGCCCTTCCTGCATGAACTGAAGGCAAAGTCCTGCTAAAAATCCTCCAAGCCCCACGAGAAGCAGGCTCCAGACTATCCAGCACCACAGCCACAAGGTGGGACCAGCAGCTTCTCCAAAATAAGTGTGTCCAGCCCTGAGAGGCGTTCACATCCCTGCCTTCAGGAAGGACACACACAGGCAGCCACCTGGGAAGGTGAGGGGCCCAGATGCACACAGCAGCCCCTGCCACATGGGCCTGGAAAAGTGATGAGGGGCAGTGAGCACAATCGGCCTTCTCCTCTTAGGGCCACTCCTAGCTGCCCCTGACCTGTGCATCCCCACTCAGCAGGCAGGCCGGGACTCCAACCTGGTTCAGTGACACTCTGGCCCGAGTTGGAGCCACCCCAGCAACATGGGTCCCAGGCACAGAACACCATCCTGGCTAGGCTTCATGAGGAGGCCCAAACCCAGGAAGCCACCAGGGAAGGAAGGGCGGCCCAACACATTCCCTCCCTGGGCAAGGAACCCAAAAGCAGCCAGTGAGACCAGAGGCTAATGAGGAACTCACTGCAAGAATGACATGTGAAAAGAGGGCAGGATGTCGTTAGAATGCACACAGGAGGCTTAATCTAGCTGGGCAAGTCAGGAAGGGTTCCCAGAGAAGAAACATGCAAGGAGCCAGGTGAAGGGTAGGAGCCTCCAAAGAAGTGGGGTAAGGTGGACGGCAGGACCCCGGGTAGAGGAAGCAGCATGCAGAGCCGAGGTACTTCAAGGGGCTGGCTGGAGCCACCCATGCGTGAGCACCAGAGCCCCTGTGCGTCAGCACCCGAGCAGGGGGACAGGGGGACAGCGGAACAGCCACAAGAGGCAGGCGGGTGAGACCTGCCAGGCTCTGCAGAGCAGCAGGGGAGCTCTCAGAGCAGAGGGAACCATGGCGCCTCCCCAGGGCTGAATTAATAGCCTTCAGAACACACAGGCGGGGAGAGGTGCCACCTGCCAGAAGCCCCACCCAGCGCGCGGGAGGGTATATGCTTATCTTAATTTGCTTTTTAAAAAACTACAGGTAAGGCTACTTTACTGCTTTGATGAATTCCCTGTTCATGTATTTTGCCCAGTGTTTCAGGTAAAGGTGCATCTTTCTATTTCTCATCTGCAAGAACTAAGTTAAACCGAAGCAACAAAGACCCTTTACTTAGCGTGTGCTGTGCAGGGTATACCTTTCTTATGAAGTATGTTCCGTGCTCGTACCAGGTCAGGATCGTCGGGCCCAACACCCAGGATTCTCATGGACACATAGTTGAGCGCAGTCCCAAACACCGTGGACTTGTCCTCGACGTGCCTGCAGCAGCAGGAGAAGGAGTACCAAAATATCTTTTATGACATGTAAGAAATTACGCAATGCTTTCCATTTAATTTCCTCAGAAAATCAGGACCACTAAAACAGCCTACACCTCCATAACACCGCAGCACAAGAAACACCCGCAACAGCCACCTCTCCTGACAACTAAGCAGCTCCAAAACTGGCCCTGCAGAACCCGCCTGCCTCCTCTGCTTACTCTCCCACACCTCAATCAGCATGACCCACCCAACGAAGGCCCGTTCACTGCTATGGCACACAGAACACACACAGGGCAACATGTCAGGGCATGCTAACACCCTGAGCTGCCTGCCGTAGGCCCTTGTGAGATCTCAACATCTGTCATGGTGTGCTGGGACCCACAGGCCAGAGCCAGGGCCTCAAATTCGAGAGACTCCCGCCCCTGTTGAGGAGGCGAGCAGAGGCTGAGCTGTCCCCCTAGGGTTCTGAAATGGAGGCCAGTGATGTGGATTTGGCCCAACCAGAGCCCACGACCAGGGTGGGCAGGCAATTGACCACCTTGGGGGAGGGCCCTGATCCCAGAGCGAGCCCCCCCACATGAGGCAGGCTGAGACGAGGGAGAACTGACCAGCCTGGCTACACCTATTGTGACCGCAGAGTCAGAACCAGTGCCTTCTGCCTTAATGATAACAGCCGGATGGTTTTCACTGTCGCATGAGGGTCTCAAGCCTCTCAGCCAGTGACGAAACCAATTTACAAGACAAGCTGTGACACTGAACTCTTCCCCCACCCAAACCAGGTCGACAGTCACGGTCACCCCACCCTTTGACAAATGCATATGCTACATCTGTGCACATGCATGCACGCATGGGCAGCAACAGTGCTGGGCAGACTCACAGGCCCCAGCCACCATCCGGGAGCTGCACCGACCGCAAGTACCGCACCATCTCTTCTCTGTATCCGGCCTGCAGAGGGATGCGTGCCACGTGGCAAGTGATCAGGAGGCCTGTGTGGCAGAAGAGATGTCCGTCACTAGGAGCAGGCACTCAGCACTGCTAAGCCTGGCCCCTTTCCTCATGACAATCTCTCCAACAGGGAGCTTTCTCAACATTTTTCTTCCCACAGAAAAAAGCCTAGAAAGGCCGCTCCTCTTGGCACCAGCAGGGACTCTGGAGACAGGTCCCAGGTACAGCAGCAACAGCACACATGACACTCCCCACACAGGGTATGCGGAGCTCATCCAGCCACTCCAGGACCCACACGGGCTGGGACACCCTGGGTGGAGTAACATCTACTTCTTTATATGTTTCTGTTGTACAAGTTACTTACTAGCATATGTCACTTTGCAAGTGGGGGAGATAGACAACAATAAACAGCTACAAAGAACCTTCCCTCCCCTGCCTGGCCCTCCTGGGCTTGGTACTCACAGGCTGCTCCCCGGCACACTCCCATATCAACTCTGTCAACCACATACCTGTGACACCCCACACGGGAGTCTCAGGGTGAGCCCAGCCAGTGTGCCATGGAACAATGCCTGCTTCTGACTCAGAGGCATCAAAGCCCTGGTAACCACAATAGCCATAGACATGGCCTAGAAGGACAGCTAGATGCTGAGATGCCACAGAGGCTCACAGAAAACAAGCCCATCTCCTTTCAGAACAGTCACAACACTGTCAAGACAGGAAATACACACACAGGCAGGAAGCAGAGCCAGTGTCTTCCCCCACTGCACTGGGAAGGAAACTGAGGCACAGCCGGAAGGAAACTAAGAGGTGAGGATGGGGCTGGAGCTCAGGGAGCTGGACCCCAGAATCAGTGCTCACCACAGTGATATACATATGTTCAAACCAGATTCTCATCACCCCCATGTCACAGGTGAGGCAGCCAAGGCACCTGAAGTCCTATTGCTTTGCCCAGAGTCAAAGCAGTCTCAACAGGCTCCAGGTGGGTGAAAGGAAAGAAAGAGGCCTTGACTTGCCCCCCAGGATAGGCCCATGAGCCCCTGGACAGAAAGATAAAAATCCAGGAGTCAAGCAAAGTGGAGATGGGAGCTCAAGGGGCCTGCAGTGTTCTTCCCCCTAGGAAAAAGGGTCCTCTGCATACATTTATAGAAGGTGATTTCCCATACTACAAGACTGAGTATTTCCTTAGAGAAACATTCACAGGATGCTATAGTTTCATCAGACCAAACCCAGCAGCAGTCCTCCTAACTTACAGCTCACCTGGCTGAGCTCCTCAGCTAACCCTTCAAGGTAAGTTGGGCAGCCAGAGCCGCCCACAGAGGACTCAAACTACCTTGCCTTTGCATAGGCACCTTTGCGCAGGCTCAGCCTTCCACCCAGAATGCCCCACTACACTGCACTGGAACTCAAAAGCCTCCCCTCCCCCACTCACCCCAGGCCACCACTTGCTTCCCTTGTCCGAACACTAGACCAGCTGTGCCTTCACTCCCATCTTCCAGGACCAACACTAGAACAAGCAGGGTGCGGGGTAACCCTCTCCAACCCTTTTCCAGGTGAGCTCCTAGGTGTTTACCTGCTCTCATTCACACCACAGACATACACCAAGAGCTTGAACGAGGTCAGGCCAGTACCCCAATGATGCCCCAGGGTGCCCTTACCAAAGGACAGGACAACACCCTCCTACCTGGCAGAAGAAAGAGTGGGCCACCATAATCACCGGCCCAGTGTCCATCTTCCGCCTGCAGCCCCATGTAAAATGTTATCCCATTCAGAGCCCCCTCGTGGGCTGTGTGGGCTTTGGGCAAGTCTTTAAAGTAACTCCTCTGTAAAGGAGAAAAGAGATGAGACCTGAGGGGAGTCTGTGGCCAGGTTAAAGGAGCTTTCTTTCATCATTGACAGCCCAAGCCGAAACAATGAATCTGAATTACTATAAAAGTTTCAGCTGTTTCTGAAACTCTTTGATGATGGTACTGCCATCTCAGCAAAGTAAAAGGACAGTTCCACATTCTCATGGTTTTGCTTTCCAGTCAAACATATTTTTTAATTTCTTCACTTCTCCAAGCCATCCTAAATAAATAAACCAAATGCCCAAGAGGGTGGGGTGGGGCACTGAGGTCCACCCAGACCTGGGACATCTCACAGGAAGGGGCCCAGGGATCACACAGTGACTGGCAGCGAGTGGAGGCCAGGGCTTGACCAGGAGGTCCCATTTATACTGCATACTCTTTGACTAGCTGAATTTCTTACATGAAATTCATTGGATCAAAAATATTTTTTCTGAATAAAAAAATCAAATCAGAGCAGATCCTTACTCACAATCTACTGAGAGAGGAATTGAAGCAAAGGGGTCCATTCCACTCATGCCTTGTCTTTAACTCAGTTGATTCCTGTAAGAACCAGCTTTAGTGACATGGGGCCCAGGCCCCACATTACACACCCCTTCTTTAAAATTACCCTCCACAGGTAGCTTTGGAACGCTCTCTGTTGGTTCTTGGCGCTAAGGAAAAGGGATAGGGGCAGGAGTCCCAGATACTGTGTGAGGAGCAGACTGGAGCACCTACAGTGTCCAATCCCAAGGAGTGAGCTTCCAGCGCAGTCTGCTCCCGGCCGGGGTTGTCCTCTTCCTGAAAATAGGTCCACACCTGCCTTCCCCTCTCATTGCTGAGACGCCAGCGGCTGAGGTCGGTGGCGGGCTCTGTTTTATACGGTCCCCCTCTACGACGCAGACACCTGGAAACGAGTATGAATGGGCATCCTTCCTCTTCTTTAGGTCAGAGCCCAGAGGTCTCACTTCCATCCACCCACAGGCAGGCCGTCATCCTCACCTCCCAAAATGCAAACATTCTTAGTGCTACTTCTACCGCTAGATACAGGACCCCCATCCCACCGGACTCCCCTCAGCCCCGCCCCCGCCAAGCGGTCCCCAGCTGCGGGACCTCGGCTGGAAGCCCCCTCCCCGCCGTGACCCAATCTCGGAGCCCCGACAGCGCTCTCCCTTCTTGTGGGGTCCAGAGCGCGAGGACTCACGTGCCCTCAGTCATGACTGCCGCTGGAGCCCCGCAACCTGAGCTCAGAGGTAGGAACAGCCACCCTCCAGTCCCCGCACACTAATCGGGAGCGTTAGTCAGCTGACACACGGAGTGTGGTGGGAAGATGTCCGAGCAGCCAATCAGAACACTGCGAAGGTGGGCCCCCAAGCTGCGCCTAGCCAACGCAGTGGTGGAACGCAGACGCCCCACCGCGCTGGAGGCGGGGCCTGGATTAGGAGGGTGTGGCATGAAAGAAGGGGCGGGACCTGGGGCGTGTGTTGGTGGGGGAACCAACACAGACAGGGTGGGCGGGGTTAGAGAGGGGTCTGTGGGCGGGGACGGGGAGTGGCGGGAGAGAGAGAGAGAAAGAAGGCCCACTTGGCCCTAGGGGCAGGGCTGGGGCTAGAGCTGAGCAAGCAGACAGGGTTGAGGAGGCGGGGTCTTACCTGCGAACCCTGGGCAGTAGAAAAGAGTATGGCGAGAAGCGGGTGGCGTTGAAAAATGAGGGAGTTCCCGTCCCGAAGACCGGAGGGCAGGCCATAGTGGAGAGCTGCGAGGCTCAAGCCAGGGCAGGACCGGAGGCAGGGAGGAGCTCGTGCCCTTCAGGAAGAGCTGGGGCCGCGACTGAGGGTGCGCCGCCAAGTTACCATGTAGCCAGCCAAGTGCCAATGAGAAGACACACATAAGCCTCGACCCCAGAAACTGTACCCGGAGGAGCCTGAACATACTAGACCCTGTCTGTTCTCCCAGATTCACCAATTCATACTTCCCTGAAAGGGGAAAACAGGCTGGAAGGTTTTTTTTTCTTCTGGGGATGTCCCTCCATGTGCAAACACAGAGTGGGAATGAGGGCTCCAGCTTACATCTCAAACTCTAAGTCTGGCCAAGCTAAGGGAGGGAAGAGGTTTCAATTGAGCAAAGTTTGAGTTTTGAAATTTTACTGGACTTTTTATGAGCAAAATAATAATCCTCTTTTAAAACTAAGGAAAAAACTGTAAATTCTACCTGTGAATTGAAAGATAAAAAGATAAGCGTTTCTGGGACAGTCATGAGAAAAAAAATAATGCTTCCCTCTGCTTGCACACTGCCAATTCCAACTTGTTCAGTAAACTGAATAAACCATGTCTAAGGCTTTTGACATGGACAACTGGCCATATAGTAGTGTCGTTTTCAAAAGTAGAGAAAGTTTGGAGGAAATTTTCAACTAGATTGAGGGTCATGTTGAGACAGATTCCCAATAGACATTAAAGTGGCTTTGTTGAGTAGGCTGGTGTTCTGGAGAGAGGACAAGGCTGGAGTGAGGAATTCGGGAGTCCTTGGTTTTCAGGTGATGTCTGAAACCTAGGAGCGGATGAGATCAGCTAGGGAGTATTCCAAAGAGAAAGTGTTCCAGGATGAGCCATGGGGCACCAACAGCTCCCAGTCTAGAGGAGAAAGAGTATCCAGAAAAGAAAGGAGAAAAACACAGGAGATGTGGAGTCAGGGAAGCCAAGTAAAAACCATAGTAATCTCTGCAGAAGTTCTGGTGTGACTGTAAAATGAGGTCAGGCAACTAATTAGATGTGGCCCCATGGCAGGGTTTTAAAAAGTGAGGGTGATGGGGAGGGAATTCCAATTCAACATGTTAAACACTGGTTTGATTCCCAATCAGGGCACATGCCTGAGTTGCAGGTCCCGACCCCAACAAGGGACACACATGAGAGGCAACCATATATTGATGTTTCTCTCCCTCCCTTCCCCTTTCTAAAATAAATAAATAAAATCTTTTTTAAAAACCTTATTAAAAACAGCAAAAGAATAGGAGAGGAGATAGCAGTACATAAGAGGTCAACAAAATTCTAAAGGCAAGGAATGTAAGGAGTAGCAATAACTGACCTAACAAGCTGGAAAAGACTGAATACAATGTGTTGGGATGAGGCCATCAAGAAAGGGGACCATTCTTCCAATGAACTCCAGGAAGGCGCAGAAATTGAAGAACTAGTATAAAGTTTGAGCGAGGAGCACTGTGACATGTATCCTTCCCCTTCCCTGGATGGAAGCCTGCAGCAGTTGAGCCAGAGTAGGTATGATGAGCTCAAGCACAAGGCATAGCTGAAGGCCACTGAAAGCAGGGGTGTTGAAAGTCAACACACAGGAGAGGCCAGTCCCACTTCTCCCACACAGCCATATGGCTGCGGGCCATAGGAAGAGGATTTCTCTGGAGTAGATGCTGCCCCAGAAGGACCTGCACACTGGCAGCTGGAAGCCAGTGGAAAAGCAGGGAAGCCCATCACCAGGCAGCTTGTATCTGCTGACACAGAGCTTCCAACAAGCTCCTCAGAGCCCTGTTGTCAACATAAGTCAGATTTGAGGAAGACCTCTACCATGAAAAACAATAAAACACCCAGAAAATGGAACTTTTGAGAAACAAAGATGAGGCAAAGTGTAGAGGACTTTGACAAAACAGAGGGTGTTGCACAACAAAATGAGATCCATCTGACATGCTCTTTCCTTCCCTGCCTTATTTGTCTCCATGGTTATCAGCAATTAGCATGCCAAGTATTTTATACTTTTGTTTATTGCCTATCTCTCCTGGAAAATATAAGCCTCACGAGGGCTGAAATGTGTTTTGTTTGTTGCTGTCCCCAATAATGCCTGACATATAGTAAATACTCCAAAAGTATATACTGAATAAATGAAGGACCAGGATTTTCTAAGAAACATTAAAAAAAAAAAAAGAGTCTCAGAAATTAAAAAAAAAAAAAATGACATCAAATTTTAAAAGCCACAAGCATAGGTCCTGGCTGGTGTAGCTCAGTGGATTGAACATGGGCTGCAAACCAAAGGGTCGCCAGTTCAATTCCTGGTCAGGGCATATGCCTGGGTTGCAGGGCAGGTCCCCCTCTAAGTGGGGGCCACATGACAGGCAACAACACATTGATCTTTCTCTTTCTCCCTCCCCTGCCCTCTCTAAAAATAAATAAAATCTTTTTTCAAAAGCCACAAGAATAGGAAGATAAAATAGAGAAACTTTAGGATAATATCATAAAAAGTTAAAGATATAAAAAAATGGAAGAAGAAAAGTAGATCAATCTGCATGTCAAGTATCTGAATATTAGGAATTCCAACAGGAAATAGTGGATGGAATGAATATATTAAATAATTTTAAAAAATTCCCCAAATGAGTGGACAATTGTCTAGATTGAAAAAGTATGGCAGATGGTTTCCTAAAGATGCCTCCAAAAGTCATCTCACGTTTTTCTAAAATGTGATCTTAACACTCGTTCCCATTGAGAACGGGGATCTATGTCCTGACCCTGGAATCTGCAACCAGACGCCCGTACCAATACGGTGCAGTGGAAGTGATCCCACTTGAGTTTTTCAAAGCTGGGCTTACCTTTTGCTCACTAGAACACTTGCACCTGAAGTTCTAAGATCCCATTTAAGTCCAGCTATGCTGAGGACACCTTACTAGAGGAAGCCAAGCCACATGGTGAGGTGACACAGTCACCTCATCTGCAGTTGAGCCTCCAGCCAACAGCGCATCATCCCTTGCTGGCCACAGGAACGAGCCGTCTTGCAGAGCCAGCCCTGTCAAGCCTTGAGACGACTGCCACCCCAATCAATACCTGACTGCAACTGCATGAGAGGTCCCAGAAAAAAGCTACAGCTGAATCCTTCCTAAATTTAAACTGCTACATTTGGGGTAATTTGTGACACAGTATTAACTACTGGGAAAAAGTACTACCAAGTGTTCAGCATAATAAATTGGACGGGAAGTAGGGGAGAGACCAACAGACACATCAAGCATGCTGTTGAGAAATTCGAGAGTACCGGGGACAGAAACGATCTTAAAAACTTCCAGCAACAGCCCCAGCCCGTGTGGCCCAGGTGGGTGGAGTGTCTGCCCACAACTGAAGGGGTGAGGTTTCAGTTTCCAGTCCACGCACCTATGGGAGGCAACCAATTGATGATGTTTCTCTCTCTTCCTCTAAAAAGCAATGACAAAATGTCCTCGGGTGAGTGTTAAAAAAAAAAACAAAAACCCTTGTGTTGCTGACCTTCGCCATATGACATTTTTTAAAGAAAATGTGACAAGTCACTTCTCTGCCTAGAATACTCCAACAGCTGATTCCCATACCATTTGGAGTAAGGCCGCAAGGGTCTCTGTGGTCTGGCCTATCCCCTCACTCGACAACGCTACCACACCAGCACCTCCAGTTTCCAGGACGTCCTTGGGTACTCTCCCCAGCTACGCCTCTGCATTCCTCTCCAGGAATCCTACTATCACCTCCAGCCAATCTCCGCATGTCCCCATCTCCAGTCTGGGCACATGCCCCATGCACATCCTCAGGCAGCTTTGTGCATACGCCGTTGGCTCTGCCAGATGTGCACTCGGTGGCCTGCATTACCGATGTGTGGCACATCTGGGACTGCAACCTGGCTGAGACAACGAGTGATGACTTGTCAGACACAGAAATGTAAGCTGCAAACTCCTTCAGAGCATGTTGGTAGGTCACAGTCTGAGGTCATGAAAACAGGTAATATCAAAGCATCTATACAGGAGGAAATAGCCCATCATTTGAAAATGAGAGGAGACCTCCTTAGACATTCAATGTTTTATTTGCATGATTAATGATCACATTTCCGACAGTGCATCAAGCATCGAGAATAAGATTATTTTTGAATAAAAACAAAATCTTCTGGAGAGACCCTCCCACTCTCAAGTGCGCAGGTCAAATGTCCACCATGTCCAGCAGTGCAGAGAGATGGAGCTCAGAGGCAACTTCCTCTTCCCTGGAACTTCGGATCAGCCTTTCCAGGTGCTTCAGCCGTTCAGTCAGAGATGTGCCTGTTGCCGCTGACAAGTGCTGGTCCCCTGCCCTTTCATTCTATGGAAATGAAAAAGAAACCAAGGACACTTTTGAAATACCCATAAAGCAAGATATAGTCTCTTTAGATGCGCTAGATCAGGGGCATGCTGGGCTCAACAAACCCCCCTCTTAGCATCCATCGTGCATCTTCCAGCCTCTTGCAGCCCACACACACACAGCTGGCGTCAGCAGCACACGGAGTGTTTCTCTGCTGACTATTGTGAACAACTTTCAGTGTCAAGTCATCTTTATAAAATATCATTTCAGGGGCTACGAACTATTCCATCGTAGTACTGCAATTGCTTAACCAGAGTCCCATCTTTAACATTCACTTTGTTTCAACTTTATGCAGAATAATTAATGCTACAGTGAATAAAATAGGTATTTTGGTCATATATAGTAATTTTTTACCCCCTCACCCAAGGATATGTTTTTATTGATTTTAGAGAGGAAGGGAGAGAGAGAAACACCCATTGGTTGCCTCGTGTAGGTGCCCTGACCAGGGATCAAACCTGCAACCTAGATATGTGTCCTGACTGGGAATCAAACCTGCAACTTTTTGGTGTATGGGGACCACACTCCATCCACCTGAGCCACCCAGCCAGGGCAGTAATTTCTTTAGAGCAGAGAAATTGTCTGCCAAACTGATAAACAGAAACAGTATGTCATCTTACTTTGCTTTCTCCCCTATGGAAGGACTTCCTAAAGCCAGTCCAGGAGCACACTTTTTACCTGTCACGCATTAACTCGCTATAATTAAAACTCTGGTTTTGCCCCTTTTACCACTGAAGGAAGGCTAGTGGCTAGAAAGACCTTGAGCTTTAGAGCAAGTCAGGTCTGGCTTTGAAAAGCAGCTCTGCCACTGGCCAGCTGAACACCTGGGTGAGGTCCTTGACTTGTGTGAACTTAAACCTCCTCGGGGAAAGATAACCCCAGAAAGGATGATGGGTAATGCCACGGTTGGGCACCGTGTGCTCCGTGAACAGAAGACTCGTCATCGCTGGTTATCCTCCTCAAGTCCTCGCTACGCGGCAGCACAGTAATGGGTCTGTTCAGTTCGTAAGCCTGTTTCAATTTCATTATTCATTCATTTCACAAGCAGAGACTCAATTAGTTGGGCCTCTGTAACTGACAGATTAAGTTTAAGACAAGATCTAATTTAAGCTTATAATTTGTTGCTCATCATAACATCATACAGTAAACCAATCATTACTTTTATCCCAGCCATTTTATGTCAAATTCCAATACAACGCCAAGTGTACTCTCTTCTCACCGGTGGACTCGTTGTCGTGGATGTTTTAATCACGGGTTCGATAGTCTGAGGCAGAGACACCAGCGTCTGGGGAAGGTACAGGGGAAAGGAAGTGGAATCCATAAATGCCCCTGAGTCTTCAGACAGCCACTGCTGCAGCTGATCTTCAAACCTGAAACATTCGAGCAGCAGGAAGCAAAAATTTAACGTCACTCACTTTCACTATCGCTCTATCCATCTATAAACTAATACTTTAAACTATTTAAAGCTTTGCTTTTTATTAAAGATAGAACTAAGTTGTGCCATCAATTGAGAAGCAGAAACATACTTTTAAAAAAGTCATATCTTTAATTTATAAACCCAATTCATACTTAATGAGAAAGGTGGCATTTATCCCAAATCAATTGTTTTTATATATTATTTAACATTACTCATAATTCTCTCATTTGCTTTATTTTCTCCGGCTTATTTTAAATTTTTGTGTCTATAATTCTTATCTTCTGATGAATTATCTAAATGTATGGATTGCGCTTACAGTTTAAAATTAACTCAACATCCTACCACCTCAACATTCTAGAGCTGTCCTCTCCATACACGTCTCTTGTCAAGAAAGACAAACTGGTCCAACTGCTTAAATGATACAGACCTAAAGATCTTCTTTTAGAAATGACACATCAGTTCACTCTCCCACCACACGTTTATCAAGCCCCCAACAAACACCAGGCACCACTCAGGGTACCAGGGACACGGCAATGAAAAGAGGCAAGGAAAATGTCTAAGCAGTTTATACACAGAGGGAATAGCACGGGACACATTACAAGGGAAATGTGGTCTGAAGATGAGAAAGACGAAGCAAAGACAGGGAGCAGAGGGCTGGGAGACTGGGCAAGGAGGCCTAAGAAGTACCCAGTTGAGCAGGGACTGGAAGTGAGTACAAGGTGAGCCATGGGGTGGCTGTGGAGTCCCAGACAAAAGGAACAAGGAATGTAGAGGCCCGACTGTACACCGCCCGGCGTGCTGAAGGAGCAGAGGTCAAAAGGAAACAGGAAGCAGAGCACATAAAGCCTCGCCCGCCTCATAAGGCTCTTGCCTTTGAATCAGAATGAGAAGAAGCCACAGTAAGGTTGTGAGCGAAGAAGTAATATGACCTCTGCCTCACACTTGAAAGGCTCACCCAGGGTCAGCTGAGACTAGGCTAGGGCCCCCTGCAAAAATGGTCTAATTCCATACATATGATCTAATCTATTTATTTAAATTTATTTATTTACTTATTTATTTATAGAAGAGGGAAAGGAGAGAGAAGAGGAGGAGAGAAACATCAGTGTGTGGTTGCCTCTTGCACGTCCACTACTGGGGACCTGGCCCACAACCCAGGCATGTGCCCTAGAGTGGGAATCGAACCGGCGACCCTTTGATTCACAAGCTGGCACTCAATCCACTGAACCACACTAGCCAGGGCCAGAATATATTTTGAATAGAGCCAATAGGATTTGTAAATGGACTAGATGTGGAGGGATGATTCTAACGCATTCAGCCTAGGCAGCTGGAAGGATGACGCTGCTTTCCAATGAGAAGACCATTTTTGGGAGGAAATTGGGAACTGGATTTGGGATGTTAGCTTTGAGATGGCTATCGGGAAGCAGCAGGAGTGCCAGACTGTGAAGCAAAGGGTCGCTAGTTCAGTTCCCAGTCAGGGCACATGCCTGGATTGCAGGCCCGGTTCCCAGTAGGGGGCGCATGAGAGGTAACCACACATTGATCTCTCTTTTTCTTTTTTCCTCCCTCCCCCTCTCTCTAAAAATAAATAAATAACATATTTAAAAATAGAAGCAGTAAAATATTCAAATCTAGAATTCAGAGAAAAACCCAAGGGTTGAGATCTGTATCTGGAGTTGCTGGAATACTTATGTTATTTAACAATCCATGAAACTGGAATAAGTACAGATATCAGAAACACAAGGTCCAGAGAGTGAGGCGGGGGCAGGCGAGGGAAGAGGCAGAGCCAGGAGACGTGGCCTAGGGATTACGGCCAGAGGAGCAGGAAAGGGATTAAGGGCATCCTGGGAGCCCCCAGAGGGACAAGTGACTAAGGGCATCCTGGGAGACAGGGAGGAGGGAGCAAAGGTGTGGAATGGTACTGGGGACTGGGGTTCATGGTCAGTTCATCTGTGTGAGGGCTACAGTGAGCCCAACCAGAGTGGACATGGAGGGCAAAGAGGGGCTACAGGAAAGACAAAAAGAGAACTGGAGCAGTGAGAATCACTGTTCCTGAGAAGTTTCGTAGAAAAAGAGCAGAAACATAAGAGTGGAGACGAAAGAGGAAGATGAGGCCGAGAGAGGGAGAAATGCCAGAAGAATGATTTTCAAGCATGCAAAAGCTTAAGGACACAATGAGCAGAAGGGAACGGGCTTCACCTCTTGCTCTCCTCTTTCTCCAGTAGCAGACTGCTGGACAGACACTGGACCAGAAGCTCCTGGGCAGAGGCTCCGCGAATCAGGTCCTCTGTGCTGGGAACCTGCCCTTCTCGGCCGCGCTCTGCATTCCTCTTCCCATTTCGGCGCACATGAAGTAATGGAGTGGCATACTTGTTTGCAGAAGGATGAGAAGACTTTGTTCCCAAACTGTAAGTACATATTTTGAAATGCTTATAGTCAGGAAAGAGGGAGGAAAGGATTCCTCCGGCGTGAGACCCGCCCCTTCCTGCTCCCAGCTTCCCCCACGGTCAGGGCTTCTGTAGGTCAGATGCAGGGCTCCCAGGGCGAGGGCGAGCAGCCTCTGCCTTAGGGGAGCTTCCAGTCTCCTGGGCTGCTGGGACCTCCAAGCAGTCCTGCTCTGAGTTTTACTTCCCATCCCTGGATTATCAACAGGTCTCTATTACCCTCTATTAGCAAGGTTCTCATTCTTATAGTGAGCCATTAAGTCGTTCTGGAACTAATGTTTACAAACGAAGACAGTGGAGTGGTTTTTCTAAACAGATGCCAATGTCTGTCCTCTCCCCACTAATTCGGCATGGTACTTTTGTCACATATGGTTGTGTCCGGACTTTCCATTCTGATCCACCTGCCTAATGTAACTTTACTATTATGTTCTGACATCAGGCAGAGCAGACCTTCCTTGTTAGTCTTATTCAAAACATTCTCAGCAATCACTACACATTTTCTCACCCGATAAATTTTATTATTTATTTTTGGGTTTTACTAGAAATGCCCTGACTTTATAGTTTGGAACTGACTTTATAGTACCGTACCCTCCCATTAGCAAGGGGAGCCTGTCTCTCAGTCAGGTTTTCTTTGCACATTTAGGACCCTCCGAGTCCCCTTAACAGGGTTCAGTGCCTCTCCTGGTCAGTCTATGTTTGTGTTACAGGTTTGTTTCTGCTGGGAAGAGACTTTTTGCACCTTATAGGTCGATCTATCCAATCATCTTTCTGAACTCTGAATTCTAAAGGTGCAACTGTTGATTATCTTGAACTAACAATTTTACTGTCGTTTCTCCTCCCCTTCAGTGTTTATGCCCTCTGTATCCTGTGGGCAGGGTTTCCAGGACAACAGTAAACAGCAGTGACATCAGGGGCAGCTCAGGCTGGTTGGGACTTCAGTGTTTCCAACATTTTACCAAGAAGCAACTTTCTTTTTTGTGGCAGTTTTATGATAAACAACCTTATCAAGGAAAAAAAATGTTTACCGAAGTTTGATAAAAAGTTTGATCAAGAATGAGTATAAATTTGGGAGGAGCAGGAATAGATATAAATTTAGAAAAAGCATTTCAACAACTACTAAAATGATCACTTATTTTTCTGTTATGGCACCAAATTACATGAATAGATTTCTTTTGATACTGTTTATCCTGGGATAAAGCCTACTTATGAAATTTTTTATGTGTTGCAAGACTGCGCGTGCTAACATTTTGTTTAGTATATTTGAACCAAGTTTGTGAGACGTCAGTTCTTTTGTCTGCACTCTCCCAGTTATGTTATGATTTCAGGGTCAGTTTCATCTGATAAATGAGGTGAGATGCTTGCTTTTTTGGGTCAAGAACAGTTTCTATTACATGGGAGTAATATGTCCTTCAGGTATGTCAGAATCTGCCCACACCAGACTGGATTCCATGTATAGGGTATGAATTTCTGTCTGTGTCCCTTGGAAAAGAACAATGTGGTTTGCTCTGTGCGTAGACCCAAGAAACACACACTGAACACAAATCTCACCACCCCTGATGCAGCTGGAGCTCCTTCTGTGTCTGCATTCTGGCTTGTTCCCATGACAAAGGAACATCATAGATTTTCAGATGGTTTTTAAAAAAATATACATATATCTGACCATCTTCACTCAGTGCCTCTGAGAAAACAAAATAAAAACAAGTAAAAGAATACCAAAAGAGCAAGAGGTAAAGACCTGATATTTGCTTATATTCACTGATTTAAGAAGAACTAGCCCCTCTAATTAAAGTCACATAATTACAAGACTCCCATTTGAGCCAAACGTGCTCCAAGTGTTGGTAGGTCATTCAAGGTTCAGACAGGTTCATGCGCAGACTGTGGTATGGTCAGTACAACTACTTAATCTACCCAATTGTCTCAAACTTAGGGCCAGCCCGGGGGGCCTGTTTCAGGGAGGTGAGTCCTGGCTCCCCTGGAACTCTTAGCTCTTCCCAAAGTTTACACGTCCCCTCAAGTCACTGGCTTAAAGGAGAGAGACCCAAGGAAAGGAAGGGTGATGACCCACAGAAAAAGGAACAAACAGCAAGTAAACTTCTTTCTTTGCTGAAATTGGACCAGTCCAGTCTCATGAGGATCCCAGCCCCATGGTGGATACACGCTAACTACCTGATGTGACAGGGAGCCTGGGGGGTGTCCAGTCCCTCAGCTTGTGGTTGATGCACAAGGCGATGACGTCGTCCCAGGGGATCTCAGCAACCGAAGGCCCGGCCCCCGAGCCAGAGGAGGGGCTCTTGCTCTTCCACCTGCCGTATGTTCTTTGGAGCAGGTTCTCCACCTGGGACTGGAGGACAGGCTGCGTCTGACGAGAGCTGGGGATCTGGGAGGTATACTGGATGACCATGGAGCACACGGGGAGCCAGGGAGCTGGAAAGAAAGCACTTGGTGAGTCACAAGGTTTGGCCAAAGTACAGGTGGGAATCTACATGAAATGTTCTTCGCTCCATATTAATTTAGGAGAAGGTAACTGTGTAGATGAAAAGTCTGTTCTCAAATCTAAATACAATACACCAGAGCTGTTCAGAAAAGAGCCTCTCTCTCCCCATGTCCCAACAAGGGACCCAGTCTCCCTAGACAAAACTCACAACTAAGGGCTCCCCAACCCCACACAAGAGGCTCTGATTGTACGGTCCCAGGAATCTGTCCTTTAACAAGGACCCGGGTGAGGATGATACATGAGGTCTTGATTTCTCTTGGGAAGCATGGAGGGTTTGCACAGTACACTTTGCTTCTCTGTGGGTTCCTTTCAGTAACGACCACCTGTTAGACCTACTGAAGGCCAAACCCTGAAATTTAGAAGGGCGCCTGTTCCATGTGGCCTAAAGGAAAGTGGCCCTGGTAGGGCCCCATGCTGTGCCACATAAGCAGGAAACAGCCTCCTGTTTTACCAGCATCAACTAGGGAAGGGGCAGCAACCATGACCAGCCCAGGGGACTGGGCTGGACTGGAGAACGCTATGGAACAGCCTGAAGGTTTTGGTGGGCACAACCAGAGCCCCAACAGAGGCTTCACAAAGAAGGAACACTGGCTTCCAGGCAGCGCTGAGTGTCATGGCCCAAGCAGACCCAGCAGTGTGTAGACAGGAAATGCATGATCCCCATCTTCTTCACCCCCACACCCCATGGTGCAGGCAGGACAGGGCCTGCCATCCATTCAGAAACTCAGGGCATTGGGGTCACTGCTCCCCCAATACTGCAAACCACCTTTCTCTCTGGGGTGAGCAGACACCCACAGACTACTTTGTTGGTGGAGAAGGACCAACAGTCACTTTACAAAAACCCTAGTTCATTCTGACTCCTAAACCCAAAGGCAGGGGCAGGTGGGTGCAGAATGGAGAAAGGGGGCACAGAGTGGAGGGCATAAGAACCTCACACCAGTGGCCAGTACCTGCCAGACTCTCGCTACAGCAAGAGCAAAAAGAGGTGATCTCAGCAGCCTCTACACTCACACCCGGCCAGCACCAGCACTTACCCCCAGGGGGCGGAAGGTCCATCTGCGGAAGCTGAAAGCCCAACACAGCCTGTTTCAGCCAGGCCAGGTGCTCTGGGGCATTCCAGTGAAGGTGAGGAAGCAGCTGGCTGCCCCCTGCCTCAGCAAACTCAGTGACAGGCCAGGACAGGTCACAGAGCTGCTCTGAGGACACCACAGAAGCCAGGAAGTACAGCACACTGTTGAACAGCTCGATGATGGCACCAGGCTCCTGAGAGGCCAGGCCTCCCAGCCGCCTCTCTCTTCTGTCATGGAAAAACCGGCCGCTAAACTCACGGCTAACCCCATCTTCCACATACTGAATGAGGGTCTGGCAGGAAAGGTCAAGGGCAGAGGGGCAGCGGGAGACCAGCCACTGCACGGCCTGTGAAACCTGAGAAGCCAAACAGCGGGAAAATACTTGGTTAAACAGGTCATGCTGTTTTTCAGAAGGAGCTGCCTGAAGGTGCCCCTCCCACAGCTGCCGCAGCAGGTGCCACCAGAGCCCCAGCGGCTCGACCACACTGGGAAGGGGAGCAAAAGCTTCTGCTGCAGGGGAGTTCAGCCTCCTAGGGCCCTGGAGACCTGCACAGCAGAGATCCTAGAAGAGGGGTTCTGAGTCCTACCCTACCCCAAGGTGGGGCCACAGGGTCACCTGCTAGAAGGGCTCGGCCTGGAGGAAACCAGCCCTGCACATCCTCTTCACCTCGCAGGCAGGAAAACACATCTTCCAGTCCTTAGAAGGACTAACCTGGATGTTTCCACACCCTGTAGTTATCCTTCTTCCTATAGTTACTCTTATTTAATTCCTGGCACTTCTTTCCCTAACTTTAACTGTCAGCACAGACTTTTAAAAAATTCTCATCCAAGGATATGTTTATTGATTTTTTTAGAGAGAAAGGGGAAGGGGGGAGGAGGGAGAGAGAAAGGGAGGAAGGAGTGGTAGACAGAGAGAGGGGGAGAGATATCAATTTGCTGTTCCACTTATTCATGCATTCATCGACTGATTCTTGCAGTGCCCTGACCAGGGATCGAACCTGCAACCTCTCAGTTACAGTATGACGCTCCGACCAGCTGAACCATCTGGCAAGGGCCAGACTTCTTTTTTTTGTAAGGGAACTTCTGATGACATTATTTCTTTATATATTTCAAGAACCACCACCCTACAAAAATAATGTATATATCTGACCTTCAGCTGTAAGGCATGAATGGTCATATTTTAAATCTGTAACTATAAAACCTCTAAAAATTACATTAACAATTTTTTTTAGAGAGAGAGAGCAGGACTATAGGAAAATTTTATATTTTATTTTTATTTCTGCTTATATTTTTAGGTTACCTTTCAAAAATACAACTAAAAATGCAAGCAGCAATATAACTAAAATCCAATATAGAGCAAAAAAACAAAACTGAAATACGCAGTTAGACCTTTAAAAATGACGAAACTTTACCTTATTTGTGCCTTGCAAATCATTAATGGAATCAGGAATCTCAATAACAGTATAATCCGAAATCAGCTTAGCTGAAACCAGGTCCTGTAGCATCAGACCTTAAAAAGAAACAGATGGAAGTCACCTGTCTCCTGCTCAGCCCGCATCTGAGTGAACACATCTCACTTCACAGACCCCGCCCGGCCCTGCTCCCAGTCACCATAGTGGCTGCTGTCCCCTGACTCCTGACTCCCGACATCGCATTGCCAGCACTTCCTCAGACCCGGGGCTCGACCCATTTATTGAACATGCTGGTTCATAAACGAGACTGTCTTCACAAACCATCTTCCACTTCCTTCTCCATGGTGTCCCCTCCCAGGCTGGGCACGAGGACCACCAGTGGCAGCGCAGGCTGGAAAGGCTTGGCCTGCAGGAGCTGCTTGAGCTGCAACAGTGCGGACAGCCAGTACACGTCCTCCTCTGCCATGTCCACGCCTTTCAATCTGGGGGCAAGCAGCAGCATGAGCCCACTGGCTCCGAGAAGCTCCTTCTGTGTCTCTGCAGCATCGAGGGCACCGTCGCTGAGAGCACCGTGGGCTACCTGGAACAGCACCCAGACCATCAGGATGGACACACCAAGGGACAAACCAGCAGTGAACATTGGCCCCAGAGGGAGCTCAGCAAACTGTGCTGCACTTCGAGCCAGCCCCCCTCCATGAGGCCACGAGTTGCAGAAACAGAAAGAGCCACATCAACAGATCATTCATCCTCCAGCTAGAATTGTGTTTGAACACGTTACTTTCACCTTAACAGTTACCCTTAAACCATCATAAAAACAGTTAAGCCCTTAATGACAAAAAGGGGGGGGGGAAGCAAGCCATCAGTAACCTATTGCTAGAAAATAGTGTGGAGATGAGAACAATCACTGGGTTGGGGAAGCAGAGGAAGCTACACCTGAGGGGCTATACACATGGTGTGAAAGGACCCAGGCCAGCTGAGCCTGCAAAAGCCCAGAGTATCCGTGCCTTGTATCACCAAGAGCCAGAGACCAGGTTCAGGGCCTAGAGGGATGAGTCACATGCAGAGCAGTGGCCTTACTGGTCATTAAGGAAACTTCTAGTAACACCCACCTGCAGGTGGCCTTTCCACCTAGGGTGCAACATGCACCCTAGGCAGGGGTCTGTCCCATCCTGAGAAGGTCCAGATACAGGAGCATCCCCAGGCACGGTGCAGGGGGCTTGGCTCTGGCTACCCTCTACCTTCCACTGAGAGCACCAGCAGCTACTGTAGGAGACACGATGAGGCCTGGCCAGAGAAACCGAATAGCCCAGAGAACAGACACCCAAATCCTGACATCTGGAGGTCCCCCAAAAAGGATGCTTCCATTCAGTTACCCTCTACCACACCCTAAACACAGAGCTTATGGCCAGCCTCTCAGGGCCCCACTGAGGTATATGGCAGACAGCCTACAATAAGGTGTCTGAGGAGAGCCTCCAGCACACGAGACTAAAGTTACAGAGAAAAGGAAACCCAAAGGCAACAAATAATGCACAGAACATAAGAAAACTTAGAAAAACATCCTAATTTCCCCAGGGACATAAGATTATATGTCCAAAAAATAGTCACAAGATGATATATCAAGTAAAGAAAAAATGAGTGACTTCCAGCCAAAATGGAGGTATAGGTAGATATACTTTGTCTCCTCTAACAAACAAAAAAAGGACAAAAACAAAAAATAAGTCAGAACTGCCAGAAAATCGAACTGTCTGGAAGTCTGACAATCCAAAAGTTAAAGACACACTCATCCAGACCAGCAGGAGGAGAGAAGATGGGCAGCCGGGTGGAGAGGACTCCAGTCAGGGCAGCAACTAGAGGACTGGGGTGGGTGAGGTAGCGGCTGGCAAATCAGGTGGTCCCACATTTGCGTGTAGATAAACCAGGAGGAATAACTGAGGAGCAAGACAGACTGTGCAACCCAGGGCTCCAGAGTGGGGAAATAAAGCCTCAAAACCTCTGATTATAAAAACCTGTGCGGGGCCCTGGCTGGTGTAGCTCAGTGGATTGAGTGCGGGCCTGTGAACCACACAATTGCGGTTCTATTCCCAGTCAGGGCACATGTCTGGGTTGCAGGCCGGTCCCCTGCAGGCCATTTCCCAGCAGGGGACGCACGAAAGGCAACCAAACATTGATGTTTCTCTCCTTCTCTCCTTCCCTTCCCCTCTAAAGAAATAAAAAATAAAATCTTAAAATTAAAAAAAAAACAACAAAAAAAACCTGTGCGGGTTGTGTTGGCAAGAGAAACTCTTGGCCTCACAGGAGAGTTCACTGGAGAGACCCACAGAGTCCTAGAATGCACACAGACCCACCTGCCAAGGAATCAGCACCAGAGGGGCCCAATTTGCTGCTGGGTAGCAAGGGAGGTGACAAAGTCAGCCAAGAGCCGAGAAAGCTACACTGCTCCCGCTGGGACCCCTCCCCCGCAAACAGCACCACAACAGCAGCAAAGTAGATTTCCCCACCTGGGCAAATACCTAAGATTCTACCCCTTACTATGTAACAGTAAATAAAAAAAATATGGGCCAAATGAAAGATCAGATCAAAACTCCAAAAACAGAACTAAGAGATAAAGAGATAGTCGACCTATCAGATGCAGAGTTCAAAACACTGGTAATCAGGATGTTCACAGAAAAGGTTGAATATGGTCACAAACAGAGGAAGAAGTCAAGGCTATGCAAAATGAAATAAAAGAAAATGTACAAGGAACCAACAGTGACAGGAAGGAAACCGGAACTCAAATCAATGATTTGGAGCAGAAGGAAAAAAATAAACATTCAATCAGAACAGAATGAAAAAACAAGAATTCAAAAAAATGAGGAGAGGCTTACAAACCTCCCATACAACTTTAAATGTTTCAACATCTGAATAACAGGGGTGCCAGAAGGAGAAGAGAAAGAGCAAGAAATTGAAAACTTATTTGGACAAATAATGAAAGAGAACTTCCCCAATCTGGCAAAGGAAATAGACTTCCAGAAAGTCCAGGAAGCTCACAGAGTCCCAAAGAAATGGGACCCAAGAAAGCACACACCAAGACGCACCATAATTAAACTATCCAAGATTAAAAATAAGGAGAAAATCTTAAAAGCATCAAGAGAAAAGGAGACAGTTATCAGTAAAGGAGTTCCCATAAGGTTGATGGCTGATTTCTCAAAAGAAAACTTACAGGCAAGAAGGGGCTGGAAAGAAGTATTCAAAGTCATGAAAGGCAAGGACCTACATCCAAGATTACTCTATGCAGCAAAGCCATCATTTAGAATGGAAGGGCAGACAAAGTGCTTCCCAGATAAAGTCAATTTAAAGGAGTTCATCATCACCAAGCCCTTATTATATGAAATGCTAAATGGATTTATTTTTTAAAATATAAAAAATATGAACAGTAAAATGATAACAAATTCACAACTATCAACAACCAATCTAAAAAAAACAAAAACAAGAACAAACTAAGCAACCACCTAGAACAAGAACAGAAATGGAGATCACATGGAGGATTATCAGCAGACAGGAGGAGAGAGAAGAATGGGGGAAAGGTACAGAGAATAAGAAGCATAAATTTCATGTACAAAATAGACAGGGGGAGGTGAAGAATAGTATAGGAAATGTAGAAGCCAAAGGACTTATATGTACAACCCATGGACATGAACTAGGGTGGGCAAATGCTCGTGAGAGGGGAGTTACAGGGCAAAGGGGAATAAAGAAGAGAAAAAAATGAGACAACTGTAATAGCATAATCAATAAAATATATTTTAAAATAGAAAAAGGAAATGAGTTATATGGAATAAAGATGTCAACAGAAGATCTGGAATATAAAGTCAAGGAAATCTCCCAGAACACAATATAAAAAAGCAAGACAGACAATAGGATAGCAGGGATAAGAAGCTCACAGGATCGCCTGATGAGATCCAACATATGTCTAATAGAAATTCAAGAAAAAGCAGAAGAGAAGGAAAATACATGTCATAAAGATGCAAAAACATCCCAGAAGCAAAACAAGAGCCCCCAGCCTGCAAGGACCCTCGACTCCAGCACAATGAATGCAGGAAATCGACACCAGGCACACCCGAACGGATTTTCAGAACCAAGGGACAGGAGGGGGGCCTCTGAAGAGAGATAAGATCAGACCAGAGAAAGAAACGGCAATGACCTCAGACGTCTCAGCAGCAACACTGCATGCTGGGTGACAGTGAAGCCAAAACTGAAAGGAAAACTACTCTCAACCCATAATTCTACAAACCTAACAAAAAGAGGGTAAACACATTTCAGATGAGCAAGGACTCAGAACATTCTCCCCCTGTGCACCTTTGACAGAAACTAGAAGATATATTCCACCAAACGAGAGACTAAGCCAAAAGAAAAAACACACACTGCTGCTGTTGTCAACAGCAGCCCAGAGTAAGTACGTGGTATGTGTCAGGTCCCGTTCTAAGAACTCTAGCTATATAATTCACTTCATTCTCTAGCCACATGGCCTAGGGTGATCTATTTTACGTTCCCTGAGCCTCAGTTTCCCATAAGTAACTCAGTTTTCCATTCATCCACAGATGGCACAAAGACACGAGGAATTTACCCAAGTTAACAGTTACAGGTGGAGGAGCCAGACCCTATCGGCTTGGAGCCCCAGGGGTTCTCAGTGTGTGGCAGCCACACCCTGGGACCTCCCATTAGCCCACAGAGGAGCAGGGCAAAGCACCTTCTTACAGGGAAGATGAGGCAGAGCACTTGGAAAACTCTGCTAGAATATATACAGCCCACCTGGTGGCACGTTTGCATAAAAACAGAGATACAGAGAAGACTATCTGAGTGAGAAAATAAGGCAACTATCTTTGCAGAAAAAACGAAGAAATGTGCTCAGAGAACGTGTGCTGGTTCTGGGATATAGCAGTTAGTTACATAGCCATCGAAACATGACCCCACTAAATGAGGTACTATAAAGTGGAAAAAGAAAAGAAACAAATCTCCTATAATCAAACTCCAATTTGAAAAAGTTCCAAGGGCAGAGGGAACACGGGCTGAGTGTCACATGCAGGTGACCAGGGCATGCCATGAAGGGGATCTGCTTAGGAAGAGAAGAGACCTGGGCGGTGCAAACCTTCAGGTCAGTCCACAGGTAGAGAGCCAACTTTCACCGAGCCCTCCTCGGAGTGTGCAGCCCAGCTAGTCCTCGGGAGGCCCTGGTACCACACCATGGAAGGCACCATGTCCAGGTTCAGAGAGTTGGCCAGGAAGCAGCTATCAGCCCTAGGTCTGCTCAACGCTGAAGCCCACACCTTCTGCCCTGCCCTACTATTTTCCAGCAAATAAGATACATATCTGGTTTTATTTCTGAACACATACACTGAGATCTAAAATTCATTTATGCAGGTTTGAATCTAATGAGGAAATGGGTTCTCATTTAAACAAAAAAAATCTCTCAGGGAACCAATTAAGGTGAATATTATAAAAATAATTAAAAAAATGAGAACTATTTTAAAAAATGAGAACTTGTAATGAAAAACTGAGGACAATCTGAAAATAAAGCAAAAACAACTAACCTGAAATTATTGAACCAATATAGTAGCTAGGACCAAGTTTAGGGGAAACCAAGGAGAATTAAAAACAAGTCATCTGATGTATCAGGAAGCTATTTGAACAAAGACGCCAGCAGTTAACAAGCCACGTGAAATGCAAGTCACTGCACTTCTGTGGACTGCCCTGTTTCTTACTTTCTTGGGTTAATTACCAGGGGCAGACACAGAGCTCAGGACTCCTGAACGACGTGCAGAAGAGTACAGGTGCATCTACGCGCTTGTCAGGATGGTTCTGAGTTTTCACCTAACTTCTCAAAGTGGTCTGTGAGCAGAGACAGTCAAAAGGCTCCCTGTGCTCCCAGAGGATAGCCTGGTGTCTCACACCAGACAGGGGTCCGTGGCATGCCATCAAGACACAAGGAGGTAAGATGTGACGCTTCTGAGTCTCCCACATTCTTCCAAAACCACTCTAGGCATTTATAATTCCAGTGATGTCTGGGAATGAGTGAAAATTAAAAAACCACAGAAGTAAATACACAAAGTGATTATTTCTCACCTTTACACACACGTTGACAAAAACTCTCTGATTGCCTTTGCTGCTGGGTGAGTTAAACAGCGTAAGTGTCTGAATCCCACCAGCATCACGGGATGTGTCGAGCGAGTCATCGCCACCCATGCACTTGACTTTTAACCAATCTGCTAGAATTCTGTGAATGAAAGAAAACCACACTTGCAGAAGAATCCAATTCTAAATCTAAACTATAAAGATTTTCAGGAAAAGAAGTTAGAGAAATATCACACAGATACAGGTCCACAGATACAAATTCTACGACAGAGTTGATCTGAACGAAACTATGCTGGGTTACTTATTCGGGTGAGAGGAGAGGGCACTTGTGGGACTGGTTCATTCTGATGTAACTTGAGATTCTTATAAAGCACTAAGAAAAGATTCTGAGCACTACAAAAGATCCATAAAACATATACATATTTTATAGTATCAAATTTCTCAGTCTTGAGATCTTAAGAATTCTTGGGACACACATTTCCTAAAGAATTGGCAAGTCAGAAGACAGCTATTTTAAGAAATGAACCATTTAAACACTTTAAAACACCACAAACTCTCATCTTTGCTCAGCTATCTTAGCCTACATGTGTTCTGGCTTAAAAGGAATAATGTGTTCAGAGAACCTAATATCCTCACACGTTGCAGATAGGAATGTAAAAGTGTACAGCCACTATGGAAAACACTTTAGCAAATATTCAAAGACTTAAACATAGTTACCACATAACCTAGCAATTCCACTCTTGGGAATATAACCAAGAGAACTGCTAATATAGATCCACATAAACACTCAACATGAAAATGAAAACAACCAAAATACACCCATCAACTGATAAATAAAATGTGATATATTCATTCCATGCAATGTTATTCAGCCACACACACAAAAAAGGACTGATACATTCACTACGTGAATGAACCTCGAAAACATTCACGTTGAGTGAGAGATGCCAGTCATAAGCACCACATGCCGGGTGACTGCATTTGTACAGATGTCCAGAACTGGCAATGCGCACAGACAGAGGGCAGATCAGTGGCTGCCAGGGGCTGGAGGTAGGGAGGAATGGACTGCTAACAGACATGGAGTTTCTTTTTAAGTGAAAAAATGTTCTGGAATTAGATTATGGTGATGGCTGTACAACTCTGTGAATACACTAAAAACCAGTGAAACAGACACTTTAAATGGGTGAAATTTATATGTGAATTATATCCCAATAAAGCTGTTAAAAAATAAAGGTAACATGTTTTATAGTTGCTTTAAAAGTATGAAAGCAATTTGGTTATAAGAAATAATTTCTTTTGAAAAATGCCCAAATTTTTTCCCTAAGGAAAAAAAATGGAACAATAAATAGATAAATTACAAACCGTCTTCCCCAAGACTCTCAACTTCAAATCACAAACAGACTGCCGGTCTCAGCACCAAAGCGTAACTACACACCAGCGCCCCACCACGCATGGGAGGAACACGCTGCTCTGACAGCCCAGCTGCCCCTTGTGCTGCCCCACTGCCCAGCACTCTCGGGAGAAGGCACTCCTCCTCCCCAGGCTGCTTTCTCAGCATCACGCCCCCAGAGGGAGGCCCTGCCTGACCTGCCAGGACTCCCTGGGGACTGCTCTTCTCCGAAGTCGGGCAGCACCAGCACCAGCTTCCAAAACACGTGCTCTCTTGCACCAGGGAGGTGCTCGGCCACGAGGGAAGGCAGGTCCAAGGGGGCCCACACCGCATCACTGGAAGGGACAGAACACGGCAGGTGAGTTGATGCTCAGGCTCCAGGGAAAAAGTCGCGTGCACGGCGGGGACGTGACAAACCTCAGCAGCTGCTGGTAGAAGTGTTGGACCTTCAGCTGGTGTGCAGTCTTGTTCCTGAGCCACCGCAGCCTACAAAGAAAGGGAGAACAACGTGCCCACAGAAGGAGCCTGATAAGTACTTACTAATGTTTTCAGTAAAAAGTAACTGGTTAGTAAATATTTCCGGTGGGAAATATTTGGGAGATCAAGGAAACTTCTTCTGATAAATGGAAGGACCTGGTCATTCCACACATATCGAGCAGTGTCTACCCTGTGCCACTCATGGGGGACAGCAGTAAACAGACAAAAACCCTGCTGTCACGGGGAGAGACGCGCCTCTGCAAGTGGATGGCCTGGTAGGTGTGTGGGTACAGCGGAGTCTCACAGAGTGGTCAGAGAAGTGGCAGATGAGCAAAGGCCTAAAGGAAATAAGGGGGAAGAGCAGGACGATTTCTGGGGGAGAGGCAGGAGGGGTGGCCACGCCAAGGCAGGAGTGGGTCTGCAGGAAGAGAATGAGTACAGGCTAGAGCAGTGGGGGGCGGTGGGGTGGAGGGGGGTTGGCAAGCGCTGCCCTGCAAGGACTCAGAGAGCAGCAAAGGGACTTGAACCAGAGACATGAGGTGACCTGACCCGACTGTGGTGGTCAGGACACCAGGGTGTAGGGGTTAAGAGCAGATGCCAGCAGACAGGCTGGCAGCAGAGATGGTGAGGGCAGTGCTCCAGGACGATGGGTCTGAGCCCAGGTGAGTGACCTCAGCCCGGGAGGACAGGCTGACACCCTGTGAGCCAGGGAAGGCCCCGAGTGGGGCAGGCTGGGTGGAGGTTAAGTTCTGACGCCGGGTTGGGAATTGGACACGGGAGGCTGGGGCACAGGATCTAGGAGCCTCGCTGTAAACACACAAAGTAAGCTGTCACGTGAAGGCCAGAAAGAGATGGCCAGGGCAGGGCCTATGTTGGGGTGGGGGGAAGACAGAGGGAGCAGCCGCCACTCCGGGAGAAGGCTAGGCCAGCACCAAGGCCGCCATGGGCCAAAGAGGAGCCTGAGTGCCCTGACCACACACGGTGCGCAGTCACCCACCCCACTTACAGGGCCTCAGGAACTCAGGCAACTGCCAGTTTGTTGAAGCTGAAGGAGATGAAAACCCTGGAGATGGTTTTCAGAAAAAATGTCCCATGACAGTCCAGGGGAAGTCAAGGAACTGCCACAAGACCCAGGCAGTGTGCTGCTGTGGCCCCTCTCGAGAGGTGACAATGGCACGGCCCGAAGAGAGAGGCCGAGCCCTGCGCGGCTAGCACTGGATAGCTCCAGCAAAGACCTGGGCCGGGCCTCGGGGAGCTGCACTCGCTCAGAGAGACTGGGAGAAGCGGCAGGAGAAGTGGCAAAGGCGCCCAGGAGGGAGCCGTGAGAGGAGTGACGGGGGGGGGGAGTCACTAAAATGCTGCTGCACGAGACAGAGGAGCAGGTATGAGTGGTGGAGCGAGACAGCAGCAGAAATGAGCAGAAGCAGAAGGACATGGAGGCACAGGAAAGTGGAGGTGGGAGTGGGCCCACGGTGCCCTCTGGCTCTACCAATGAGAATGGACGTGGTGTATTCTTAAACTAGGAAAACAAGGGGAAAGACAGTCAATTCCAACTAAAATTCAATTATTAGGACCCCAAGTGTTTTAAAGGGAAAAGGCATATAAATCAAACCAGGCAGAGCAACCACATGCACAGAACTGGAGGGAAAGACCACCTACAAAGTGCGGTCCTGCCTCTGTCTTCACGCTCTGAATCTACCTAGCTTCCCTCCAAAGACGCAGGAAGGGCGGGGGGCACTTAGGAAGCACTGTGGCAAGCGGAGTGCTGACCTGGTACAGGAGATGCCCACTTTCCCTGCGTGGCCCAGGTCCAGGAGGCCCTTGGCCAGGTTCTCCTCAGCAATGGGACACTCTGCACTGGGCACGAGCGCCGTCAGCCGATCATTCACGTCCACGCAGCAGGGCGCTGCAGGGAAGGCCCGCATCTGGCGCCTCAGCTTCTTCCGGGCTACCACGGCTTCCCTCCACCTGCAGGACACACCAACGTATCAGTGCGGGTGTGTTACAGGTGTCCCATCCTTCAAGGGACAAATACTAAAAACACACTCTGGTACCATTAACACGGGAACACATTTTTTGGCAATTATGTTCGGTCTTTTTCAGCAATAGTCCTCACACTAAGAAATTAGAATTAAAACTGAAGGGGGGGAAAAAGTTTAAAAACAAAAGACAAAAAAAAAAACCCCAAACTCCTCAGGCATGGGAGAGGCCTGACAGCAAATGAGTGGTGGCAAGCAAAAAATTAGTGAACCTAAGAGCTAATGCTGCCCTCTCTCTAGAGAACCAGCTTAGCAGTATGGACAGAAACACGAGAGGACGCCCCGCGACCCAGCAAACACCACTGTCGGGGATTTATCCCCAGACACTCCAGACACTGTGCGTACAAGGACGGTTACTGCAGTCCTCTGCCATAGCTGAAGAGAGGAATTCATGTGCAAGTCTGCCCACAGGGGCCAAGCAGGTCATCACGGTGCCACTGACAACAGTCTGGAAGGTTAACACACTGCTGTGACCCGGCCTCCACCCCCTGGCACGTGGAGGAAAGAACGGCTGGGAACAGGGCTGGGAGCGTGCTCACAGCCGTGCTGGGGACCACGAAAGGACAGCGGGCATCTGGGAGGTGCACAAGCAGCAGCTGCTTCGCAGGAGGAAGACAGAGCCTCTCACAGGATGGAGACTCATTGCTCACTGTGTTCCTTTTCACACATTGCAACTACCAAGAACACAATTATGTATTTTGAATTTTACATGAACTGAATCACCATAAAGAATATGTGACACATAGGCCCAGTTTAAAGATTAATGGTGAGTCAAACACCGTGTCCTCCCGTCCAGTTGAGAAACGGTGCCCATGGTGCCCGGGGGACCCTGCCGAGTCACACGCCCTCTCATTCCCAAGAGTAACCGCTATGCTGAGCATATGTTCATTATGCCCCTGCTTTTCCTTATGGTCATACGACTATCTGTAAATCCAAAACCACCTAGTTGATACACACTGCTCATATGTTGTTTACATTTCCTTAAAATTGCTTTTTTCCATCACAAATTATGTTTTGCATATAGCTATCATTTGCTTGACTTGTTCATGGCCATCTTTGTGCCTAGTGCAAAGAGTGAAAGCAACCTGTAAGTATTTATCAAAATACAGAACTACTCCCTAGTTCCTTACTCCACACACTTTGGGAAAGAATGTTACCTGTGTGCGTGCCCGTGCACAACTGATCACTTCCTCAAGTATAATCTCTGTAAAAAGACTCCTGTATGCGTGGATTTTACCTGTCAGGACGCGAGACTCACCTCTGAAGGTACTTGCAGTAGCACTGAAGTTCCTGGAGGGTCTCCTTTGCAGTCTGGAAAATCTCCTCCCCAAGAAACAAGTCCACCAAGTGGGCGCAGACGACCTCACAGCAGCGGGCCATACGGACCCTCTGGTCTGTCTCCACGGCACTCCTAGGGAACAGGGCCGTCAGCACGGGAGACACTGCACCCGGAACCCGCACCCCAAGGGCCTGCCTTAAAAGTGTGAGTCCGTGCCCTTTACAGTGAAACACAGTTATGTCTCTGCTGCAAGAGAAGCTTTAAGATTTTCATTTTACTCAATGTATGTCCATCTGAAAAGAATCACCACAAAACAAACGTAACAGGGAAAAAACAAGAGCGGTAGGTATAGGGTCCTGGAGTACAGATCCAAGGGGGCCCTTGGAAATAGTCCAGAAATAAAAGTTCATCTTAATAAAATGGTTAGAAGTTTAGTTTTTAAGTGAGCATAAGACATCCTCTCATCAGCAACACTGGACGTGTGCAGGTAAAAGTGTCTCAACTGCGTGATAAATGGCAGCCTGTGGTCACACAGCAGCATCCAGGAGACATTTTCACAACAAGATTCTATCGACCAAAAGAACAAGAGCACTTTATCAAATACATTTAGTCACAGAATTAAAGTAGCCTAAAAAGGCAAGACCCATTTCCAACAGCCACCCTCCTGGGAGAGAAGCAGCCTAAGTCTCCTGGAACCAAGGAGAGCAGCACATCACCTGCCCATCGATAAGTCCAGGGTTTACTAAACGCCTAACACCCCTTCCTGGGCTTAAGAACAGACATGCGTGCATCATTTGTGAAGTCTCTTACTTAAAATAAATACGGAAATAAATTCCCAGTTAACAGAGATGGAAAGAAACATTATTAAACGACACTCCTCTGCCTTCTGGCTCTGTTCCCCGCCCGCACCGGGAGCTGTGACGGCCCTGGGCAGCCCATCCCCTTCGGGGCCAGCTCAGAGAGCTGAAGCGTGAGGGCAGGTTTCCCGGACAGTTAAACCTCCATCTCCCTGGCCTGGCATGGAAATCCATAAAGTTCTTAAGGGAGAGAGCTCCAAGCAATATTTCAACACATGAAACAAGAGAAGGCTCTTCTGCTCAAGCTGGGTCACTCAGTTGGTTGGAGCACTGTTCCATACACCAGAAGGTTGCTGGTTCCATCCCCAGTCGGGGGACATACCTAGGTTACAGATTCAACCTCTGGTCAGGGCATGTACCGGAGGTGATCAATCGATGCTTCTCTCTCTCTCGAACACTATCTCACTCCCTCTCTCCCTTCCTCCCTCTCTCAAAATCCTCAGGTGAAGATTCTTTAAAAAGAGAGAGAAGGATCTCCTACTTGAGAAAAACTAACGGTAAGCAATCTGGTGTGGAGAATACCAGTCCATTCTCCTGCAGACAGGAGGGACCCCCACGACAGTGCAGGGTCCACAGTGAGGATAAGAGTGAAACGCAGGCCCTCTCTCTGGGGGCCACACACATACGGGGACGGTGTTGCAGTGTTTTGCTATCCAAAGACATGTCTGTTCCTTGTCCATGTGAAACCCAGCCGGCCTGAGCTGCGCCAGTCGGACCTCAGTGCCTAAATGACCCTCCTCCGTCCCGGCAGCCACTTCTCCCGCACTGCAGGGCCCAGCACTTCACTCACTTCAGCTCCTGGGCGCAGGCGTCCCTCACACACTCCATCACCACCAGTTCTGTCAGCTCTGCAGCCAGGCCCTGACTCATCTGAGTTAACAGCAGTTCTCTCTCTTGTTTCAACCTAAGTAATTTTTTAAAAAGAAAACAGCAGAAGGGTAATGTTTAAGAATAAAAACAAGTGGTGGCATCACGCTCCATGACCTCACAGGTGGGTTTCTAAGCTGTTGCCTGAGTCCGTAAGCCCAACCATCTGATCCCACCAGAGAGACCACACAGCTGCCCCCAAGTCCAGCCCCCCTGACCACCACCCTTCTGTCTCCCTACTGCTCACACTGTAGGAGGTATAGCCTCAAGGCCCCTGTCCACTCCCAAGGCTGAAGTGTATAAGGGCAGCAGAAGTGCACAACCTAGGTGAGCCTCAGTCTGTTGCAGTGGACAACAACCGCAAGAGCACCCTAGGCCCATGTGGGTTCTCTCCTGTGTCCACACACTCAGACCCCCACGTGCACTGCAAGAATGAGACACACTCACCTCTCCTCTTCAGCCTGCCGCCTCTCCTCCTCCTTCCGCTCTTTTTCCTTAGTCATTTCTTCAACTGCAATGTGTCTCAAAATGCCTGTGGTTTCAGCTGTTAACAACTCCTCCACAGCAGCATTAGAAACACTACACATAACAAAGTGGATATCATTCTAAATAAATAAATAAATGTCAAGCAAATCACATAACTAAACTTCTAAGTGGCAAAGGAAAAAAAACTTATTTGGCTTTTAGCACAAAAAACAAACCCATGGTTATAATCTATATGTAAATCTATATGTAGATTATAGAAACATATAATCTATCAAAACTGATACATGAATAAACAGAAAATCTAAAGACACCTACAACTAGTACAGTGATTGAGTCAATAGTCAAAAACCCCTCACAACAAAGAAAAGCCAATGAGCAGATGGCTTCACTAATAAATTCCACCCACCCTTTAAAGAAGCACTAACACCAATCCTTCTCTAACTCTTCAAAAAAACTGAAGAGGAAACAATACTTCCTAACACTCCTGTGAAGCCAGCATTGCCCTGATCTGATACCAAAGTCAGACAAAGACCCCACAAGAAAGCTACAAACCAATCTCCCTTATAGATATTGACGTAAAAATCCTGAACAAAATACTAGCAAAAGTAACACAGTTAACTTTTTAAAAATTTTTATTTATTTAATTTTTAGAGAGAGGGGAAAGGAGGAGGAAAGAGAAGTAGAGAAACATCAATGTGCTAGAGATACATCGATCAGTTGCCTCTCACACGCCCCCAACTGGGGACCTGGCCTGCAACCCAGGAATGGGCCCTGACTGGGAATCGAAGCAGCGGCCCTTTGGTTTACAGGCTGGCGCTCAATCCGCTAGGCCACACCGGCCAGGGTGTAATATAGCTAACTCTTGAACTACACAGGCTTGGACTGCACAGGTCCACTTACACATAGATTTTTCAATAGTTGTTTGTATCCACAGGTACAGAATCTATATCTTCAGATTCTTAACTGCAGGTTGAAAACAGTATTTTTGGCCTCCTATCCACATATCAAAAATACTGTTTTAGATCTGAGTTTGGTTAAATCTTCAGATGTAAAGGGCCAATTGTAATCAGTTATATGAGAATTTTGGACTGTGTGGAAGTTGGAACCCTAATCCCTGTGCTATTCAAGAGTGAACTGTACCTCATATATTAAAGGATTATATAACATTATCAAGTGAGATTTAATCCTAGAATGCAGGATGACTCAAAAAATGAAAATCAATCAATAATACTACAACCACAGTAACAGGATGAAAAACACCACACACAATCATCTCAGCTGATGCAGAAGGATCATCTGACAAAATTCAACACATTTCCTGATTAAAAAATTCAATATATTAGGAATAGAAGGAAATTTCCTCAACATGATAACACCCACAGCTGACGTATTCAGTGATGAAAGACAGAATGAACGCTTTTCCTCGAAGATCAGGAATAAGACAGGGATGCCCACTTTTGCCATTTCATTCAACACCATATTGGCAGTTATAGCCAAAGCAGTTAGACAAGAAAAATTAAAAATGTCCAAATTGGAAAGAAGAAAATTATGTCTATTAATAGATGACAGGATCTTATATAAAGAAAATTGTAAGGAATCACTCAAAACTTAGAACTTGTAAGCAAAATCTCAGCAACTTTGGAATATAAGGATCAATACCCAATCAATACCCAAAAATGGCATTTCTATACACTAGCACTGAAAATTCTGAAAATGAAATTAAGAAAAAAGCAGTTTCATTTACAACAGCAAAAAGAAATAAAATAATTAAACCTGACCATGGAGATGAAAGACCTATATGATAAAAAACTATAAAACACTGCTAAAATATGGAGGAGGCTGGGATGGGAAAATAGACAAAAAACTGTACTTGAAAAATAACTAAATAAAATTAATTAAAAAAAAAAGAAAAAAAAACACTGCTAAAATAAATTAAGGATGGCCTTAATTTCATGAATTGGAAGGTTTAATATTGTTAAGATGTTAATACTACCCAAAGCAATCTACAGATTCAATGTAATCACTATAATAATCCTAAGAGCATTTTTTACAGAGACAAATCCATCCTAAAATTCATATGGAATTTCCAGGGACCTCAAGTAGCAAAACAATCTTTAAAAAGAGAAACAAAGTTGAAGGACTCACACTCTGTGAATTAAGAATAAAACTTACTACAATGCTACAACAATCAAAACAAGTATGTACTAACACAAACACAGACATGTAGGCCAATGAAATAGAATAAGGAGCCCAGAAGTAAACCCTCAGGTATATGAGCAACTGATTCGCAACAAAGGTGCTAAGACCATTCAATGAGGAAAGGACAGTCTTTAAACAATTGGTGCTGGGAAAACTAGACACGCACATACAAAAGAATGGTGTTGGACCCTTATACCATATATAAAAATGAAATCAAAATGGATCAAAGACCCAAACCTAAGAACTAAAGCTACAAAACTCTTAGAAGAAAACCTAAAGGAGAAATCTCAAAGCACTGGAGTCAGCAAAGATTTCTTATGCATGACAACGAAAGTACAAAGAATAAAAGAAAAAATAAATTAGACCACATAAAAATTTAAAAATTCTGTGCATAAAAGGACACTATCAAGAGAGTGAGAAGATAATCCACAAAAGAGGATATCTGCACATCATGTATCTGATAAGGAATTAATAGCCAGAATGTAAAAGAACTCAACACACACACACACAAACAATTCAAAAATGGACAAAGAACTTGAATACACATTTCTCCAAAGAAGGTACATGAATGGTCAATAAGCACATGAAAAAAGAAGTTCAACATCCTTTGTCATTAGGAAAATGCAAATCAAAACTATAAAATACCACTTCACACCTATTATGATGGTTATAAACACACACGCACACACACAGAAGATACCATGTGTTGGCAAGAACATAGAAAAACTGGAACCTTTGCTTATTGCTGGTGAAAATGTAAAATGGTGCAGCCACTGTGGAAATAATGGGGCATTTTCTCAAAAAATTAAAAATAGATTATATGATCCAGCAATTCCACTCCTCGTCATATACCCACAAGAACTGAAAGCAGAGACTCAGTTATCCGCACATCCATGTTCATAGTATCATTCACAACAGTCAAAAGGCAGAAACAAGCCAAGTGTTCATCAACAGATAAAAAAACGTGACGTAATACTCATACATGTGTTTGTGTATGTATATATATATTTAAAGGCACACTACTCAGGCATAAAAAAAGAATGAAATAGGAATACACACTACAATACAATTGAACCTTAAAGACATTTTTGTGTCTGAAAAAATTAGACACAAGAGAACAAATACTGTTATGACTGCACTTATACGAGGAACCTAAAAGAGGCAAATTCATAAAGACGGAAAGCAGAAGAGAGGTTACCAGGGGCTGGGGAACGAGAAGAACGGCAGATTACCATTTAACGAGTGTAGCTTTGGAATGACAGAAAGTTCTGGATGTAGATAGTGACGAGGGACACACAACTCTGTTAACGTACTTAATGCCACTGAATTGTGTAAGTATACTTAACACTGGCTAAAATGAGAAACTGTCACGTACATTTTACCACAATAAAATATTAAGCCCATGGAAATCATTTACATTTAGTTCCACCAAGGAAGCCCCTGTAGCCCTGGCAGGGCAGCCCATTTGGTTAGAGCACAGGTGGCGAACCGAAGGCCCCGGCGGGTCTGGCCCTCCCACCTTGCTCCTCCCACCTTGTTTCCACCCAGCAGCAGCGGCAGCACCAGCTCTCTCTTAACTGTTAAGGAGCAGTTACATTCACACAGTCCTAACTGCTCACACAGTTAGTTACCTTCTGCCCTTTGAAGGCAAACACACGAGGCTGACGTGGCCTCCAGTGAAAAAGAGTTTCACACCCCTGGTACAGCACGGGTCCCGATACACCAAAGTTATGGGTTCAATTCCCCATCAGGGCACATACCAGAATCAACCAATGAATGCATAAATAAGTGGAACAACAAACTGATGTCTCTCTCTAATAAACAAAAAAAATTTGAAAGAAGGTATGTATACAACTCCAGTATAAAAAAATTAATCAAATCCATCAAGGCCATTGATCCTTTTGTGTAATCTGTATTCATGCACATAAAATATATCTTCTTTAATTCCCCCCCAAAAAGCAAAAGACAGAAGCAACTTCCTGAGAGAAACATTTATCAGTTGCCTCCTGCACACACCCCGACTGGGAATCGAACCCTCAACCTTTTGGTTTACAGGTGAAATACACTTCATCATTGTGTCGCTTTTTATGTACTAGGGTTTTTGAAATCCTTAAGAAAGTCTGACTTAATTTATTGATTTTAATCAGCTTTACAAAAGTTGCTTAAGAGCTTATAAATATTTTGATTATCAGCCCTGGCTGGTGTGGCTCAGGGGATTGAGTGCCAGTGAAACAAAATGTCACCAGTTCGATTCCCGGTCAGGGCACGTGCCTGGGTTGCCCATGAGATCCCCATTTGGGGGGCGTGTGAAAGGCAACTGGTTATTTCTCTGCCTTCCTTCCCTCTCTCTAAAAATAAACAAGTAAAATCTATAAAAGAATACTTAGAGAAAAAGAAATATTCTGATTATTATTTTTATTTATTAAAATTACATATTCTAAGTATTAGACAAAATCAGACATGTAAAACTTACAAGTTGTAAGGCAATTTCGCCACGGTGTAAAATGTAAATGGCATAAAATGTTTAAAGGGATTTAATCTGTCAAATTTATAAACTGAAACTTAACCCAAGATCAAACAAAGTGAGTATGTTTAGTTTGGGCAGCGGGGGCTCTGAATATTTATTTATTGAATTTATTGGGGTAACACTGATTAACGAAATTATACAGGTTTCAAGGGTGCAATTCTGTAATCCATTGACTATATGTTGTATCATATGTTCACCGCCTCATGTCTCCTTTGGGTATTTTAAATTATTAATAGAGAATGAACTAATTTTTACTTTACTAGAATTTTGTTGTGTTTAAAGTTTAGAAAAATAGGTTTTTAATTTACTTCTTTAATAAACCTAATTAATGTTGCTCAGAAAGCAGACGTGAGCGGAAACTACACGCCAATGACAAACAGAAGGTCAGAAACATGAAGAATCACACCCGCCTAGAGGACAGGCCCAGCACTCAAGCCCGTACAAATGGGAAGCTGTGCTCTCTTGCTGAAGACTGGGGGCAGCTCTAAGAGAGCAAATGTCTGGGGGGGATGGAGTGTGGTCCCAGTGAGTGCAAACAGCTTCAGAGCAGAAGGAACACCGCACTTACCCCAGAGCTGTGGCTGCGAAGGCCGCCCCGGCAGCACCGACCTCCTCACAGTCTCTCTGAAGAACCTCCTGGATGAGCTCATCCACCACCTGTGCCAGGTCCTAAAGAGAGGCCGGTTGGGGGAGGGGCAGGGGGAGGGGGAGGGGGAGGGGGAGGAGGTGGTCAGGCATGCCGTGACATTGCCACAGTCCAGATGGGACTCATAACCCAAGGGAATCGAAGACCTTCAGAGAATCATCGAGTTCTCGTGGAACATCCCATCCAAGGCAGAAATTTTGGTGAGACCTTGTCAGTGGACACTGTTTGAAGGTGTTTTAATGACCCAAACACGGGGCTACTATGCTGTTTACGGGAAGACTTCCTGGTAATGAACAGGGAGGAGCCTTCTGGAGAGGACCGGGCAAGCCTCCTGCCTACGTGAGGATGGTTGCTCGGAAGGCCCCCAGGGCCGCCCTGCACATCAAACGTGCTCAGAGTCTGTGGCCAGTCTTCATGTTCCCTCTCTGTCCCTCCTTGATCCCCTGGCTGAGGTAGTGCCCAGCACCTGTCCAAGCAACAGATGGCGAGACTGAGTCCCACAAGCTGTGTGGTAGACAGGCCCAGCTCAACCCCAGGGACACATATGTTGGTGGGTACAGTGACCCCAGGGACACGCCTGTCAGCGAACATGTGGTGGTAACAGTGGTCCCCGTGTCCCTGGTCAACATGCCCACTGGCTTTCGAATGAGCGTGCCGAGCACCACTTAGAGCAGACACGTGGGAGTGCAGGGTGGCTCCGGGACAGGGTGACAGTGGACACCACGTGTCTGCAGAGCTCTTGGAGCAGGAAGCACTCGACACGGGGCAGCGCTTACTCTACCGACAGCATTAGGTCCATAAAAACCTTTCAGGTCATTCTAAATGGATCACCTGTGGCCTTTCAAGGAGTGACATGGGCAACAAGCTGGAGACCCACTCACCTTCCCTGCTCTCTGAGCCTCAGGCTCCTTGTCGGAGACACAGACTCAAGCCTTGTGGTCCAGGTCCCAAAGTGAGACTTGCCATGGCTAGTTCAGAACATTCTAAGAACATATGTATGACCACCTTAGGGAACTCGGTCTACAGACAATGGTCAGGCAGGACATTTGCACACAACAGGCTCTTTGGAGCCTGACCTGGAAGGCCCCTTACCGCGTCCAAGTACACAAGCTCCGGCTTTGCAGGAAGAAGCTCTGGCTGCACAGGGGGCTGCACGGGGGGTAGGAAGAGGCTGGATGCCACACTCGGGGTTGGTGCTGGGTGGTGAGGCAGAGAGGCTGGCAGGGGCACCGGGAGGGGAAGAGGCTGCGGGAGGAGAGCAGGCAGGGCTGTGTCCACCTCAGTACCACACTCCTCTCCTCTCCCTGCACCTGGAAGAGAACAGCCAAACATGGGCAAAACAAACTCCAGGCTACCCACAGTGACTTCAAGGGCTGACCACCCTCCCTGAGTTTCACCATAAGAACCAAGCACCATGACGCCAGGGAGCCTTTCAGGACAATCTCAAGGTGAAACCCCTGAACCAAGTTCCTCACCCAGACCCCCAAATAATACAAATGCTTCTGGCTCCCAAGAGGCTTCCCAGAGGGACAAGCAGCTACTTCCCTCCCACAGATGCTGCTTCACTCACCTGCTATGTCCAAGCCAGGTCTCTGAATGCCCACAGGCAGCTCTGCGGCCAGGCTATCCCCGACGTACTTGTTCTGGGAGTTGAAGCTGCACACAGGGACATGACGAGGGACGGCGGGCAACGGCCCTCCATTCACGATTTCCCCTACTGAAACCGTCAGCTTCCTGGTAATAAACACCGACTTCCTGGCCTTTAATAGCCCCTCTGGTTCCAAGAACGAAGACCGGTTCAGCTCAACACAGCTAATTAGACCAAAGAGAATCCAGAGATGCATGACAGGTGAGAGGCCAGCCCTCACTTCTCAGTGCCTGGCAACAACACTAGAAGCCCCATTCCTGCCACAGAATGGCCACAAAGCCACACGGAAACCAGGAGGCGGCAGCACCCACTGCTGTCAGCCTACATGGGAGCCGTCTGGCCTACTAACAGCCACACATGGAGCGGCACACACCTACACGCTCCTGGCTCCCTCCAAAGCCGCCACATCTCCATGAGGACACGACTACAAGCAGCACGCACGCATTGAAGCTGGAGGGTGGGGCTGGAAACCCTGCTTGGGGCGTGCCTATCATGCTTTTTATCAGGATGCCATTTTCTGGGAGAGGGTCCGCAAGCCTCATCAGTTCTCAAAAGACTCAGACTCCAAGCAGAGAAGCCCTTGGCCTGGCCCACCGTGCCTGTCCAAGCCATCAAAATTGGGCAGTGGCCTGTCACAGGCCAGCATAGGCCGTCCTCAAGGGACAGAATGAGAAGGCCTGTACCTTTAAGTTCTTCAGTAACTTGTGAAAAGTACCGACTTTGGAGCCACAAAGAACTGGGTCTAAACCCAACCTGCCAACAAGCAGCATGTGCCCTGGCGATGTTCCCAGCCACGCTGAGCCTTGCTGTGGACACCAGGGAGGCAGCACCTGAGACGCGCCTTCCCGAGGGCCTAGCACCTCAATGGTACTTCCCAGCCCTTTACAGAATTAAGACAAAAAAGGAAAGGGTTCCCTGCAGTTCCACCCTCAGCTCTTACCCATCGGACACAGCGAGACCGTGGTAGTTGAGGAAGTCTGTGGCCTCTTCGCAATCTCTGAAGAGCAGCATGCGTACCACGCCGTCCAGGGGAAAGGTGGTGGATCGCTGTGTGCTCACGGTGTACGCGATATTGAGTGCCCGGAGAGCATCCTTGCGGATCTGAAAGGAGAAGGCAATCGCCGCCATCTCAGTTGGTCAGTTGCCCCGGGACCACACAATGACTGGCTGGCATGGGGGGCAGGGCTCCTGATGTAGCTCGGTCTCTCTGGAAAGCACTCTGGGTCCCAGACTTGGTGACCCAGACGCTAAGGCCATCTGCTCAGTGGAAAATGCCCAGGAATGCAGGCAAAGGAAACAGTTCCGTACACAGGAAAGGTTAGCCTGAAGACCTGATTTGTAACAGAAACAAAAAAACCAAACCACCCTGCCACCCAGCAGGGCAGGGAAAGTAAACTGTGCAGCGCCCCCTCAACAGGAGGTTGTGCAGCTGCCAAAAATGATCACACAATCAATGGAATGCCATTGAAAAGCGCATGCCATAAAATTAAGTAAAAGAGTCAGACACCAAATCGTTTCTTAGCATTAACAAATGCTTTAAAAGACAACAAAAGAAAAACGTAAAAATGCTCACAAAACTCGTGTTGGGTGATGGGACTCTGGGTGGCATCTTCCAGTGTTAACTAACTCAACCAGTAGTTATCAAGCATTTCCTTCGTGCCTGGCATTGTTAACGCTGAGATTACAACAGGGAAAAAACAGAAATCCTGTCCCCATGTAGCTGATGTGTTAGGGAGACACCAACACTAAATAAAGTGAATGTATAAAATATGCAGTACATTTCATAGCAACAATGCAACAAAAAGGCAGAGAGAGGAGGACAAGGAGCACTAAAGGGATGGGCACAGCTGAGAAGGTGGCAGAGAAGCCAAGACCTGGAGGATGTGGCCCCCCGTGTGGCTCTGTGAGAAGGGGGAGCAGGGAGAACAGCACGTGCAGAAACCCCGAGGCCAGAGGCACCGCTACAGCAGGAGCTGAGCAAGGAGGAAGCACAGGAAGTGGCCCTGGGGACGGCGTGGGCTTCGAGTTACTAAAATGGGCACCATGATCAACGTTCTAATGACACTCAAACAATCATTTTAAAAACACTAACTACTAGTTTTTTGTCAACTGCACGGAGTCCCCAAGTGGCACACTCTTAGAAATCTTTTCATTTGTTCCAGAATTTCAGTTCTGTTGGCAACTGTCAGATCCGATAATGTGCACACTGCTGAAGATTCTTTGCCTGGGGTGCGATTGTGGGTTTAGTCACTGTTTACAGGAGAACTTGGGGTGAGACCAAAGAAGAAAAATGACCTGGAGTCACAAGAACCAGGTGGCAGGTCCCAGGGATCTCCCAGGTAGCCTCCTCCACACCCAGTGAACCCTAAAGGCTCTCAGCAAGGACTCCTTCGGGGGCATCCTCCCCCTCTGCAGCTGGGAAAGGGCACAATGTGTACGCCATGAAGTACGTGCAGGCAGCTCTGGAGTCACCCCCAAGTGCCCTTGGGCTGGGGCTGAAAACCTGCCTAGAGATGCTGAGACCAGGAGCTCACACTCTAGGCAAAGCCCCAGGTGCCCGCCTTCGTAACCCCAGAGTGCACCACAGCACAGACAAAGAGAAGGCACTGGAGACGGTCACTAAAATGGATTTAGCGTCATCAGGCTCACTCTAGAAGTTTAGTACACTGAAAATCTCTAAATTAGAGACTTGGTGCATGCAGTTTTTTGCTTTTTGATTTTTTGTTTTCAGGGAAGATAAAAGTGCTAAACTCTGAGCCTGACTGGTGTGGCTCAGTGGAGTGTTAGCCTATGAACCAAAAGAAAGGTTGCTGGTTTAATTCCTGGGCACAGCATATGCCTGGGTTGCAAGCCAGGTCCCCAGTAGGGGGGTGTGCAAGAGACAACCACACACTGATGTTTCTCTTGCTCTCTTTCTTCCTCCCTCCCCTCTCTCTAAAAATAAATAAATAAAATATATTATTTTAAAGTGCTAAACTGCAGTTACATGGTTCTAAAGAGATTTCTCGCCCTGGCTGGTGTGGCTCAGTGGACTGAGTGCCAGCCTGCAAACCAAAGGGTCACTGATTTGATTCCCAGTCAGGGCACATGCCTGGGTTGCAGGCCAGGTCCCCTGGTAGAAGGCACTCAAGAGGCAACCACATGTTGGTGTTTCTCTCCCTCTTTTTCTCCCTCCCTCCCCCTCTCTTAAAAAAAAGAAAACCTAAAAAATTAAATAAATAGATCTCTCTTATCTGAACCGTAAGAACCGTATTTTTCACTGCCTTCAGTGATCCACGACATAAGCCCCCTGTAGAACAGGGTAAGCCCCCAGAGGGCTGCCATGAGGGATGCACGCATTAGCCCAGGGCCATCTGTGGGATAGAGAAGCACTTAAATGTCACAAGTAACAACCCATTTTCTCCTAATTCTGCACGTACAGTGACATTACTCACCTGACTGAAGTAGCAATGTAGAAGACAAGCGTTCAAGTAAGAAGCTGACCGGACGAGTTTGAAAAATCTCACAAAATTATTACTGTTTAATGCAGCAAAAGCCTGAACAGCAAATTTCACCTCAGAGGAGTTTCTAACAGCTGGATGGAACTGTTGTACTTCTCTGTTAATTGAAGGAGATAAAAGGGGTCAGAATTTAATTTTCGATTAATCAGACAAAATGCCCATAAAAACAGACCTGATGAAAAACTAGATTTGGACCACAAATCTAGAAACTAAAATTCTGAGGCTGGCTTCAGAATTTTAAGAGTCACCTCAGGATGTCTCCCTTGTTGAGGTTGAGCAGCACGTTGTAGCCCTGGAACTCCGCTTCGCTGGCGCAGAACACGCCCTTGTTCCTCAGGTCCTGGTACATCTCCTTCAGGCTCTGAAGGCACTTGGTCATATTCTCATTGTTGATCTTGGCATCGAAGGAGGACATAGGCTCCTCACACATGAAGTGAGCACAGTGGATGTGAAGCCGGGCACACTTCTCAATCAGGGACACGGTCACGGGATCACACAGGTGCTGCTGGGTGATGTCCTGGCCACAAGCAAGAGGGGAATATTACACATGCACACACATGGCACGTACACACACCTCACACATGTGCAAGTGGCCTGGTCTGCACACGCACACCTTGTATGCATACACGCCTCAAAGACACAGATCCCATGCACAAATTCCCATGCAGAGAATCAACTGCTAGAAAAATCACGCTTATTACCTAAATTTCTCATATTTCAATTTGAAACAAAGCCCATAAAGAACATTTCTACAGGACTTGGTAATGATTTTAAATAGTACACTTTCCATTACAGATAAAATTTAAGAGTAAAATGACAGAAACTCTCACTTTCACTTTGGAATTCAGATATGTTTTCTAGTTTCCTAATCAGAAGAGGCTGATACCTTCCGTATGCCCCGCGTGCGGTTCCACAGGAAGTCATACCAGTCCCGCAGGCTGCCATCCTTCTGGTCCATGATCTGGGTCACCAGGTAGTCCATGGTCCTGCTGAGGACTGCCGAGGGCCGCAGCTCGTGGGGCAGGGGCTCCTCCTGGTCAGCCGAGGAGCGGCTGTACTCCTTGACCGCTGCTGCGTGGTCCACCTGAAGACACAGAGTGGGGACAAGCAGCTGTGCCTTAAAATAAGGGGGGAAATCACATACACACTCTTACAAGATCGATACTATTGTTACATGTAAAGTTCTGTTTGAAGGTGACAATCAAAATTCAGAAACAAAATAAAGAAACATATTTTGAGGATAAGTGGCCATCACATCAAAAAGCAGAGGAATGTACGTGAAGACACACCCATGTGGCTCCAGAACAGTGGTGTGACGGGTAAAGGACTTCAAAGCCCTTTCAAAGGTCTTAGCCATGCTCCAAACCAGACTAAGTCTGCACGGAGCAGGAATGAAATGGAGGCAACCATGAGGACTGCGGAGCGTAGCAGCAACAGGTGCCTGGCAGGGCCAGTGCCAGCTGCCCACTAGAAACTTGGAGCTGCACGTTCCACCTACAAAAAGAGGCTGAAGGCATGCGGTGTAGGGCAAAAGCACAGGCGTCCATAGGCCTGGGCCCTGGGCATCCACGGCAAGCTGTCATCACTGTCCCCCGGGGTCAGGGGCCTAGGGCTTCTACCATGACTGCTGCCACCTGACTAAATCCCCGAGTTGGGTAAAGGCAGCTGTCAAAGGCCACCAGCCAGGAGAGGAGAAAAGCCCAAAGGCAAAACTAACACAGAATAGTAAAAGGACCCGGAATGGTGATTTCTGGGAAGATAATTTGGGAGCATGCACTGGCACACGTTCAGGAACCTAGAGAGAAGCCACCCCTCCGATGTAGTTAATTCTTAGGGTCTGTCTAAAAAAATAATCCAAATGCCCCTGAGGCATTACACATAGCATGTCCAACCGAATTATTAACACGGCTTGAAAACTAGAAGCAGCCCATCTAATGACTGCAAAATGGTGAGTGTTGACAGAACCACATAAAATAAATAATATGCTGTTATTTAAAAATGCTTATAGAGTTCATTATACAAGAAAATGTTCATGGTATAATTTTAAGTGTAAATTTATATTATTATTCCTAGAACATAATCTCCAATGTGCAAAACATAAACACAGTTAAGGATAGAAATAAAATTGTGGCAAGAAAAAAGAAATTCAAAAAAGTTTTCAATCTGTGAAATGAATCTGCATCTACACTGTGCTTCAGGGTCCCGTGTGGTCCTGGCACTGCCACAAGATTGCTTAGTGCACAGCTCACAATACCAACAACATCATGTGACTGTTAACAGCACGTCCCACCGCACCCTAAAAAAGTCAAGTCCGTATCAAGCGTAACGATGGACAGAAACAATGAAAGAATAAGCCTGCCCTCCCTGCACTCCCACCTCCAGCCCGACAATTAATCACAAACAGTGGCCTGTAGGGAACATGGGGCTTCACCTGGTCAGTCCCTGGGATCACTTCGAACACACTCAGCTGGCTCCGTGTCTCCCGCATGTACCGCTCTTTCTCGGGACACATGTCAGGGCACGTCCCAACAAAAGTCCTCGCTTTGTCCAGGTCGGTTCTCTTCACCCGAGCTAAACGATGTCAAGTAAACAGTAAGGTACATACCACAGTTATTAAGAATTCAGAGAAATGCGTTTTCATGTGATAAAAGAAGTAACAAAAACAAACCTCACACAAATCACAAAAGATAACAAGTATTTTTAAAGCACTGGGCTCAGGGAAAGAAGAGCATGTCCTGCCGCACCAGGGGCAGAGCACCGAGGCCTCCTGGCCACAGACAGGGATGCGCAGGGAGTCCGGGACTCCCATGACGACCTCGATAACAAACACTCACGCTACAGTACATTTGTTAAAAGTCAATTCATTAAAGGTAAATGTTCAAAATACGCATATATCCTTATTCTAAAACTTCCTGTATTTCATATTTTTAATATAACAATCACAAAATGGAAGTTACCTGGTCCTGACATGAATAAGTCACTATTATTACCCACAAAATTAAAAGTTACAAAAGTATCTTTTAAATGAAATGCAAAGAACAACTTCATGACTCAAAATATATACATTTCATTTTTATTTTGGAAAATTTCAGTACTTAGTGACTATTTGGAATACAAAAATCACGTCAGTGACATAGTTTATGATGGCAGTTTTTATTACAATATTAAGGAGGCACTAGAATTATCCCAGTGATTTTGAAATAAGAAAAAATCCTATGGCTAAAATTTAATTAAAAAAAAAAAACTTTATAAAGAGCACATGTGCCTTTTCGTTTTATTTTTTCACTGCCAGTAGATTTAATGTTAACAGATTGCTTATTTTTGGCGGAGGTAATACATTCACAGGGTTGAATAATCCCAAGATATAACAGCGCCCCGAACAGAACACACCCTCACACCTCGCTCCCTCTCTTTATGCACACACAAAGCAAGAGCACTCACATACAGACACTCTTTCCTCCCTTCTCTGTACACAAATGGTAGCACACTACAGACTTCCTGCACCATGCTTCCCTCGCTTTACAATAAATCTTGTGGAGTTTCCATAAAGCAGCCCAGCCTTCTAGTGCACTGTTCACAATTACACTCTGTGGACAGCCAGTGTGCAACCCTGCTGTCACAACCTCATGTGTGATTCACACACACACACACACACACACACACACACAGTGTGTGTGTGGGATACACTCATTGGACATGGAATGCTAAGTCAAAACATGAGTTTTCATTTGTCTCAAAGATGCCACCCACCCGGCCTCCTCTGCAAGAGTGTGAGCTCTCAGCCTGCCCTAGGATGCAGCATCCCCGGGGGTGTCATCTGCATCTCTCAGTGTGTGATGGGGTGAGCATCTTTCCATTTATTTAAGAGCCAATTCAGGATACTTCCTTGTGCCCCTCCTCTCGCTCCCACCGGGTTTGGCCTGTTTCATACCGATGTGCAGAGGACCTTTACCAGGAGTCGGCCCTTTGTCTGAGTTACAGACTTTTCAGCCAGTTGACAGTTCCGAATTTTACTTGTGATTTCTGTCAAATAAAATTTTTATTTTTTTCATGTGTGCTTTCTGAAGGTCTACAAATTGCCCTGAAAGTTGGCACAGATCAATGACTTACAGACTTTCTTCCAAAAATAAAGTAAAATTGACTTCTGGTCAAGATGGCAACATAGGCAGATGCAGCCCGCCTCTTCGCACAACCACATCAAAAGTACAACCAAAATATAGAACCACCATCACTCAGAACCGTCAGAAATTGAGGTGAATGAAAGTCTGACAACTACAGAATTAAAGAAACACATCCATCCAGACTGGCAGGAGGGGCACAGACACAGGATGGGCTGGTCCCTCACCCATGCGTGGTGGATAAAAATTCGGGAGGGATATCCCAGGAGTGAGGAGTCCCAGCCCCACACCAGGACCCCAGCCCAGGGTTCCAGTGCCAGGAAGATAAGCCCCCACAACTTCTGGCTATAAAAACCAACAGGGACTGAGTTGGTGGAAGAAACTTCTAGAGCACCAGGCTATTCCTCTTAACCCACAGAGAAACACACCTACTCATACTCACTCCCTCTGAGCTCCAGCACTGGGGTAGCAGGTTGAAAGGCACCAGTGGCACAGGGAAAGAATGAAGTGTATGGCATCAAGGTGAGCAGAGGCCACTGTCCCTTTTCTAAACCCTCCCCCAACAGAGCCACAAAGCTGGGAAGCTGGTGCTGTATCTGAGACTCCATCCACCTGGCTAATACTATTTGACCTACCTTGGAGATTCCCAGAGACTCCACTACACCCAACTTAAGGGCCCACCCAAGCTGCTTTTCCATATGAATGGCTTCACAACTTCCTAAATCCTATCAAACAAGCAAGAGCTGGCTTCAGTGAGCCTCAGGCCCAGCACTAGCAGTAGCCAGCCTAGATCCACAGGTTGGCTTCACCTGGGAATCTCCAAGCCCAGGACAAGTAGCAGCCATCTCAGATTGCTTTATAGCTCAGGCAGGGTGCCCCAGGCAAAATACAGGTAGGGGCTGACCTTAGCCTGTACCACCCGGGAAACCCCAGGGCCAGTGCATCCAGTGGACAGCTACAGACTACTGCAGAGAACCACCACCCTGCGCCAGCACAGCTGATCCTCCACAGAGGTAAGAGGTTGGTGGTCAGTGGTCCCAGCCAGTCCTTGCAGCTAACTTGCCTAGGTAAACTCCTCCTATGATCTGCCAACAGCAACCAAGGCTCAACTACAAGAGGAGGGTGTACTCAGCCCATACCAAGGGCACACCTCAAGTACACAGTTTGGGTGATAGGGGAGACTGCCACTGAACCCCACAGGACACCTACTATATTAGGCCATACTCTAAACAGTCAAAGCAGCTCTACCCAATACACAGAAACAAACACAGGGAGGCTGCAAAAACAAGGGCACAAAGAAACATGGCCCAAATGAGAGAACAGATCAAAACTCCAGAAGAGAGTTAAATGAAATGGAGATAAACAATCTATCAGATGCAGAGTTCAAAGCACTGGTTATAAGGATGCTCAAGGAACTTAGTGAGGGTCTCAGCAGCACAAAAAAGATCCAGACAGAAACAAAGGATACACTAACTGAAATAAAGAATAGTTTACAGAGAAACAACAGTAGAGTGGATGAAGCCGAGAATCAAATCAATGATTTGGAACATAAGGAAGCAAAAACAACCAATCAGAACAAGAAGGAAAAAAAATTTTTTTAAAACAAGACGCAAGTTTTACATCCTCTCATGTAGGCAGCCTCTGGGACAACTTCAAGAGATCCAACATGTACATCATAGGGGCATCAGAAGGAAAAGAGAAGAGTAAAAAATTGGAAATCTATATGAAAAAATAACTTCCCTAATTTGGTGAAGGAAACAGACATGCAAGTCCAAGAAGCACAGAGAGTCCCAAACAAGATGGATGCAAAAAGGCCCACTCCAAGCCACGTCATAATTAAAATGCCAAAGGTTAAAGATGAAGAGAATCTTAAAAGCAGTTAAAAAAAGCAGTTAGTTACCTATAAGGAAGCTCCCATAAGACTGTCAACTGATTTCTCGAAAGAAACTTTGCAGACTAGAAGGGACTGACAAGAAATATTCAAAGTGATGAGAAGCAGGATTCTACAGCCAAGATTACCCTATCCAGCAAAGCTACCATTTAGAATCGAAAGGCAGATAAACAGCTTCCCAGACAAGAAGAAAACTAAAGGAGTACATCATCGCCAAACCATTTTTACACCAAATGTTAAAAGAACTAATTAAGAAAAAGAAAAAAATAGACAAAAAACTGTACTTGAAAAATAACTAAATAAAAATTTAAAAAATAAATTAAAAAAAAATAAAGTTACTTCTATAAGGACAAAAAAAAAGAAAAAGAAGATGTTCAAAACTACGAACAATAAAATGGCAAAAAATACAAATCTATCAACAACTGAACCTAAAAAACAAGCTAAGCAAACAAGAAGAACGGAGATAGAATCACGGATGTAGAGAGCGTTTTGATGGTTGTCAGATGGAGGGGGTTGTGGGAAATGGGGGAAGAGGTCAGGGGATTAAGAAGGACAAGTAGGTAGTTCCAGAAGATCCAGGGGGACTTAAAGTACAACACAGGAAATGGAGTAGCCAAAGACCTTGTCCGCATGAGCCACTGGCTTGAACAAGGGTGGGAGGACTGCCTGAGGGAGTAGTGGGCGATGAGTGGAGCAGGGCTAAGGGGGAAAAATTGGGATAACTATAGTAACAGAATGAATAAAATACAATTTTTAAAAAATAGATAAATTTTATAAGAAGAAGAGGAAGTACGATCAAAACCGTACCTGCACATCCGTGTCTGCACTCACTCCCTTCGGAGACTAGTAAACAACAAAGGCTGTTTGATGAGCCATCCCTGCGGCTCGCCAGAGAACCTGAGGCTCCGCAACAGTGCTGCCCACACTCAGGAGCGGCCCCTCCCTTTCGGCTCCCGAGGAGACCCTACCACGACTTTACATGGCTTTCTGGACTCCACAGAGAGGCAGCCACCTTACCTTGCCGCATGACTCTGTCCCGCTGGTCCAGCAAGCGGTACTTCTCCTCAGACGTCTCGGCCACAGTGCCTATGAGCGCACTGAGGGAGGACACACACGACCCGGGACTCTCAGAGCCCTCAGAGCCTGAGTCAAAAGAGTCTCCCTCAAACGGGTGGGCCTTCAGAAGCCCCGGCTTCTTCACCGGAGAGCTGCAAGAAAGCAGCACATCAGGGCCTCCGACCCGGCTGGCTTCTGTGCCACTCCCACTTCCACACGCTTCCCTCCCCTTTCAACACCCTCCACGCCCCTAAAGCTGGTGAACTACACACTGAAGCAAGAGGAACCCTGATAACTCGGGTGATGAGTACAAATGTGTTCCTCGTGTTATGCCCCATGTTTTTAATTTGAAATATTTTACACTTCTTTTGAAATGAGATGAGTCCATTTTAACAGCTACAATGAATATACACAGATTTCTAGATCAAAGAAATGAAATTCAGCTTGAACATAAAAACGCAAACTCTTTACACCATAAGGAAACATTATGCCTACGTGTGTTCACATATAACCTCGTTTCAGTAGAGGGAGGCGCTATAAAACCTGGGCAATCTCTGTCGGCTTCCCCATTGCCAGCTGGCTCCCAGAATTCTGGGAACTCGAATGTCAAAGAAGATACAAGCAGAATGAGTAAGAAAGGAAAAAGCAACAGCAAATCCGCAACTAAATTGTTAACTGTGTAACAGAAAGTAAGGAAAACAACAAACAGGCCACACCAGGTGAAGGATTACACAGAAGACCCGTGGAGGCGGGGCTGCTGTGAAAGAAAGCGGGGAGGACAGAGCGGGAGGGGAGGGCACTTGGGAATAAAGATTCCCATGCAGACTGCCCCCCACTGGCAGGTTCATTGTGATAAGCTGAACCTACAAAAAGCCATGTTGCAAATCACTAGAGAGGACATTAGAAATACACGCTTACCATGGCCAGTTAGAAGTTTTCAGGGAAAAAGTGACTGCTTATACATTGATACATCAGGAAGAACTGCATGACAGCAACTGATTAGTACGTGGGACCCGGTCAGACGACTAAGGAGGCCCAGGGCCCTGGCAAGTAGCTCTCAATGTCAACCTTCCTATGTCCTCCCCGGGCCCCCCATTCCTCCCCATCACGTCCTCCTCTCCTCTCCCCCCCCCCCCGCCATCATCCCTCAGCCTCAACTCAGGGGTCATATCATCCCACTTCCCTTTCATCCTCTGGCATGACTGCTGTGAAATCCCTCCTTTTTTCTGACATTCAGAAGTCAAAGAACCCACAGGCCATGTCAGATACAGCCACAGGAACGACCGGCCGCACCTTTTATTCAGGAGACTGCTGGCCGCAGCCCTCCCCATGGGCTTGCTAAGAGGGGAGTGCTGAAAAGGCGTGTCCTCTGTGCTCTGGCCAGCTTCACCCTCCCCTGGTTTCTTCTCCTTGTGGGAAAAAGTTTTCTTGTTGGGACCTGAAAATGCAAGAGTCAGAACAGAGTTTATGCTATCACGTCCTTTGACATTGGGTTTTTTACTGTTTTGTTTTTAAATTTTATTTATTTATTTATATTTAGACAAAGAAGAAGGGAGGGAGAGAACAATGTGTGGTTGCCCTCACACATCCCGTACTGGGGACCTGGCCTGCAACAGAGGCATGTGCCCTGACTGGGAATTGAACCAGCCACCCTTTGGGTCACAGGCCAGCACTCAATCCACAGAGCCACACCAGCCAGGGCTATATTTTTCACTTTTTGTGATAAAGTAAAATTCTCATAATTGTTACAGGAGGTTACAAAGGAGCCCAAGGAAACACTATGAGACTCAAGGATCCACTCAGAGTCAGCCTCCCAATGGCCTTGGGGAAGGGTTCCCACTCAAGGTTTAAAGGGCCCTGCACACAAAGCATTACAGACCATGCAAAAAATAACTGAAAACTCACTTGTTTTCTTCTTGTGCCAAAAGATAGCCACGTCATCATGCAAATTTTTCCCCTTCTTCCTGGCCAGGGCTGCAGAAGCCTGGAAAACGGTCCACAACACAAAAGTATGCAGATTCAATACTCAAATGCAGTCAGTGAAGGCCTGTGCAACAGCGCCACAGCTCCACCTGCTGGCCTCTAGCCGCTCAGTCCTCGCCTCCCCTTACCTGTCTCGCATCTGATGTTTGGTCTCTCTTTTTAAAATTAATGACTTTACTCTGATAGAACCCATAACCATGGCCTCACTGGAATTTGATAAAATTCTCACCATCTGATAACACATAGAGTGGAAAGATATAGCCAAGTCACACACACAAAGGCAAGCTGCAAAATGATACACGCAGGATACAATTTCTCACAAAACATAACAAAACCAAGTACAAGCTAGTATACCTACAGATACACCCATGAAAATGTATAGAAAAACACACACCATACTAGTAACTGTACTTGTTCCTGGGTAACAGGAAAGATAGGGGTGATCAGGGACCTCAGCTTTGTATGTTATCAGTGAACTGCTTATAATGACAATGTATTTTTTAGGGTTCAGCTGGAATAAGCACACTGCAATAGCCAGAAAAGAACTTTAAAAAGTGGGAAGTAATTACCATATGCCCCAGCAATTCCACCCTAGGCATACACCCAACAGAACTGAAGGCAGGGTCTCAAGAGATTTGCAAATCACACTCAGGGCAGCATTATTCAAAATAGCCAAAAGGTGGAAACAATCTGTGGCCATCGACAGATGAATAACACAAAATGTGGTGTACCCACACGATGGAATATTATTCAACCATAAAAAGTAACGAAGCACAATCACATGAATGAACCTTGAAAACATTATGCTAACCAAAAAAAGCCAGACACAAAAGGACAAACTGTATGATTCTACTTATTTGAAATATCTAGAATAGGCAAATTCATAGAGATGGAGAGTAGATTAGAGGTCACCGGGCTGGGGAGGGAAGTAAAGGGAGTTATCGCTTAACGGTTATTGAGTTTCTGTCTGGGCTGATACAAAAGTTCTGGGAATAGTGGTGATGGCTGCACGACACTGTGAATGTGATTATCAATGCCAGTGAGTTGGGAAAAAATCAACAGGAAGGAATAGCAAAAGCCCTAAAACTGCATATATTTTGGAGCAGAACTTCTACTCTCAGAAATCTAAACAAAGGAAATAAACTAATCAGAAATATATGCACAAAAATGCCCACAAGTAGAACACTGTTCAAGTAAGTATGTCAACAGGATAGAATGCCACGTAGAATTTAACAACCCCATCCTACACTGATTTCAGAAAATACTAGAGACTGCTACATGTAGTTACCAAGAGTGTATAGAGCATCCCATTTGTGCAAAAATAATGTGACCACGTATTTGCAAAAACATTAACCACAACATTCAGTTGATATCTTAAAGAAGATAGAATTATGGGTGATTTTGTCACCCATAATTTATGGGAAGGGCCCTCCCATAGTAAATTGACGGGCAAATACTTCTACCATTTAATAAAGTTATGAAAACATGCTTTCTACTTTATAAATTTCTAGAGAACTTAATTTTTCCCCACAAGAGTGTTTTTTAAAATAATAAAGATATAAAGTTACAGAACGTGAGCAGTCTATGTATGCAAACACCCTACAACTGTGTTATGCGTGGGTACATTTACACACATGCAGGGCAAAAGTAGGTTTACAGTTGTTAGTATGTGAACAGTTTATTTTTGTGCTATTTATTAATTGTATTATTTCCCATACAAACAACTGTAAACCTACTTTTGCCACATGGTGTACTGAAAGTCAGAGTATAAACCAAACTTAAGCAGTTATCTCTGAATAACGGGATTACACGGGATTTCACTTTTTTCTGTATTGTTTGAATGTTTATAACGATCATGTATTGGAACCAAATAAAACAAAACAATGCAAACAGAACTCAAGCTTGGAAAAGTGCTGTGTGGTTAGAGCCACTCCTACAGAGCCATTCCAGTTTCACAGGAATGTGACTTCCTGGGACTCACCACTGCATTTAGTAGGGGCTGCAAACTTTTCACTGATGACTCCAGTTATGAAATAAACTGTGCTGTTCTAGCTTCTCCAAAGTTAGGAACAAAATATTCTAGTACTTTCCTACATTCTAGAAAGCAAATAACTGATGGATGAAAAAAAAACAGGTTTCAAAGTGACAACACTTTATCACTTTAAAACCTATTTTTTTCATTCACATAAATTCAGTCAGGCGTACTCACGTGATCATGGAAATACACCACAGCAAGCTTTTTGTTGCGCCTGGTGTAGAGGCGCTGCACTTTAGCAATTTTGCCAAAATAGTTCTCCAGAAAGGTCCTGTTGTTGAGATAGTCGGGAATGTTCTTCAACTGGATCGCTGTGACTTCAGATGGAGAGAAGCCCCCAAGGCGGTCTGTGCTCTCACTTCTTTTACTCTGCCGCCCAGGAGTTCCTCTTAGAAAATCTAGGGGATCAGGATGGGAACAGAACTGTAGTAGATGTAATGTTTTCAAACAGGAGGCACCAACCATGTAAGGCAAAAGAAATTCCCACGGATGTGAGACCTGCTCCAGGATCCTATGGTACATTAATATCCCTAATGTTTATAGGGAAGTTACCGAAAAAATCAGGCCAACACCCAGGGAAATTTACCAAGAACTTGCCAGCAGGATTAACTGTATGCTGAACATTTTGAGAGCTCACCTTCCTTTTTATCTCTATTTTCAGTTTCTTCCTCTTTACTCACACCGGTAAGCCGGGAAGGTGCCAGAACAGACTGACTCCCTCCTGGGATGGCCATGTGGTCACTTTCCCCAGACTCAGCACAACCAATTTCCTTTCTAGATTCCTTGTTGCCCAGACGACCAACTTCTTTATTGCTTTTGAAGACATCCTGTATTGTCCGACCAAACAGAGTGCCTGCCCGAGGCCGATTCAAGCGGACAGGCCGTTTATCAGGAGGATGATCACCCCTAGAGAGAGGGTCCAAGTCCTCCACTACATCGTGGCCATGTCTCCTCGGGGAGCGGTCCTGATCCTCCTTCCGTTTCAGCCCTTTCATGAGGCTGGGCAGAGGCTCCACCTGGGAAACAGCTTCTTCACATCCTTGTCTGACACCTGTTTTGTTAACTGGGAAAGGTTCCCCCAAAGATCCTGAAGAAGATGTGGGGAAGCTAGTGAAGCTACTATTAATACTTCCAAATAGTGACTTAGTGCCTCTGTTCTCTTCCTCCACATTTTGGGTTGACAAAGCAGGTGTAAAGGGTGATGCTGAACTACTACTATCAACCGGTTTCGAAAAGGTAAAATTTGATTTAGTAGCTGAACTTGTCACTTGATTAAAAGGAAATGGGGCCAGTCCCCCAGATCCACTACTAACTGGTTGGGAAAATGTGAAAAACCCAGAAGTAATCTGGCTTTGAGTTTTCTCTGGCTCAGATTCAGCTCCCAGTATTGGTCTGAACACTGAACTTTCCAGAGGTTTAAAGATGAATTCTGTTTTCCCAAAACCAGAACTTGCTACATCCCCAGTTTCTGATCGAAAAGTAGAAGTACTTGGGAAAGTCCCAAGGCTGGGTGATTTAAAAGTAAATCCTGAGTTTCCCGGCACACATGAACTTGAAGGCCCAGAGGTAGCTACAAAGGCTGGAGTCTGTTCAAGTCCAGAGAAGAGTCCAACATTTGAGGTTTGAGAGAATCCTAATGTTGGCGCTGAAGAACTACCTACTCCAGAAGACGCTGGAAAACTAGATACCTGTGCAAATCCTGAGCTTTTCCCAGATAATGTATTGTTTTGTCCAAATAGAGAAGGCTGACCAAATCGAAATGGCTGCTTAGCCTGAAACGCTCCTATCGAACTACTGGAAGCTGTTGAAAAAGCACTAGGCTGCTGCCCACTGAAAGGGTTAGTTGGGTTCATCTTCTGACCCAGTTACTGGAAGGTAATAAACAATCAGTGTACAAAGCAGTCCTGTTCCTTAAATAGTCTGTTGAACCAAGGAGCTCCCCTTCATCTTCACATAAGCTGAAAGACAAAAATTCAGATCATCAGAACTATGTGCTGCTGAAAGACTAATACAGGAATTTTTAATCACATGTCACACTTAAACTATCTAAAAGGGGGTCACAGTCAAGGGCCAAGTATTATCATTTTCTGAGAGTCAGTGGGTTCTTTTTTTTGGAGTATGGGGTGGAGAATGGTACGAAAAAATAGCTTTGTTACTGGGGTTTAAAGCGTAACTAAAAGCAAATCCTTTGACTAAACTGACAAATCCACTAAACGCCTCAAATGTTAGTTTTGAAAAATGAATGTCAATTTACTTTGTAAATTAAAAAGTTTCACCTAACTTCTTCCAATCTCCATATCCAGATGATTCCACTGTAACAGTTAAAACATTAGTGTTTTGATGTTTCCTCCCACCTAATTTTTCTCCAAGTAACGATAGCACTAAACATTCTTTCCAGACCCAGAAACAGAATGTGTTTTTATACCGGGGTGACTGCCCAAATGAACTAGCTTAGAGGTCATGAGTACTCACGCGTAGAGGCCTCCCAAGACCGGGGAAGGGCTGGAGGCTGGTAGCACAACGCCAATTCTTAGGCTGAGCAGAGGGTGCCGCACAGGCCGCGCCCTAGGCCCGGCGGCCCACCTTCCTACTCCGTTAGCGACGCGCGGAAGGCAGGATCAGAAAGCGGCGCGGGTAAGGGGCAGCCTCCGCTCGGCCCAGGCCCCGCGCCGCGATCACCGTCCCGCTCAGCGACGCCACCGCTGCAGGGTACCTCGGCGCCCAGCTGGCGGTACAGACACCGACCAGAGCCGGCGGAGGCAGCACTTCCCTAAACGCAGCGGACCAAAATAATGGTGGACCGACTTCCGGTCCTACCCCGCGCGGCTCGGCCCCGCCCACGGCCCTCGGCGCTTGAGTTCCGCTCTCCGCCCGAACGGCGGCGTAGCCATTTCCAATTCGCAGGGTCCAGGCTGGGGTCTTCTGGCTTCGGCCCTTGTGCGTACGCGAGCGACTTCCTCTCTCCGAACTTGGGGGGGACGTCAGCGTGATAACTGGGACTTGCGTTTCGGGGCCGCGGCCAGGGTTGAGCGGTTTCTGGGGAGCCTCGGACCCGACCAGACGCATCCCGTCCTCGTGCCCCTCCACCAGTACTTGTCCCCTACGCCGCTGACCCGCTTTCACTATTAACGGCCCTTTCCCTCCACCAGCCTTAATTTCCTGTGGCTACATTCTGGCTTGCCTGGCTCTTGGGCTTCGTTTTATATATCTAACTTATGCTGAAATGTAAATTTCTGTAAATTTTTTCAATGAATTGCACCAAATAAAATGAGTTGATTGTGTTTGCGTGTGTGCCTTTACAGAATTTACGATCACTTTCTAGGACTGATTTGTCTTCTTTTGAACTTCAACCACAGGTTGCTTTACAAACGTTTTTAAAGGGTCCCCTATTGTCTTCCTGAAATGAGTCTGGTGCTCAGAAACTTGCAGCGAGCTATCCCCCTCCGAAGAGTGCCGCTCCGCCAGAGGATGGAGATAGTCAGGAGTATTTTAGGGGTCCAGAAATTCGACCTGGGGATCATCTGTGTTGACAACAAGAGTATTCAGCACATCAACAAGATCTACAGAGAGAAAAATCTCCCAACCGATGTGCTTTCTTTTCCATTTCATGAGGTAAAACGTATTTTCCTCCTCCCCTTGTCTAGCCTCCCATCCGGTGTAACTTTTCTGGGTTAATTATAATACAGACGTGATCTTTTTTAGTTTTATTTTGTGAACTTTGAATATACACAAAGCTATCCTATCGACCATCTCCTGTTAACTGGAGGAGAAATGGGGATTGAGCTCCCCTCGCCCCTCCTAATGTAGTCAGTGAATTAGTGCAATGCTTCTGCAGTTTGAAATGTGAATCAGTGATGAGTATTTTAAATATTGAAGATTTTAAATAACACTGAATAAAAGAAGAAACTTGTGTAAATATTCTCTACAAACTTGTGGTAGCTATTAGATTATTCTCACTTATGTAAATGACTCATTCACAGCTTCACACATTGTTAGTTGCATAAATCAGAGCAACCCTTTGGGAAAGGAGTCTGGCAACATACTTCAATCCACTAGTATCACACCACCCATAGAAATATATCAAATGAAGAAAGATAATAAAATGTTAAAATGCGTAATATATAAAAATGCATTGAAATGTTCACTTATTTTCACTAATAGGAAGAAAAATAAAATTAACAGTACTAAATAAATACGCAGCCATAGATGACTGGCTCAAATGAATGGACTGGACTTTATAGACTTTTCTTTAGATGTTATTTCTTTATTTTTTAGAGAGGGGAAGGGAGAAAGAGAGGGAGAGAAACATCAATGTGTGGTTGCCTCTCATGCGCCCCCTACTGGGGACCTGGCCCACAACCCAGGCATATGCCCTAGACTGGAATTGGAACCAGAACCCCTTGATTCACAGGCCTGCACTCAACCACTGAGCCACACCAGCCAGGGCCTTTGTGGACTTTAAAGTAGGAAAATGAAAGGCTGTTTGTTTAGGACAAAATACCAAGAGGAAATAATAGAAAAATAAAATTGTATCAGTGTGGTGATTTAACTCCTACCGGTTGTAATCTGTGTGATTGTGCATTAGGAAGGATGAAAGAAATGGAAAGGAAATCATTTGACAAGGTGGAAACATCTTGTCACCTGTGTCGCTTTGCCACCTGTAGTGGCTTTGCAGTCTTCCACCCCACTGTAGGACTAGTGAGAGGACAGTGGCCTCCAGAATGAAATCTGTAGGCCTATGATTGAGTTAGTGTTACTGACGTCCTGTTTTCATGATGTGTTTCCTCATTTGCAGAATCTGAAAGCAGGTGAAATTCCCCATCCTGATTTTCCAGATGACTATAATCTGGGGGACATTTTCCTAGGAGTGGAGTATATCTTCCAGCAGTGCAAAGAAAATGAAGATTACTACAACATCCTGACCGTAAGTGGGGATGCCAAAATGACGGGTTCTGTGTGGTGTAATGAATACCATATCCTTTATTCAGGCCACGAGGGGCTGGCAATATGCTACCTGTGTCCACACTATTGTCCACACTGTCACCTACGTGAAGAACAAGCGTTATTGAGGGAGAGAGAGCGATGGCCTGGTGGGATCTGCACAGCCTGGGGCAGGGCTGGGGGCAGGGAGAGGACGGGAAGCTTCTGCAGGACTGAACTAGGAGATAAGGGGAGCTCCCATCAGTGACTTTGTTACAGATTTTTCCTTGAGCTTACCAAGCTGTGTAGCTAACATAGACAGGCTAAATAAGCTTCTTTAGAAACATCCTGAAGCAGACAAGATTTAGCATCCAGGACCTTCCAGATCTATCCTCAGCTTAAGGTAAAAAAAAAAAAAAAAAAAGGAGAGGGGCAGTGTTCTGAAAGCACTGAGTATGAGCAAGTCCTATTTTAACTTCCCCAAAGGTTCAGTTGAGGGGTCGTCCTTTAGCGAAATAGCCACACCGTGAATTACATCGAGGGGGTGGGTGTCCTAGCCCTTCCATGTGAGACCCAGTGTGCAGGTGTGGGGAGAGGAGGATGTTTTCCTTTCTTTCTGAGCAACAGGAAACCCATTGTAGTCAGGACTGGCCCAGCTCTGGGGTCTCTGTGGCAGGTAGCACTGCACCCCTGCTGTGGGCAGTTGGGAGGTCAGGGGGTATCTGTGGACACCTGCTTCTGAGGGTTCTGTATGGAAGTAGAGGGCCAGCCCACCACTCCCAGGACCCGCATCCCCTGGCACAGGGTCAAGCCAGTGTCTGCCCTACAGGCTCCCAGCTGCACAGGCACCTTCTAACAGCCCCGGGTACCCTCAAACTACCCACCTTGTCCTTCACATCTCCAGCCCTTTCCCCTGCCCCCCAAAGCAGGCATCTCCTCAGGAAATAACCTCCTCCTCACCCCCACCTTAGAGATCCTGGTCTTCACACCCTGACAGGGTCCTGGCCTACCTGCAGTTCCCCGGGCCCCACCCATGTCCTCGCTCCCACCCACACCCTCTGCGCTGCTGCCACTGACTCCCAAAGCCTGGGCCCAGGGGAGGCCTCCAGGTGTGGGCTCAGCTCTCCCTGCCTTCCTGCTCCCCTGGATCATGGCTTGGTAATGACCAACCCCTGAGATGGCTTTTTAATTGTTCTAACAGGTGACTGCTATCCATGGGCTCTGTCATCTACTGGGCTTCACCCACAGCACAGAGGCCACTTGGCAGGAGGTAGGTGCTGTCCCCCGCCAGCCAGGGCTGCCCGACCTGCCCCTTGCAGTTAATGAAAACCAAAATTGGAAAAAAAAAAACAGTAAAATAAGGAATTTTGTAAGTGTTTACTTCATTAAAAAAGACATACACTTGTTTTAAATGCTGGGCTCCCCAAATGCTGTTAACTGTAAGATTAAGTCACTGTGGAAAGGAAAGTCTGAACAGAGAGATGGAATTCTAAGAATGCTATGAAATTCTAATGGTTTAAAGTTAAAAAGTCTTTACAAGAGAAATTGTGGTAATATTTATCAGCTGGGAACGGGATAGAAGATGTGCAGGTGTCTGAGGGGCACTCACTGTGTAAAGTCATGGAGCCGTTGGTTTCCTCAAGGGGTGCCACTGGTTACCCACGTGTAAAGGTCCGTGTCGATCAGTATACCACATTATGTTCAGTGTAGTCAAACTATATTTGTAATCAAATAGTCAGGTTGTCTGAAAGGCTTATTAAACTTTTTTGTTAACAAAAGAAGTCCTCAGTGCACTTGTGCTCTGCCCACCCCTCCACCCCCACCCCGTCCTAGGGTGGGTCACCCCGCCTGCACCCTGGCTTCACCTCCCCTCCTGGCCAGATGCTGACCCTCCTGTGCCCCTTTGCCCCTTTCCTCTCAGCACCCCTGCCTCTATAACCCACAGACCGAAGTCTCAGCATCTCGGGAAAAGCCCAAGATGTCACGTCCAGTGTGCAGTCCACCGGGGACCCCAGCCCTCCAAGCCCCAGCCACCATTCCCCAGGAAGAGGCCATCTGCACCCCCTCCCTTCTATGTGTCCTGCACCTGTTGACCTCAGATAGGCTCTCCTCTTTTCCGCCCAGGATCGCCACCTCAGCCCTGCCCATAGCCTCTCCTGCAGTGTGCTGGTCCTCCCTGTGCCCGGGTGCCGGGTGCCCGTGAGCAGAACCAGGACCTGCCCTCTGACCTGTATGGAAGGCCCCACGGCCAAGGCTCCCCATGCCACAGCCGTGGACATGGGCCTGGGGGAGGAATTTCCTGAGGAGCAGACTCCTGCTCGGAACCAGGGACACCCCAAGGCCCAAGAGGCCCCTCCAGCTGGACAAGTCCCCACTCAGTTTCTATTCCTTTCTTTCAGATGTACCAGAAGGAGAAGCAGGTTCTCGAGGAGCTGGGCCGGCGCACTGGGCTCAGGCTTCAGCCCCTGAGCAGGGACCTCTTTTGATGTCACAGCCGAAGATGCAGGTTTACCCGAGAGACCCTCCAGAACACAGGGACACCGTGTAGATGGGAGTTGCCCCCTCCCTTCGGGCCACGAGGATCAGAGACTCCACCAGACTGAGGGTCCTGCTGGTCAGTGCCCAAGCTGGAGCTAAATTCCGTAAGTGGAACTATTTCTTAAAGCATAAGAGAAATTTCCACTCATGTCTTTACTTAGAACACAGCAGACATGTTATTTTCAGTATTGTAAATAAAACAATTCTAAACTCTCAAAGCATATAACCTCCTCCTCCCTGGGATTCTGCCTTCAGCCATGAGGCCTGTCTGTCTCCCACCCCTGCAGCCACTCAGGAGGATGAAAGAAGCAGCCCGGGAGCACATGGGTGGGAGCAGGTGGTGGAGGGGACAGGCACGGAACCAGTCAGGTATAGGTGTGCTGCAGCACGGGGCTGCAGAGGCCACGACGCTAACACAGCCTCTCAGAGGTCCTTTTTGACCCTGCAACTGGGAAACTGATTCTGAGAATTTGGTTTCCCCTGTGAGTCAACTTTAGAAACACGAGAACACATTTCCCACTGGATTTGTGTCCTGACTCAGTCTGCCCTTCCCCGGCTGCTCCCAGGGACGGGGACTCGAGCCTGCGGTGTTCCTGAGTTACAGTTGGCTGCACGTCGCCTGCTCGTAGTCAGTTAAGCTTGTTCTCAGTTTAAAGTAAATGCAAAGCTCTTGGCTCCAAAACCCTTTGTAAGAGACTGAAGGGAGACCTTCCGGCCCTGCCACGTCCAGGGCACTAGTGGGGTGCTGGGGCAGGGGACGGGGTCCAGCTTTACCAGGTGATGCCCAACACTTCTGAGCAGCCTGCTACCAAACAGCCATGTAGGATTCTGCTGCCAGCCACCTATAGATCCCAGGGGCAAAGTTTTGGTGAAAAAGGAAAGGAGTCTTTAATATAAAGGTTATACAATTTTGGAAGAATAGTGAGCTTCTGCCTCAAAACCCATTCTTTTAAAACACCCAAAGACAATAACCCCTCCAGCCTTTGCCAGATCAGGTCAAGGCTGCGCATTGTGTGTCCCAACGCCCTTTAGGACACAGAAATGGCTGTGGCAGAGTCGTCCAGGTGGCTTAGCTGGCTCCTGGTCCCAGCCTGGTTGCAGGCGTCTTTGGAGCCTGTGCACATGGGCGTCCTATTCACTTCACGCTGCCCTTGCTGCCAGCTGCTGCCCACCAGTCCAGCACCTGTGCCCCATCCCCCGGGCTGTCAGATTGCCAGTGCTTTATGCCCCCGGCCCATTGGGACCGCACAGCACCAGTCACCAGCAATGCCACCACTTCTCATGCAGGGAAGGGCACAGGAGCACTGCCAGACCACACAGTCTCCAGGGCTTGCGGGCCTGGGAACACTCACAGGGCCTAGTGAGGGAAAGGGACAAAGGGGCGGTGGTGATTAACCCGCCCCAAAAGTTGGGGGCGAGACTGAAAGGTCCAGCCCTCTAATCACATGGTTGGTTTCCCTGGTGACCAGCCCTCATTGGGCAGCTCTGTTGGGGCAACAGAGTCACTTCATTAGTATAGTCTCAGGTATAGTTGGACGGGGCTCATTGAGAGCAACCTCTCACCCATCGCCCAGGGAATTTCAGGGTTTTACAGCGGAAGCTCTCTCTGTGCCAGGAACCAGGACAAAGAGTATATTTATTACCTCCCATTATCATGCAACCACCACACTCCGGGTACCTGGACCCAGGGCTTGGCTCACAGGCAGTCTGACCCACTACCAGGGCCTGTTCAGACCTCTTCAGCTTCCTAGGCTGGCCCAAGAGGGACCAAGAGGGATGTCACATAAGGGTGCCTTCAGGCCCCACCCCTGCCATGGCCCGGTCCGGTGGTGCCTTGCCTTGGATTCTACAGCACATGACACTTCTGCCTGCAGGTACATGTGTCCTTGACCCAGCAAGGCCATGCGTGGGATATAGAAAGTACATGTATTGTTCTCTGCCCCCCAATTCCTGACACCAAGGTCCTTAATCCCTTGTAATTTCCTGAGTGACTGGAGCATCTTTTATTTATTTTTTAAGATCTCATTTATTTTTGTAGAGAGAGAAGGGAGGGGGAAAGAGAGAGAGAAACATCGATCAGTTGCCTCTTCCACACCCCAACCAGGGACCTGGCCCACAACCCAGGCATGTGCCCTGACTGGGAATTGAACCAGTGACCTTTCGGTTCTCAGGTTGGTGCTCAACACACTGAGCCACACCTGCTGGGGCTGGAGCACTTTTTATTCTAATGAGGTAATTCTGCATGGGATCCTGGACAGGGGCTGGTCACTAGAAAGGCCAAGTCATGGTTAGAAGCTTGGAACTTTCAGCCCTGAATCCCCCATCCTCCAAGGAGGAGGAGTTAGTGATTGGTCATGCTTTTGTGAGGAAGCCTCCATAAAATCCAATTGCACAGCGTTTGGGGAGCTTCCAGGTTAGTGGATGCTCCACAATGGGGAGAGCGATGCACCTCAACTCCATGGGACCCTCCAGACCCTGCCCCCTGCATCTCTTCTTCTGGCTGTTCACCAGTCCTTTACCATGTCCTTTAACAAGTTGGGAAACACAGCTGTCCCCCTGAGCTCTGAGCCACTCCAACAAACTAACTGAACCCAAGGCGGGGTCAGGGGGACCTCTGATCGACAGCCAGTCGACCAGAAGCAGAGGTGACCACATGATTTTGAGGTTGGCACCTGCAGTGGGGTGGAGAAAGCCATCCCATGGACCTGAGCCCGGAACCTGCGGGACCTGACGTCGTTTCCAGGTACAGAGTGTCACCACCGAGTTCAACTATAGGGCATCTTGCAGGGTTGGGGACTTGCTTGTTGTGAGGAAAACCCCCACAGGCATTTGGGGACCAGCGTATCAGAAGTGAGGTGTTCCCGTGAGTTATAAAGGAGGCTCATGGGGAAGAAACTTGTGGGAGGGAACAGCTGAGTTTTGTCCTACTTGGGAGGTCCCCTGATCTCTGTTTTGCCCTGCTCGTGCAGGTCTAGGTGGGCTCCAGCCTGAAACCTTGCTAGGAGGCCCCTGTTGGGTGGGCACCACAGCACCCAGACACTCGCCTGGGCCCAGGGGGCCTGCCTGCCTGTGGGTGCAGGCTTGCATGTGAGCACGAGCCCAACGTCCTCCAGGAAGGAGTGTGTGTGTCCTCCACCCCTCAGAGTCCAGGCAGGTGCAGCAGGGCAGGTGGGTTGGATTTGCATTAGGGTTGGGGTGTGGATGGTGATGAAGGTGGGGCTTAGGATGAGGTTTGGGGTATTAGGACGGGAGCTTCCTCTTCTCTGTCCTCCCCACAGTGTAGACAGGAAGAAAGTCATGTTCTGAGTCAGCTGGGTGGGCTGAGTGCTGTCCTCACCCCAAAGCTGTCACCTGGTCACAGAGCACCTGTGCTGGGGGAATGTCCTAGAACAGACTGTCTTCAGTGTTGGACGGGGTGTGGCGTGAGGACAGCAGGGACCCCAGGGAAGAGCCCAGAGCCCTGGAGTGTCCTGCCCAGAAGTTAATTGTTCCTTGAGAAGAAGGAGCTCTTCCTCCTGCACGTGCTCCACCCAGCCCCACCCCCACCCCGCAGTGCCATCGTAGAACCTGCCCCTCACCCTGCTCACACTCCCAGCCCCAGCCCACCCTGGGCCTGGCTGCACCTTTGGTTGCCGGCCCTAGGCCTGACTTAGGTCCTGAGTGGTCGGTCCTTCCTGGAGATGTGATGGCTCCAGGAATCCATGTTTTGGGGGCTTTGCGCGTCAGTGTCCAGCCACTGCGCTCCATACCTGGTCCCTCCCTGATGCTCCCATCTTGTTTGCTTGACGTCTGTCCCCTCAGTGATCATCTCCAGCCCTCAGCTCTTTCTCAGGATCCTCGGCCCTGCTGGTGACCCTCCAGTTTTTTCATAGGCACTTGGCCATTCCTGCCAATCTTGGGCTCTCTCCCTCGATACTCAGCCATTCCACTGTCCTGGGCCCTTTCTGTCACAGTTTGGTCCTCTCCATGGACCGTTGGCCCTCCTGGGAATCAACCCTAACACACTCAGAAAATTAGATCAGTCCCATCTGCTCTGGAATTGACTCTCGGTCATTACCAAGGAGGCCTATGGCTCCAGCTGCCTGAAGTACACTCTCCAGATACTGGGTAAGGGTCAGGGTTAGAAGGTCACAGTTATAGGGACTCCCACGTGCCCCCTGGTGGGCCCCACTGTGACCTCCATGTGGTCCTCACTTGATCTCCACGTGCCCTCCAGGTGACTGTCATGCGATCCCCCAACACCCAACAGGATTCCCATGTGCCCTCTGTGATCATTAGGTGTCCCCGGGAGGCTATCCATGTGACTCCCACGTGACCCTGTGTGATTTACCCCCTACTGGGAAGGTGCACTGGACTAAGTTTTCCCAATTTACCAGGCTTTCCAAAGGCAATGGACTTGTCAGACTCTTTATTAATAGTGATGAGAAGTAGAATGAAAGCCATGTTAGAAAAAGTTTCTGTGAAAGAGGAAATACAGTCAGACCTTTAATTGGTGCATTTAACAAGAGAGGTGGCTGAGGGACAGCCTGGCTGTGGGGACGGCCCAGCCCTGACGTCAGCCCGGAGGGAACTTGCAGCAAAGCAGACGTCACACTTCATCCAACATCCTCCTGGAGAACCCAGGGGTGCAAAGACAGCGTCCCTGCTTGTGAACAACGTAACAACGTAACAAACCTGATCATGTGTCCTAAGAGGGGCCATGAAAATATGTATACTGTTAAAAAATGACACTTACATGAAAACAATACTTAAAAGAAGGGAACATAATTCCACCAAAGGAAAATAAAGTAACAAAAAGTACAGCAAGAGTAAAGGGGACGGATTCATCAGGTAAGAAAGCCAACAGAACCAGAAGGGCCTCGGTCCCCAAACCCCCCTTCACAAGAGCCCTGAGCAGCTCCTCGGGCTCTTTGCAGGAGGAAGGCCGAGCTGGCAGGTCACAAGTGCTTGCTCCTCAGGTAGCACATTCTGGTCTGCAGCCACCATGGGGCAGACATCTCCCAGGCATCATTAGATTTAACTTTGTGGTATTTTTTTCTCATAGGAAGGTTTAGATTTTTATGTGGCTAAATCTGTGGATCTTCTTCCTGTGACTTCTGGCCATTTGCTCTGACGAAATTCCCATATTTCTTTGTGATCTTCAGTCTGGCATCCAGAGATGCTGCTAGGCTTCCGCCTGGGCTTTCAGACCACGCCCCTGGGGGTGAGGGACCAAGGGCTCAATAGGTGAGGGGGACTCACTGGCTAGGAGCCGGTGGGGGCAGGAAACTGTCAGGTGCAGCCCTAGAGGAAAGACAAGTGTGGGTGTCATAACTGCTCCCTAGGGCTGGCAGACTCCACATGACAGGTGAGTCCTGGTCCCGATCCAGTGGGAGCCCTCACAGCTGTGCTTGGACTGGACACATCCATGGTCTGTGGGCTACACAGTGACCCAAGCTGCAGGCAGCTCCCTGGGGGTGGCTGGATGGGGAGGCTGGAGCCATGATGATGGGGGTTGAGGGGTGTGAGGCTGCCATGGTCCCTTGGCTGGGCCTTTCAAAATTCCCTGCTGTGCCTAGGGACCTGACAAAGACCCACATTCACCTGCTGCTCAGTAGGCTTGGGGAAGGGGGACAGGGCCGTGGGGTCCTTACGTGCTAAAAGCATCGGCAGAGGGGGCGACCATGTGGCGCACAGAAGGCAGGAAGCCAGCAGCAGGTGGGAGGGCGGTGGCAGAGACCACCATGGGCCAGGTGGAGTAAGCTGTGGGTGAGCCAGGTGCAGGGACAGCCTGCAGCGGGGTTGGGGGTGCGTAGTGGTGGTGGTGGTGCACGGAGGGCGGCTTCTGCCTCTCAGCTCGCAGGACAGTGGGGTGAGCCCGCTGTAGACCCTTGGCACAGCACAGATACCAGCTCATTCCACTGGGACCACCACTCTGGGCACTCCTCTCCCCCACCCATACTCCCCACTACTGTTCCTGACTTAGAGCAGGCTCAGAGCCCAGGAAGGGCAGGGAGAGGGAGGGTGTGGAGGGGAGAAAAGGGAGGGAGAGCTCATCCAGATCAAGGAGGCAGCTTTCTGGGCCCCAAACGGTGCAACCCATTCCTCATCTGGGCGGGGGCAAGGGAGAAGTGGGTCGCTTCACAGCTGCATCACTGACCCCCAGAGCCAAAAATATGCTTTTCAGTGTTAGATGCACAATTTTCCAGAAGAGAAGCTGCCCAGGTGTTGACTTGGGTGGCCTTCTTTGCCCAGTGTCTGCTCCAGGCTGAGCCTACCTGTAATGTGGGGTGCTGGAGTGTGGCCTGTGGTCCCCTGGAGGACACAGGGGCTGCTGGGGGCAGGGCTTGGAGCATCAGGTTCTGCATGATGACCTGGTGCATCTGTGCGTTCTGCAGCAGCATCATCTCCACCATGTCTGAAAGGGGTCGGGTGGGGCTTGGTGAGACACAGACAGCTGGCACACCCTGTCAGGGGGCCTCCCCCCGAGAACAGGGCTTTAGAGAACCGGTTTACTGAAACAGATGCAGCACATTACAGGCGTCTGTTCCTCCTGGGAAGCAGCGCACGTTCCCAGATTTGAAGCTCCCAGGTCTGAGGGGGTGTGTGCCGTAAAGTGTGTGGATGGTGTCTGGCGGGGCTCCCAGGAGGTGTCTCCACTTGCCTTCCCCTAGCGGATTCCTCGCGCCCACCTGGGCTGCATGATGGGCCCCAGCATGCGTGTCCACAGTCTAACTAACCCAAGACCTCAGAACATGGCCTTATTTGGAGAAAGGGTCTTTGCAGCTGTGATGAAGGACCTTGAGATGAGATCACCCTGGCTTATCTGGGTGGCCCCCAAGTCCAGGACAAGTGTCTTTATAAGAGACAGGCAGAGGGAGGTGGAGACCACAGGGGAGACACAGACTTGGACAGGGATGAGCGATATGGCCACAGCCCAGGGAAGTGGGCTGTGGGCTGAATCATGGCCCCAGTGATGCCCACACCCTGATCCCCAGAACCTGTGAATGTGTTTCACTACAGGGCAAAAGGGACCTTGTGATGTGATTAACTTAAGAAGGTTGAAGTGGAAGCCATAGAAGTGTCTACAGATGGATGAAGGGAGGAGCATCCATACACAGAGTGGAATATTATCCTGCCTTAAAAAGGAGGAAGGTTCTGCCCTGGCTGCTGTAGCTCAGTGGATTGAGCGCAGGCCTGCGAGCCAGAGGATCACAGTTTGATTCCCAGTCAGGGCACTTGCCTGGCTTTCAGGCCAGTTTCCAGCAGGGGACGTATAAGAGGCAACCATACATTGATATTCTCTCCCTCTCTCCTTCCCTTCCCCTCTAAAGATAAATAAAAATAAAAAATAAAAAGGAGGGAGGTTCTGACACACACTACAACATGGGGGAATCTTGAGGATATTATTCCAGTCACAGATGCTGTGTGATTCCCGTTGGGTAAGGTTCCTAGAAGGGTCAGATTCATAGACATGGATGGAGAGGGAGGTGCCAGGGGTTGAGGGAGGGGGAGGGGGAGTCAGTGTTGAATGGAGACAGAATTTTAGTTTGTGAAGATGAGAAGTTCTACAGATGTATTGCATAACAAGGTGAATATAGTTAACACCGATTGAACATGGTTGAGATGGTAAATTTTATGTGAATTTTTTTCACCACACTTATTTAAATTAATTCATTTTAAAAGGGATCTTGAGGTAGCAGATATTCTGGGATTATCAGGGTTGGTCCAGTGTAATCACAAGGGTCCTTAGAACCTGTTGAGAGAACTATCGATCTAGATTTAAGTATCAGCAAAACTAGGGGTTAAGAACAAAGGGAAATATAAACACTGAGAAAGCAAGCAAGCACTGAGGGAGCATCGGGAGCCTGTTCTGAATAGCTAGCTATGAATTGAATATTTCATTTTTTTAATTAAAAAAAGATTTTATTTATTTTTAGAGAAAGGGGAAAAGAAGGATAAAGAGGGAGAGAAACATCAATGTGTGGTTGCCTCTCACACGTCCCATGCTGGGGACCTGACCTGCAACCCAGGCATGTGCCCTGACTGGGAATTGAACCAGTGACCCTTTGGTTTGCAGCCTGCCCTCCATCCACTGAGCTACACCAGCCATGGAGAATATTTCACTTTTAGTCACTAATTTTAAATGCTGCTTTTGAAGCATAAAAGCATTTGTGTACATACACAAGCACAGTTTGCTCAGTTTGCCTCGGCAACCCAACAGCTGAAGTTCATCCGGAAAACCAACAACAGGTAGTGAGGAAAGGCCGGGCCTCTGCACCCTCAAGGCACTTTGGTGTGTGAACGGCTCCCCCGGAAGAGCTGCGTGGCAACCTTGGACTGAGCGTGGCACGTGCTTCCATACACAATGTGCTACAGTCATTGAACTAGTTGGTTTCAGCCACTGGGACTGAATTGAGAACACTGGTCAGCTGATCCTATATAGGTCTGTCTGCCCCTAGACCCTCAACACCATCCATCACTAGTGAAATGACAATGACCTACCACTTCCCCATTGAAATGACTGAGACTAAAAAGCCTGACTGTGCCAAAGGAGGGTGTGGAGGAACCGGAACCTCACACACAGCTGGTGGAGATGTAAAATGTACAGACACTATGGACACAGTTTGGTAGTTTTTGTAGAAGTTAAACACAGACTTGCCACATGATCAGGGCATTCTGCTTCTTGATATTTACCAAAGAGAGATGGAAGCATGTCCACGGGAGACTCAGACATGAATGCCCATGACTCACAACCCAGATGTCCATCAGTAGGAGAAAGTAGAAAGAAGCTAGTGCAGACACTCGGCTGTGACAAGGAACCCACCGGAGTCATGACTCTGAAAACAGTTATACTGAGTGAAAGTGGTCCCACGAGACAGTGCACCCTCTGTGACTCTGTGTACATAAAGTCTGGAAAATGCACATTAACATGCTGTGACAAAAGTCCATCAGCAGTTGCCTGTGGGGCCAGAAGGAGGGAATGACAAGGGATGTGAGGAAGCTTTGGGCGGGGGGTGGATGCGTTCACTAACTCGGTTGGCTGTCATGCGTGTATCCATATGTCAAAACTTACCAAATTGTATGCATCAAATGTGTGCCAGTTATTCCGTCATCTCAATAAAGCTCTTTTTAAAATCATGTATTTAAAAGCTATTTGAAAAGAACCATTTTAACCAAGGTTTTTGTAGAGCCAGTAATTAGATGAACTGGGATTAGAACCCAATATCCTTTCCATTCCTAATCATGTTAAAAGCATTTCTCAAAGTTAAAGCCATTTTCATGTTGGTAACAGGTAACTTCAATTGAGTAGCCAAAAGTCGACCCTTAATGACTATCCTGATCACAAAATATTTTTCCTTTTAGTAGAGAATTTGGTAAGCCCATAACAACATTACTATCGAACACTTACCTTCCTTAATGCTTCCTGGCCTTTGAGCTGGGACGGCCTGGGGAGGCGGGATCTGTGCGATGAGTGGCTGCTGAGGGAGCTGCTGGATGATGGTGGCGGGAGGCTGGGGGACCTGGGGAGAGCCAGGTAATAGCTACCTGAATGCATCCTTGGAGAGAGTGTCCTATAGCACCCACCTATCCACACATCTACCCACCCACCTATCTACCCACCCAGTAACCCATCTGTCCACCCACCCACTCATCTATCCCTCTACCCACACAGTAATCTATCTGCTCAACCAGTAAGCCACCCATCCATCCCCTCACCTAGCCACCTACCCACCCATCCACCTATCCACTCACCCAGTAAACCACCCACCCAGTGATTCATTCATTCACCCAGTAACTCACGCATCCAACCACCTGTCCATCTACCCATCCACTCCCCCACTCATCCACTCACCTACCCACCTGTGCACCCATACATCTACCTCATCATTCGGCCATCTACCAATCCTTCATCTACTTATCTACACATCCATCCAAGAAGAACTGTAATGAGAGGTTGAATTAGCAGCTGGACAGATAAATATGTGAATCTGGGCATTACTTAAGACATGGTATATTATGGACTGAATGTCTGTGTTAACCTGCCCCCCTCCAAAATCATATGTTGCAGCCCTCACCCCTGATGTGACTGTATTTGGAAACAGGGTCTGTGAAGAGGTGACAAAGGTTAAATGAGGTCATAAAGGTGGGCCCTGATTCAATAAGACTGGTGCCCTTATAAGAAGAGATACCAGCCCTCTCTCTGTGTGTCATGTGAGGACAGGGAGATTCAGCCATCTGCAAGCCAGGAAGCGAGCCCTCTCTAGGAGCCAGACTGGTCGGCACCTTGACCTCGGGCTTCCAGCCTCTAGTTCAGCCTCCAGAACTGTGAGATATACATTTCTGTTGTTGAAGCCACTTGTCTGTGTTACTTTGTTAGGGCAGCCCCAGCTAATAAGTGGTATTTTTAGTGTTTTCCACATTTCCTGGCTTGCCTAGGCTAAGCTAATCCCCGGTTTTATTAATACTGCATTAACAGGGGCACCCAAGAAATGTGTCATGAAAATAACCTCTGGCTTCTCTCCTGAGGTAAAAATAAATGTACAACAATTCTGAGCATGCGCCAGGCAGTGAGTGCACACCAGAAAGACTTTGGTTTAGTCCTTTGTGGCTGTACAAGGCCCTGAGCCTGTCCCTTCTTTCTCCGGTCGCAGAAGGCATGGTATAGGCAAGCTTCTTCCAGGAGCCTCTTGGCTCTGTGGGCCGACTGCTCAGCACAGGTGCTAACTAATGAGGTGGGTCCAGGGAGACTATGAGCACAGAGGTTTGCATTTCATGTCACTTTCATGTGTTCCTAACTGCTCTTCCTCTGATTTTTTTCTCCCCCAAACATTTACAAGCACAAAAGCATTCTAAGCTTACAAGTTGTACAGACGCAGGTGGCAGGCCAGCTTTAGCAACAGCCATAGTGACCACCCCCAGCATCGACCGAGGAGGCCCTCATGGAGTGCTGTGCCTGCCTGTCCTGGCTGAGGGCCCTCCTACCCCCACCTCTCTAAGTCCAGCTTCTAGAAATTCAGTGACTAAGGGCCCTCGCTGGCCTCTTGGTGTCACTGGTACTGAGACTGATACATGGGAGCATGGCCAGACCCTGGTCAAGTGCAGGAAGTGTGAATGTGCTTGAGACGGGGGGGGGGGGGGGGGGGGAGCCTCCTGTGCTTATGACCCCACCTTCCCTTGGTACCTGAAGGGAGGTTCCACGTATCAGAAGACTGTGGGGGGGGGGGTGTCACAGTCTTGGGATAACTGGAACCTGGACACAGACAGCCCAGGAGCAAAGGGGGCTCTGGGCGCTCCGTGAGCATGGATCCCTCCAAGACGCCTTCCCACTCCACCCCCTCCACCATGGGCTGTCAGGCTCCCTCCCAAAGCACAAGTGTCCTCCAGATCCTGACCCAGCCTGCCAGCACTACCAAACTCCCTGGCCAGCCAGTGCAGCTAGGCCTGCCCACTTCCGCAGCCATGTCTTCTCACCAGTCACACTGATCTTCTCCCTGAGGCCCCCATGTGCCAGATTCCAGCTTCTGTCCCTCCTGTGAGTCCCAGCTGGCCTCCGACACAATCCCTTTTGCTGAAACAAGTCAGGCGCTTTCCACCGTTTGCAACCCAGAATGCCGAAAGAAGGTTTGAGTCTCTCAGCATTGGAACACTGCCCCCCACCTTTTTCTTAGATTGTGCCCTTGAAATTAAGGTCTTAAGCTTCTCCTGGTCATTATGGAGTTCTGAAAAAGAGTTAACATGCCTCTTTCCCCAATCCAGGGTCCTCTGGATGCTGAATTTCCCTAATACTTCTCCTAGGGCAAAAGTTAGGACCTGGGGCTGGGACCCCAGACTCTCATTTTTAATAAGGGGACAAGACCTCCCCAAAGCCCTATCTCAGGGCACCTTTGAGGATGGCCGAGGTGAGCCACTGAAGTCCTTGTGAGTGAGGGCCTGGGCGTGGCCGCCGCTGGCTCTCCCTCTTCAGTGCACTCTCATGATGCTGCTGAGCTTGCTGCAGACAGGAGGCCTCTGTGGGCGCAGCCTGCCCACCGTGGTTCTGCCCCTGGCTTCACCCAAAGACCTACCGAGTGTTGGATGACCCGAGGCAGCTCCAGGACCGGTGGAGCTGGGGAGGCAGAGGGGTAGCCGGGTGAAGCCGGGATCCCAGGGGGTGCCTCTGGAGGCAGCGCTGACGGATGGGCTCCTCTGCTGGGCCCCCTCCAGGCACGGGCAAGCTCTTCCAGGAGGTGTTGCTCCTGCAATGCCAGGCAGGGACCACTGTATTGATGGGCAGCCACTGAGCCCTGTGAGAGGGGTCCTCCGCGCGGCCCATGCAGGACACCTGGGGTCTTCATTGCTCCCCCACAGGGCTTCCCTGGAACTGGAGCCAGGCCCAAGGACCCTTTGAGAGGGGGCACACACAAGAATACCGCTCCTTTTAAAATTCACTGAATCGTATGAACTAGTTTCTGGGTCTAGCTGCCTCAGCATCCCCTCTACTACCAGTGCGACATTTATCGTAACTATTTGTGTGGACTTTGTGTGCACCTTCCTGCTGCTGGTGGGTGGAGCTGGGACCAGGCCTCTGGGCTTCTTAGAATTCCACTTCCTGTAGGAAGCGGGCCCTTTATTCAGTATTTCCTCCTCGGATAATGTACCACTAGAGCAGATGTCGTAGCTAATCACGTGCTTGTCAGGGCCCGAACCATAGATAGTGTGAGCGTGTTCCTTTCTCCATTTAGTATGTTCCATGCCCCAGGTGTGAAGTCTCTCAGCTGCTCCCAGTTCACCCAGGGGGTTCACCAGGACCCCCTGTCCATGGGTCACGAACCTCAGAGAACCAGTGCTGAGCCCAGAAAGATGGAACACCCCCAACTCCCACCCCCAGCCCCCACCTGCTCCCCAAGCCCCACTCAGGTCTGAGCGTGGCGGCCAGTAGTCTCAGCTACAGACAGCTCCAGCAAGGCTGCTGCAACACTGGCCTACCCGGAGTCTCTGCAGAAGGTCCTTCCTCCTCCTCAGGGCGCTCCGCAGGGCTGCATCTGGCCTGCTTTCTTGTCCTGGAGGGAAGCTGTGCTGAGCGATGTGCAGACCCCTCAGCACACCCCCAACCTTACCCACTGGGACCTGGAGGTGACCAGACCCTACGTTTCCTCACCTGGAAAATGGGGGTGAGGGGTGCTCCTGTCCTGAGGTTTGCAGATGACGGTGACAAATAGGATGTGAGGGTGCGCTCGGCAGAGCACCGGGCGTGTGCCTGTGTGTGAATGTGCAGGCGTGTGTGAGGGTATGAGTGCATGTGAGGTGTGCTCTGCATGCATGTGTGTGTATGTGTAGGCACGTGTGTGTATGCATGTGTGTGTCAGTGAATGTTTCGAAGATGAAAACAAAAGGACATACTTCAGCCTTGGACATAGGGAACAGCATTAAGCACAGTCTCGCCAGTGATAGGAGTGGGTGGGACGTGAGCAGAAGGTCTCATGCGTGCCCATGGGGTCCAGCTCTTACCTGGTACAAGATGGGGGTCCTCGGAATCCCCTTCCACATCCTCACGCTCCCGCTCCAGTTTCTGTGAGGAAGAGACCACCCAGGGACAGGCTCAGTGTGAGCAGGGCACAGGCTGGCATGGGGCACCTGCCTGTGTTCCTGGCTGTGCCCCAGACACAGGGGACTGGGCAGGAAGTGCTGTGTGATGGAGGTGTGGGATAGGCCGCAAGAGCAGTCATCCTCTCTCAGGGACGTGTGTGTCACGTTCCCCACACAGCACACATATTCCCCTTGAATTCTAAGGGTGGACACTTTGTCATGTGTGGTCCCTTCACACAGCTTTCTGAACAGCCAGACCCAGGCTAGTTCTGTGTCCCCCACCACCCTGACTGCCCCATGTGGGCTTTGAGCTGGACAGCCACAGTCTGAGCCAGTCCTGGGGTGACCCCTGCTAGCCCCAGCAAGGTGGCCCATGGGTCACCAGAGGAGGGGTGGCAGGGAGGTGCAGGGCTGCAGAAGAGGAATAAAGCAAGTGAGGACATGGAGGAGTTGCTACGCTGGGCCACCCGTGAGGACAGGCCAGCCATGGGCCATGCAGACCCTTAGAGGGTAAGAAGTTCAGTGTGATGGAGGGGCCACCAGGCCCCCTGCCCCGGGCCCAGCCCAGGGGCCTATGGGTCCTACTCGGGGTAGGTGTCTGTCTACCTTTAAACACTGAAGCCCAGAGGCCCTCAGGGGAACCTTCATGGGCCCTGGCAGAGCCCGGCCAGTGGGTGCAGACTTGTGTCCTGGCTGTGGAAACTGCCAGGAGAACCTACTTGGTTCTGTACAAACAAAAAGGAAAAAAGCCAAGAAACCACAGTCCTTCGTTACAAGGTTGCAAACCACGGGAGAGAATTTTGCTGGGAAGCCTTAGCACTCACAAAAATAGCCTTACGTTTTAAAGCTGAGCTTCTCTAACCAGGTGTTGAAAACACGAGTGCCTGTCTGTCTTACCTTCTCCAAGAGTTTCAGTGTCAGGCGGGTCATTTGGTCTGCCACAGAGGAGTCCAGCATCTCAGGACCATAACAGAGGGGACACCGCAGGCCCCTCCCTCCCTGGTTGTCAGTTATCTGCAGGAAAGCACAGCTCAGCTACCTGAGAGAAGCAGCCTCAGCCCTGGTGTCACTGAAGAATTGTGGCGCTGGCCTTGGTTTACTTCCTGGAGACTGGCCACTGCCAAGGAGTGGGAGGGCCCCACAGCCCCCTGGGCTGCAGCATCTGAAGCCAACACTGGCATCGCCACAGCAGTTGCTTGGCGCTGCAGACAGGTAGGCCCCAGGTTGCCAGGTTTCCTCTGAGAGTCCTGCCCAGGCCCCGCCCAGTTCCCACACAGGGGTTACCTGCAAACACCACCATTCCCGGGTGTGGCCAAGTTGGGCTTCTTGGGAGGACAAAAGTGGGCAGCAGCGGGGGCCAGAGGAACAGAGTGGGAACCTGGGGGGAAGACAGTCCCCACGCCACCATGTGTCACCTCCACCATGTGGACAGCCCAGAAGAGGGCGAGGCTGTGGGGAGGGGTCTGCCATATCCATCCCCACTGCACAGGGGTCCTGCACACTCCACCCATCACCACCTTCAGGAAGCCCGCAGGCCCTGGCTGCTCCTAGGCACCCTCTAAATAGGATGACAGGAGTGAAGCCCCAACACTAGGAGCACTGGGTGGAAAAAAACAAACCCCTGAGGATTTTAGGAAATTCTGAGCCACAGAGGGGGCAGCACCAGGGACCTGGCCAATAACCCACCTGGGGGCTTCCTGGTGGGGCTCAGAGTTGTGCTCACTCCATGGGCACCCTCCTGAACATTTGAGGGGCAGGGGCCAGGCCCTCACCCCACCAGGCAGGATGTGAGTCCACCGCTGGGACCGCCAGGTGGGGACCCCGCCAAAGAAGCAGCGGGTGTCCCAATGGCTATGCAGAGGGGGCATCTAGGGCAGGTGTGAGCGGGAGGGTGGGCCCAGCAGTGGAGGCCTTTGTAGGCAGTGTATGGCATACGGGGGACAGGGCACGGACCCAAGAAGCGGTTCTTGGTTCACCTGGCTTTTCATTTCAGGTTTTCAATGGGTCGAACTGACTGATGAAAGGCTGTAACAGATTTGCATGAAACTGGCGCTGTAACCTCCGTCCAGGGTTGGGGAGGAGTGAGCTCAGCAGCGTACAGCCAGCCCTCTCCTCACGCAGCCAACCCAGAAACTGGCATCAGATGGCCAAAACGGGGTCAAAATCCCTTAAGTTGCCCTTCAGGATTTAGGTTTTATATGTACCATAACCCTAATGCTCAAACAGGAGATTTGAATGTGCACAAAAACTAGTTAACTTAGCGATTTTAGGTAGCTAGCAGGTAACTCCAGGGATATATACACCCCAGGGAGTATGAATTTGTTAGATGGTTTAAAATAAAACAAACTTTATTTTTTTTGAATAGTTTAGATTCACAGAAAAATTGAGAAGATAGTATAGAGAAATCCCACATAAGGTTCCCCAATTATTAACATCTCGTATTGGTATCACGTATTTGTTAAAATTAATGAACCTATTTTGATACATTACCATCAACTAAAACCCATACTTCATTTCATTTCCTTATTCTTTTTGTCTAAGTTTCCTTTTCTGTCCCGTGTCCTGTCTCCTCTTGCTTTTGATGACCTTGACAGTCTTGAGGGGACTGGGTCAGGGATTTTGAAGAATGTCCCTCTCTTGGGACTTGTCTTATGTTTTTTCCCGGACTACACTGGGGTTATGAGTTCTTGGGGGGAAGACCGCAGAGGTGCAGCCCCCTTCTTGACACATCCTACCCAGGGTGCCTGCTGTCGGTCCCTGCTGGTGTTGGCCTTGATGCCGTGGCAGAGGTCATGTCAGTCAGGCTTCTCCACTCCGCATCTTTGTTTTTCTCTCCCCACACTGTCCTCTGTGGAAGGAAGTCGCTGTGCACAGCCAGCCCACATTTAAGGAGTGGTGGGTTATGTTTCCCTCCCTGAGGGCAAGTACCCAATGATTAGAGGACCTGTTTAGCATGACCACAGACGGGATCTTGGGATTTGGAGGAACACAATTTGGAAACCAAACCCTTATGGGCAAACTGCACAGGGCCCCCATGGAGTTTTTAGTGTGTTGCAACACACAAAGTTTGAAAGATTCAGGCATAGATCTGGATCTTTGGCTGCTCTTGGAAAGTCTGATCCTGTGTGGTCAGCCGTTGTTGCCTGCCTGACCCCTGGTTTTATGAGCCTACCACCTCATGTTTGCTCAAGCTGCTCATTTCTGTGAGCTAAGACTGGAAACTTCACTTGCCACACAAAGGGCTGTGTTGCCACGCAAGAGCACTAATACCTTCTGGCAGTTGAGTTTCCAGGGTTTCCTAACGAATATTTGTGTAAGTCGTGGTTGCTTAGAATCACATGTTCTCACTGAGATTGAAAGATGAGCTGTGTCGGCTAGGTGTCACCACAGCACCTTAACAGAAGTGCATCTTCCTGTGGGTCCATCTCAGGGGAGGGAGCACACAGCCTCTGCACAAACCCCTTCAAGTGGTGGCACAGGAATGGATGAGACAGAAGGAAACCCAAACACCATGGTGTGCTTGCTGCAACATCGCCTACACAATGTCACCCATCCCAATCTTGTGTTTTATGTCACCTCTCTAGTTGTAGTCCATTGGAGTACTGTCATTCTCCCCAGCAAGTGTGGCCCAGATCTGTAAGAGGGTACCATGGGTGTGTACACTTCTCAGCGGGAAATCGAGGCACAGATGTTCAGCGGTCTCCCACCTGGTCCTTGTCATCTGTCTGTGTTCTGTGGTATCCTACTCTTGCAACTGAACTGTGGTGTGTACTATTGACAGACTCTAACCTTGGGGCTTTCATTTTCCCTTTAATGGTAAATGTGATGTTAACAATACTGATGACAAAAGATAAAATGAGACTGAGAATGCGGAGCCTATTTAGGTAAACAAGATCACCACTTAACAGTTGCTGCTCCCCTGGCTGCCCACACTGATTCGGAGCACTCATCCAGGTGCAGTTACGTTACAGTAAAAGGAGGTGCATACCAGGTGCTTTGGATTCTCAGTTATCAGAGGCCGTCAGTTTCCAATGAGCTTGATTACACTACCAGCATTCGACTGTTAATCAAAACGAGGGCTAGGGATAAACACTTCACATTGTTTCCTTATCTGGATTAGCAAGTTCTAGTGAAGCTATGGAACAATGAGCATGAGACTTCAGATCGCCACCCAGACTATGAATTATCAACTAAAGTCACATTCCTCTTATTTGAAATTTTTTAACACTTTACTTTTAGAGCTGTGTTAAGTTAAACATTCCTTTTTTTATAACCATTTGCAATATATATGGAATGATTTGTGCAAATATTTCAAAATCTTAATCCTTTTCCACTTGAGAAGAGATTAATAGCAATATTCACTGAACCAGTGCTTGCCTTCTAGTAATCTAGAACTGGATACGATTACTATATCGTTTATAATTCATTCCTCGCCAATTTTTTTTCAGGACCGCAGGCCATTTGGCAAGTCATCTTATGGAGCCGTTTCCATCCTGGGGTCCCGGAGACTGTCCTAACAGCAATAGACACACATCGAGGGATGGGTTTGCCTTTCTTGCCTGCAGGGTTTCGGCGTGCCCCCCTCTGCAGAATTCCCAACCAGCATGGGGTCCCTCCAGGGGACTGCTTTATGGCAGAGATGCTATAGTAGTCCCATGGCTGTAAGACCCTCTGGTCAAATCCTATGCCGCACCACGCAAACTGCAAGTTGGGGGTAGACGCATTAACTCAGAGACCTTAATCTGGTACTGTGTCTCCAGTAAGAAGATACATACATGGGACCAGGTGTGACACCAGACCCAGTGGCTTCCTTTCCCTGGAACTCTGGGCTCTGTGGTTGGAGGTTCTGGCCCAGGTTTCCACCGAACTCATAACTGGCTGCCCTGGTACTTGGGCTCCTTCTGTTCAGGAGCCTGCAGGAAAGGAGATAGAAGTGAAGTGATACACCAGGGGAAGGAAGGTTCGACGTATAGGAAAGAATCCATAGTGATCTTGCCGGCTGTCTGGACTATGAAATGAATAGAGAGCACCCCAGAGGCGAAGGGCTCAGTGACTGGGGCTGAGCCCCGAGGAACGAGGGAGGGGATCTGGGACTGACGGCGCGGGCGAGACATGGGATGCCCACTGCAGCTCTGGAGCAAATCGCTGTTTCCCAGGCAAAGGGGCCCAACTCCAGGGGCTGCTTCCTGCGCGCTCGCGGAGTAGATGCCGATGGGGACGAGGAGTGGGAGGCCTGGAAGCCCTTTCTTGAAGAAGGTGGAGTTCCTTTGGGGTCAGTCTCGTCTCCCCAGGTGGCCACGCCTAACAAACGAGTAACGAATCGGAATAAAGTTGAGGATAACCCGCGCTCCGGCACAGTAAGCGTGGGTGGAGCCTGCTTTGAATACTGTAGAACAGTAAAGCTCAACAGCCGCGTCGCAGAGCAGTACTTCAGCCCGAGCTCAAGCACCGACAGGGCGTTGCCTCGGCCCCTCAAAGTTGACCAACCACAGCGAGCTCTGAGGCCACCGGGTTTTGCTTATTGGTGTGTCATCGCGCCAATCGGAAGACCGCAAGCGGCACGGGCGGAGTTCTATACACGCCGCGGCCTACGAAGCGCGCTTACGTGAAGGCAGGAACGTGACCCCTGATTGGCGGCGGAGCAGGCTGGGCGCGGGGTGGGCTATGTCTGCGTGACAGTTGTCGCGGGGGAGGGCGCGCCAAGGAGAGGGGGAGTGTAAATAGAGCGAAGGCGGCGCCAGGTCGGACCCGTCGCCTCCTGGGTGGACCTCGAGGAGGCCTAGTGAGAGATGGAAGACGATGAGCAAGAGCAGCGGCGCAGAAAGGTGGAGGCCGGGAGAGCGAAGGTAAACAGCGCCGACTCCTCTTGCTGCCCAGGTGTGGACTCTTAAGAGCGGGCTCCAGTGTCCGCTACCACCCCCTGCCAGGAGCGGACGAGGTCAGACGGAGACCGCTTCCCCTGCACTCTCGGTCTTTCCGTCTACACGGCTGGACGTCCCCGTCTGGCCGCCGCCATCTTGAATCCGCCGCCCTCTGCCGGAGCCCGCCCCCGCCGCGGTCGCCGCCAATCAGCGGCGGAGGACGCGCTGCGATTGCTAGGAGGCCGGGCGCGGAGCTCGGCGCTGCTGAAGGCTGCTTCAGCGCGCGAGTAACGGGGGCGTGTCCGATGTGGTTGAGTTGGGCGGGGACTTGCGGATGGGCGGGGACTCTGCTGGGACCCCGCCCTGTCATGTTTTCATGGAGGCTAGTGTGGCGCCCTTTCTAGGAGTCCTCGTGAAATCTTAGCCAGGCTAGGAGGCGTCTTAACGGACAGCAGTGGCTTAGGATCGCTCCACGTCCCTTACCGCCCAGCCACATCTGGACCCCAGTAGAAAGTGAAGGGCAAACAGGTAGTGAAATGAAGGGTTCACCACATCGTCAGTCCTTGTTCTCCTGGACGGCCAGCGTGCGACGCACCTGCTGCTGCTCTACCTCGTCAGAGCTCAGGCTTCCTGGAGTACTTAAAGGAGCTGTGACTTTCTTGCAGTCCTTGGCAAAACAGGCTTCTTCCATCCGTTGAAAACTACGTACAGATTTTCATTTTACTTGGAATTCTGCAGTATTTTTAATACATAAAGGTCTCCCAGTGGTGTTTCAGGAGCCCTTTATATATTACAGGAGACTTGTTTACATTGTGGAACAGCTCTCGCTGAACTACTGTTTAAGATTCCCGGGGTTCAGAAGCTCCTGTTCTTGCTTCCTTGTTGTTTGGGACCCAGATGGACGGTCTTAAGCAGGTGAGGGTGGAGGAGTTATCCAGAACCCACGCCCAATGCTGGGTTCCTAGGGAAACCACAGACACCTTGGCCAAGCTTGGGGGGTGGGGGGAGTGTTACATCCTAGATTGTGGATGATGCCCAAGTGAACTCAGTGGTACTGGAGCCATGTATCACTGGAGCCATGTGTCCCGAGGCATGCTTTAAAAAAAAAGATTTTATTTTATTTTTAGAGAGGGGAAGGGAAGGAGAAAGGGAGACACTGACCAATGTGTGGGTGCCTCTTGCGCGCCCCCTACTGGGGGCCTGGCCGGAAACCCATGCCTTGCCCTGACTGGGAATCAAACACACAACCCAGACGCTGTTCTGGTACTCACTGTTTTGGGGGCACATGGACATGTTGGCTGTCACTCCCATCCTACCCCATTCTGGCTGTAGGAAGCAACCTGCTCTGCCAGGAAGGAATGAATAACAGTCCCTACAATGCCAGCTTGAGTAAGGAGAGCTGCATGAAGTTGCTTTGAAGTCAGACACAGCTTGACTGTGAGGATTTCGTATGGATTAGTTAGTAGGAGGTATTCAGTGTTAGTTCCTTTCCCTTTAGGAAATCATAGGACAACTGCACTAAAGAAACCATTCAGAGCACAGTGACTGGTGTGATGCAGTGATAGGGACAGCAGTGTCTAATGTCAGGGTGACAGGCAGAGGATAGAGTGGCCTCATTCAGGCTTCCTGTGAAGGTGAAACTTACGACTTGGGATTGACTAGGGAGGTTGGGGCCTGTTTTTGGCTCCCTTTGCTTGTGCCTGGCACACATGGAGGATGAAAGTGAGCCTGAGTTTAACACTCTGTTGCTGAGCTTGTCATGGTTTGTAAACATGAGTAAATGTGCTTGAGCGAGCACTGAGGCTGGTGATTAACCTTCATCTGGAGAAGAAACAAGACGCCTCCTGTTGGGCAACCACAGACCAGAAATGAGGACTGTGATGCAGGAAAGGAACTTGCAGATGGTTAGATTTCATGGGCTGTGGCATAAAACAAATGAATTAAAATAAAATAATAAATGAGGCTAGTTTCGAAGGTACCATCTGCTTTAGACAGACAATTTTTTTCACATAAATGGCGTACGTAATTTCTTGTGTACATAAAATTGTATACATTTTGTTAAGTACATTTGCTTTTATGACCACAGTTGTCATTTGAAGGAACGGATGTTTGTTTCCCTGTGAAAAGCTGGTGTTAGATTTCATACTGTTTGAATAAGGTGTTAGTGGGAGAGGGAGAGGGAGCAAAGTCCAAAACCCCCAGATTTGAGGGACAGAATGAGCTAGGTCATGCCTTGTGATGGGCAACATTCTGTGGAGTCCCTGGTGCTTTGGTGAGCTGTGTCATGAAAACTAGAACATCTGATTCCATAAAGGAGGATGTTAGATTGACCTGGCTTAATTAATTTTTTGCTATTTCTGTACCTTGTCTCAGAATCTATGACTGGGAAGTTTTGGCTAGGTTATATATTCCCTTGATTGGGGGGGAAAATGGGGGCAAAGGGAGAAATTTAGCTTTTATATGGTTTTAAACTTTAAACATGCCTTGATTAAGATATCAGTCTTTTAAATAGATGCACTTTGTAAAATAATATTTTTCTGTAAATTTCCAGTGGCTACAAAAGATACTCTGCCACTCGGGCATCTTGCTTTCTTTTGCCTGTATACAGGCATAATTAACAGTTCTCCAGCTAGGCTCTTGGCATCATAGCTATTAATGAAGGCAGTGTGTAGGGGACAGGGATCTGTTGATTGATGTGAATCTGGCCAGGTGTGGCTGAGTGGACAGAGCCAGCCCCAGAACCTCATGTTTCCCACGAGCCTGCTGACTTTGTGGTTCTGTTACATTTTTCTCACCTACCTTTGCCTTTACTACTTCTCTGCATTTTTGCGCAGCTTGCTCACTTCCGACAGAGAAAAACAAAAGGTGACTATACGCATTCGAAGAAAAAGACGGCGAAGAGGAAGGGCCCGGCTGTCGATGCGCCTGTCCAGGAGGAGAGTCCGGTAGCCACTGAGGACAGTGGATTTCTGGGAGAAGGGGACGTTTGCAAAACCACGTTGTGTAGTGACACCCCTGATGGGGCATCAGCAGCTCAGGTAAATTTACTTGGCATCAGCTTTTACATTTCACTCATATTCTGGTTATTGTTAGTGTAATTTACAAAAAGTAGTGTTTGGTCTGTTTTTGCCTCTCCAAAGTCGGGAAAGAGAGTTTTAGTTTAGTTTACAAAAGGGGAGTATATATTAGTGGTTTTACTCCTAATATGTATTTTATCTTTGTATGATTCTGAGAAATTTTGGATCGACTGTTTGAAGGCAGTGTCAGTATTGGTGCTTGCTTTGGTGATGGAAGTTTTATGAGTTCATTGGCTTTGGCTGTGTGTATCATCCCCTGTAACAGGTATTTCTTTGGATAATTAAACCATAATACTCCTTCATCTACTCTCAAATCCACCCACTTGTTATTCTTTGTCCATTCCCTTCTTTCTGAATGCGGGATGAGGAGGGAAGGGGGGCAAAGATGGGGAAATGTGAGCTTCGAGGAGGAGATACCACTTTCTGCTGCTGGCCCTGAGAGCTGCAGGGGGTGAACTTGGGCTGCCCAAATGAACTTGGGCATTGAGAATGTTGAGGATGCTGACCCTGCGTGGTCTCCTGATCAGCCATGGGTGGGTTTCCCTTGGGGTTTCTTCCTGTGTGTCTTCTAAGTGTCTTACAAGGGTCCTTGAATTATGAGTATTCCCTACTGTGTGCAGTGGGGCAGGCGCAGGTTTAGGTGTTCACTAGAAAGAGTGGGAAAGCTGGTAACTGAGGGCAGAATTTGACTCAAATATCATATTGTGTCTGGCCTGCCTTAATCAAAACAGAATGATATGGGCATGTAAAGTTGATGATATACTATCAACAAATCTGGAATTCTGCTTCTTTTAAGAAATTGGACGACCTAGCCACCATGCTGTCATGTTGCTTAGGGAACAACCGACCAGAACTGTGGTGGCTGTGCCCGTGGACTGGCTTGTGCCGAGTTCATTCTCCCTCCATTCCCTGTCCTCTTGCAGGTCTGAGGTCAGATGTCAGTTGTCCTCGTGTTTCTCTTGTGGTAGAGTAGCAGTTCTCAGCGGCCATGCGTTGGTTACAGCTAAAAGTATGAAAGAGCTACGTATTTATTTCCAGTAGCTTTTCTCTATATGTTCCTGCCTAGGTTCTTTGAAGAGGAAAGTTCATAGTATATGATTAACATTTATTAATTTTTTTGCTTTTATTTTCAAATCAGAGAATTCTTTTAAGTTTCATATTTTTAGCTTTTTATTTTGAAATAATGTAAGACTTTAAAAATTTTGCAAAACATAGTACTTATAAGATACCCCTCACCTAGCTTCCTGAAATGTTAACGTCCTGTATAATCATAGTATAATTATCAGAGTCAGATTCCATTGACATTGAAGCAATGGATAGAGCTTCTTCAGATTTTTCCCACTGTCCCCTTAATGCCCTTTGTCTGGCTTAAGATTCTTCTGTATAGATTATTAATGCCATGTCACTACCTGTGACAGTTTATCACTCTTCCCTTTTATAAGCTTGACACTTTTGAAGAGTACTAGCTAATTATTTTGTACAATACCTGTCAGTTTGGGTTTGTTTGATGTTTCCTTCTCATTCAAATCAGGTTGTGTGTTTTGGCAAGAGCACTGTGAAAATGAAGAGGCAGGGGGCATTGATACTTGATACATCTCCCTGTTAGTGATGCTAACTTTGGTCACCTAGTTACATGGGGCCTGCCAGATTTTTCTTGATAGAAAAGTTACTATTTGTTTCTGTGTAGTTAATGAGTATATTGTGTGGAGATTCTGCACATATCCTATTTCTCATCATACTTTCTGATAAGAACAGATAGTACACTTGATCTTAGCCAAAAGGCTGAGAAGCGATCATCATACTTAATATCATTAAGTTTAGCTTCCATTGATGATTCTTGCCCACAGCAGTTACTGCGGCAGTGTTGGCCAAATGGTGGCTCCCTTTCCATCATTCTGTCTGTGTACGTTCATTGTCCTTCCACTCCAGGGCAGAACTGTTGCTTCTCTCTCAATTTATTTATTCAGTTATTTATCTCAGTATGGACTCATGGGTATTTATTTTATTATTGGGGGTATTTTAATCCACAATGTTAGCCATATTAATGTTGATTTTGTTGTGGGAATACATAGATTTGACAATTGGGAGAACATTTGAATTGTATTCTGTCCTTTCAACACATTTTCATCATTTTTGGTACTTCACTTCCTTACTTTCTGGCACCGTGATTCTCCAGGCTTCCTTCCTCCTTTCTTTGCTGTAACCCTGTATTCAGCCATTTCTTCAAGGACCCCTGGTTCCTCTTTTGGAGAATGATATTTAGAACCAAGATCTGGGTGGAGGGTGTACTTATTGCTAGTGGGATATCCTTGCTTCTAGGCTGTTTCAACATACAGATGGGAATTACTGTGTGTATGTACCCATGTCTATATTTCTTTGTCTGTTTATGGTATAACCAAAACCACTAATACCTTCAATCCAGTCCATCACCACATAGTGTATCCTAGCTTTTCCCTCCTTGTTTTTAACTGCTTTTTCCAATAGTGAGAAACCTGGCTTCCTTATTTTCTGAATATTTACTTATTTGCTTAAGCTTAAAATTGACACAAATAAATTTCAGTATTGCTAACTTTTGCTCGCGTGACAAATTTACTAACTAGAGTAGAATATTTGTATGTAGTTCTTTTTGTCTTTATCATGCCAAAGTTAATTATTTTAGTGTTTCAAAGTTATTTGGGTTAGGGTTTTTTTTGTTCCTTGCTTCTCATTTTGATTTTTATACTTGTTTTATAGTTTTATTCTATTTTGGCTCTTCTCACAGCCAGGTTGATTTTATGTAATTATTTTTTGAATAGGTAAAACATTTATTACCAAGGTTCTAAAGATTGGAGCTGTGTTTAGAGAGCGTCATTTCCTCCTTTTCCTTACCACCCCGTTTCTGATTCTCCCTTCTTCCCAAGCCTTCAAACCTACCCCCTGTAGACAGAAGTATCTTCAGTGTCTGACTTACCCTTTCTTTATTTCTTTTTGCACAAAGGAGTAAATGCACGTTTGCTTTCCCATATGCCCTTTTTATATGAACAGTAGCACACTGTAGAAAATGTCTTACATTTGGCTCTTTTTCCTATAACAGTAGACCTTGGAATCACTCTCTAATTCATTTCTTATGGCAGCATGGCATATCCATCGAGTGTCCTCAGTTTATTCAAGCTCTGTCTTGTGACTTGGGGTTTTTGTTTCCAGCAGTTTGCTTTATAAACTATGCTGAGGTAAATAGCCTTGTTCATGTGTACTTTTATTTCATAGCAGGTATATTTTCAGGGTAGATTCCTAGAAGTAGTCAAAAGGTGGTGCATTTGTAGTTTTGCTGGGTATTGCTTAGTTTCCTTTATAAGGGGTGCACAAATTTTGATTTCTATCAGCAAAGAAGGAGCTTGCCAGTTTTCTGACAGCCTTGCTTCCACAGTCGCGTCACGCTTTGAAATTTCTGGCCTACAGTTTCACTTGTATCAGGTCAGTACCTAAGCATGGTATGGGCGGATCCTATGGTAGGTGTGTTTAACCTTTTAAAAATCTGACAAAAATGATTTTCCAAATGGATGTACCATTTTGCATTCCCATCAGCAATACAAATTACACAGTAAAAAGGAATGAGCATTCAAGGCATACAGAGACATAGATGAACCTTAAATTCATCTTGCTTAAGTTGAAAGATGCCAGTGTGAAATGTTACTTACTGTATGATTCCATTCATAAACATTCTGGGAAAGGTAGAACTGTAGATACAGTAAATGGAGCAGCGTTTGCCAGAGTTGAGTGGAGGGTTGAATAGGTGAAGCATGGGATTTTGGGGGGCAGTGAAAGTATTCTGTATGATAGTGAAAATTAAAAAAATCAAATATTTTATGCAAATTTTAAAAGATCATTTAGGAGATTGGGAGATTCTAGGACAGAGTGCAGACTGTAACAAAAGACCCTGACTGTATTGCAAATGTATGAAACACCCACATTGAAGGGGCTAAGGACAGAGATGCTGACTGAAGTCACTTTAAATGAGTGGGGTTTTAGGACTGAAGACCAAAGGAGCTATACAGATAGACCTCACTTTACTGTGCTTCTCTTTACTGAACTTGATAGACATTGCATTTTTTTAGAATTTGAAGCCCCCACCCCCAGCAAAAAGATTACAGCTTGCTTTGTTGTAGTACTTGCTTTATTGCGGTGGTCTGGAAATGAACCCACAGTATCTCCAGTATAAACACTGTGTCTGGTTGATAAAGTTGTTCCCTGTGCGGGTGAAGGTAAACAACTCTGATTCTGCTGTGCTTGGGCACTGGGACTGAGTAAGAAATGGATGGTAGATGGTAGAAGCCGGGTGTTTCCCTGCGTCATACATGCTCATCCACCTCTGCCTTGGTTGGCGTTTGCGTTGAAGTTGAAACTGTCTGAAGAGAGGGCCCTCTAGAGTCCGGAGTGTACGGAGAAAGCAGTAGAAAGAGGGTCAGCTGGAAGGAAGGAAGTGACAAGATTGGGGGAGATTTAAAGGCGGTGTCTTAGTCTGCTCAATTTGCCATAACAAAATATCAGAGACTGAGTGGCTTAAACAACAGACATTTATTTTCTCACAGTCCTGGGGACTGTAGATCTTAAAACCAAGATGCTGTCAGGGCTGGGTTTTGGTGAGGCTTCTCTGCCTTGCAGATGGCCTTTCCACCGTGTCTTCACAGGACCCATAGAGATCTCTGGTGTCTCTTATTTTAGGGATGCCAGTCCTAGTGGATCCGGGCCCCACTCTTAGGACCTCATTTAATCTTAATCACCTCTTCAAAGGCTCTTTCTCCAGGTGCAGCCATATGGGGGTTAGGAGTTCAACACAGAAATTTTGGGGACACAATTCAGTCTATAACAGGCAACTATGATAGAGAAGATGGGATTAGTCTGAAGGTTTTCTTTAGAGAAAGGCTGTTGACCTTTGATTTCAGAGGTGGCAGGAATGGAGTGGATGGACCTCTGAGTTTTGA